CGTCCAAGGAAATGGGGGACCTTGCCGCATTCTGTAGGGATTCTGGACTCGACCTTGTGATTGGATGCGACCGCAATGCCCATCACGTTACGTGGGGCAGCTCGAACACCAACAGACGGGGCGAAGACCTGATGGAGTTTCTAGGGGCATCGAACCTTGAGGTTCTGAATGTCGGTAACATGCCCACTTTCAGCAATAGTGTAAGAGAAGAGATTATCGACGTAACACTGAGCACGCTTAACTTAGCTCAGGACATCAGGGCCTGGAAAGTGTCTCTAACACCCTCTCTATCGGATCACAGGTACATACTGTTTAAGACTGATGGGGAGATTCCGGATAAATATGCTCGGAATCCCAGGCATACTAGATGGGGGCCCTTTAGGGCAGACATTGACAGTAAGCTTGGAGCGGTCCCATACAGGCTTTGCAGGGGCTCTGACATAGAAGCAGCTGTCGAGTCTCTGAGCAGGGACTTGACGGCTGCATATGAGGAAAACTGCCCGTTACGCAAAGTCCAAGGTAAGGGCAAGGCAACCTTCTGGACCAAAGAATTAGAGGATAGAAAACGAGCGGTGCACAAACTTCTTAGCAGAGTTAAGCACAGGAGAGGTTCTCCTCTATGGGAAGAATACAAAAAGGCATTGCAGGAGTACAAAAAGGAGATTAGAAAGGCCTCCAGAGAATCCTGGAGGCACTTCTCTCAGTCCATAAATGACATTCCTGCTACTGCAAGAATACACAGAGTTCTATGCAAAGACATTAAAGCAAGATTGCGATCTCTACATGATCCCTCGGGGGGGAATACTACTTCTGAGGAAGATACTCTGAGGCTTCTGATGGATACGCACTTTCCCGGTTCCACAGTAGCGCGATCAATCACAGAGTGCATGCAGTTGCGCAGGCCCTCAAGGGAGGACTGGCGCACGGCTAGGGAGATTGTCACCTTCGAAAGGACGGTATGGGCAGTAGATTCGTTTGCCCCATACAAAAGTCCAGGTCTGGACGGCGTATTTCCGGCCATGTTACAGCAGGGACGGATTTCGGTTGTTCCTTACCTGTTGAATGTGTTTCGAGCATGTGTGGCCACGGGCTTCATACCTAGAAGCTAGCGGCAGGCTAAAGTGGTATTCATTCCTAAACCGGGCAGAGATAGATATACTAGCCCGAAGGATTTTCGACCGATTACTCTTTCATCTTTTGTGCTTAAGACACTGGAAAGGATAGTTGATAGATACCTAAGGGATGGCCCGCTGGAAAGGTGTGTCATTCATGCAAATCAGTTTGCATACCAAGCTGAAAAATCGACTGATCTGGCTTTACACAATCTGGTCGGTAGGCTGGAGGAGACTCTAGATCAGCGAGAAGTGGCACTCGTGGCCTTCTTGGACATTGAAGGTGCATTTAATTGCACCACAATCAACTCTATCAGACAGGCCTTGGTTAGACACGGGGTTGGATCAATCCTAATAGATTGGGTCCTCTCTACTCTGGAGGGTCGGGTAACAACAGCTATGCTGAATAACGTAAGCTGAAGCGTGAATGTAGCTAGAGGCTGCCCTCAGGGTGGAGTTCTGTCATCCCTACTGTGGTGTATCGTGGTGAACGGACTCCTCGTTAGGCTCAGCAGTATGGGTGTCTATGCGCATTGCGCAAGCCTATGCTGATGACGTAAGCATAGTAGTTAGGGGGCGTTTCTGTAGAACAGTTTTGGAAATTATGCAGGGCGTTCTGCGCTCCGTGGAATCGTGGTGTAGGGAAGTCGATCTTTCTGTTAATGCTGAAAAGACCGAGCTGATCCTACTCACTAGGAGAAGAAGGCTTGACGGACTGGTCATGCCGACCTTCTTTGGGACTAGATTAGTTTTGTCCCAGTCAGTGAAATATCTGGGAATTATCCTGGATTGCAAACTGAACTAGAGAGAGCATGTGGAATACAAGGTTAGCAAGGCTCGCAATTCGATGTGGGCTTGTAGACGTGTTGTCGGTGTAAGGTGGGGGCTTAAACCCAAAGTGGTATACTGGCTCTACACGACGATAGTACGTCCATCTCTCTTGTACGGCTCCCTGGTCTGGTGGCCTTGCATTAGAACTGAGTCAACTAAGGCCAAACTCAATAAAATTCAGCGTTTGGCCTGTATTAGCATTACAAGCGCAGTGTGAACAACGCCATTGAGTGCAATGGAAGCTCTGTTGGATCTCCCACCTTTGGATCTGGTGATCCGCGGTGAAGCGAGAGTAGTCGCTCATCGACTGTGGAGTCAGGGCAGCTGGGCTTTCTTGAATCCTGTCAAGGGGCATACTGCCATCTTAGTCGAATTAGAAAGGGAGGACCCCGTCCTTCTAAGCAGGGGTGATCGTATTACCCCTAAATATCGCTTCAACCGCAAGTTTATTGTGGAGTATCCAACGAGGGAGGAGTGGGACGCCGGTAGCCGGGGACTCTCCGAAGTGAGCGGGCAGGTCTGGTACGGACGGCTCGGTCACCGAAGAGGGCTCAAGTGCTGGGGTCTCTGGGCCTAGAACTAGGCTATCTCTGCCTCTCGGTGGATACACCACCATTTTCCAGGCGGAAATCTTTGCGATTCTGGCTTGTGTATCTCACATTCTGGAGGAGGGTCGGCCTAGGAGAAGAATAACAATCTTATCCGACAGCCAGGCTGCAATGAAAGCACTAAGTGCCTGTAAGATTACTTCGAGTCTTGTATTGCAATGCAGGGAGGCTCTGGATTGCCTCGCAGCGAGGCATCCGGTATCGTTAATATGGGTACCGGGGCACGCTGGGATAAGGGGCAATGAGACGGCGGACACTCTGGCGAAAACAGGATCAGCCAGCAAGCTCGTTGGTCCTGAGCCAGCTCTAGGAGTAACCGCGCATAAAGCTAGGAGGAAAATGGAGACGTGGGTTGCAAGACAACACTCTCAGAAATGGAGAAATATCTCTAGACATCTCCGCCAGGCACGAGAGCTCATTGAAGGGCCCAGTGCTAAGGATGGACGCTTCTGCCTATCTCTAGGTGGAGCCAACCTAAGGTTGCTGGTGGGACTGTTGTCTGGCCATAACACGTTAAGGCGTCACCTGCACGTGATGGGGGTGGCTGAGGATCCCTTGTGCGAATGCTGCGGAGTAGAGGAAGAGACCTCATCGCACGTTTTGTGTCGCTGTGAAGCTCTGAGCTACTATAGGCAGACTATACTGGGGTCCATTACTTTGGACCCTCAGGACGTCAAGGAGCTTGGACTCAAGGCGATTCTCAACTTCGCTAAAAGGGCGAGGCTTGTGATTTAAGTATTGTAGAGGTGCATAAGGGCCCGCTTAAGCGGCCTATGCACTGGCTCCTTATGGTGACCGGGATGCCTCCAATTTTAAGATTCATTCATTCATTCAATTCGTGGACAGCAGGATTTTGCGTTAATCGAACCAATGGGGACAATTTTGAACAGTTTTTGTTAAAACGGTATCCATTTAACTTAATAATGATTTTCTTTAATAATTTTCAATAATGTAAATCTCTTTTATTATGCAACTTTTTTGTAGACGTTTTTTGGTATATCAACTTCTTTTAACGAGTTCTACAAGCTGTTAAAATAAATGACTCAACTTTGAAATATAAGCTTTTACTGTTTCCCTATTGTGTTGGACCCCTCTTTATATCTGCCACTGTAGCCTATTCATGGTGAGTTTACACATGCATGGTTTTAGTGGCGCCAATAGGAACTGGCGCGCCAGTAAATTAGATTTGCGCGTGTGAACATCAACTTGCATACAAGTTGAATCTTGGCATGTATAGACTAAAAAATTCTGTATGCTTCTGAAATCACTGGCGCCACTGGCAACAGATCTTCGCGGAAAAAATAATGTTGCTTTAATTGACGTGTGTAAACAAGTACTTGCACGGCGGTTTTTCAGTATTTAGCTTGAGTTTCGTTTCGGTAGAGGGTAGAGCTACTATTTTGTATAATATGGCTAAGAGAAAGTGGTCAGTAGGACAGACAATCAAATTTCTTGGAGGCTATGGATCATATTCGTGCTTATGGGATGTACATAGTACTTCTTATAAAAATAAAGACGGTCGAGAAAATGCTAATCGAATGCTTTCTGAATTAATGGACATTGAAGGCTTTGGTATTGCTGAAGTAAAAGCAAAATACGTTCTATAAGAAATGCGTATTCTTTAGAATTAGCAAAAATCAAGAAAAGCCAACATTCGGGAGCAGGTGCAGATGAATTATATACACCAAGAGTGCCATGGTTTTCAGTGGCAGACAGGATTTTGAAACAAGTTGTACAAATAAGAGAAACACAAGCGTCAGAAATCGTAAGTTGAATTATATTTATTAAATTTTAATTTATCATTTTCATTTGCGAAGGGACAGCCCCATCACCTATAAACCAATCAGCTAACTTATTTCTGAGCTGTGCAGCATTTCTAGAATAATTACGGCTATCTGCAGTTGATCTTACAACTCTGAGTGAGCCACTTTGAACTTCTTGTCTCCACGAACCTTCTACTATTACACTATTTTCAAAGTCTTCATAGTCTACACAGTTTCGGGTTATATATCCATCAGAAGTTGTTTGAAACCAGTTGTGTAACGCGCAAGTGGTTTTTACAAGAATGTCAGCTTTTTCAGGACATAACGCAATGGGTTTCTCAAATATACGAAACTTGGAAACAAGTAATCCAAATGCATTTTCTACAATACGTCTAGCACGAGAAAGTCGATAATTAAAAATCTTTCCTTTTTGTGTTAAGGGTGTGAGTGTGTGAGTAAGGTTTCAATAAATATTCTTTAAGGGGAAAAGCGTCATCGGCTACAAACACTGCATTTGGAGGAAGTTTCAATAAATTATTCTCTATTGCACTGTTCAAACTGCTTTTTGAAAATACTCCTCCATCAGATGCTCTTCCGTTTGCACCGACATCTATATATTGAAAACAGTATTGGTCATCAACTAAAGCAAGTACTGAATGTCCCCTTGTAGTTGTAAAATTCTGAACCTGAATGGAAAGGACTTCGCTTCGCTTTCCGTCCAAAGCACCAGCACAATTTGGTAAATTCCACCGTGCTGAAAATCCTTGAATAACTTTTTTCCATTCTTTTTCAGAGGATGGCACCTGAAAATAATAGATTAAATTACTAATTAGGTACTAAAATTGATTTTATGAATAATTTTCAACTAAACTGGTTTTTTATTTTTTTTCTAGGTGATTGAATCACAATCGAAAGTTGCTGATACTATAGAAAGTATGCATTCTGCAACTATTGAAGAGGTATTGTCGCCTCCTTCGAATGACTCATTTGTGGCCAGAAAACCAGTCCCTCAAAAATTAACAACGAGCAGCACAGCTCCAAAGAGGATTGCAAAAAGGTAGCACCGAGAGGGCTTTACAAGGGCTACAAAAAATTGCACAACAATTAGATGACAAACCTAGTAGAGCAGAGGAAAATGAGTTTGATTGTTTTGGCAGGTCGGTGGCTTGTTCGCTGAAGAAGATGCCAGAAACAGTTGCTTTGGAATCAGTGGCGTATATACATTCGTATCTTATACGTCAACGGTTAACATCGAATGCCCAACAAATACTACGACCTTTCTCCCCTGCCTCATCAACTAATTGTGAATATGCTGCAACCCCAAGCTCAAACCGTTCATACTACGATAATAATTCTCACGATACAAATTCACATTCAAATCCTGAGCAAGAACACTCCGATATACTTTTACAGGCAATTAATACTTCTCTTTATGACGATGTTTAAAGAAAGTCTTTCATGACAAACTTAGCCTATTAAAATGTTTAAACTGTTGCCTATGTTCTACTGTATAATAAATATTATGTATTTGCTTACCTACCTTAATACATTTTTTTAACGAATCATAAATGGCTTCACAAACTTCAGGGATAAACTTTGATATTTTGCTTTTTGGGACACGATATAAATATTGCAATGAAGTGAAAGAATCTCCTGTTGCAAGATATCTTAATGTTACTTCCATTTTTAATTTTGGTGTTAATGCATCTCTCATGTGGGCATCTATTTTTAAAATACGTATACGTGGCATCACACAATCAAGGAGAGTATCAAAATTTTGTTTTGTAATTCTTAGATGATTTTTGTAGCTCGTTGGATCTTCTACTAACAGTTCTGCTAGAAGTTTTGCAGACGCACCCAAAGTATCTCGACGACTGATCCATGGTTTAACCCACATACGACCTTTTCGTGTATTTCTTTTATTTTCTTTTTCACTAAAAGCTTAGCGACTATTTTGCAGGCTTCGCGAAGTTCAGCCGACATATTGCGCACTATATTATGAAAATGAAACTGGCTTGCCAGATATTTCTGTTTTTGTACTACAGTGTAAACCTTTACATGCAAATAAACTGACACGACGACTGGCGCCACTAAAACTATGCATGTGTAAACTCACCTTCATGCCAATGTAATTTTTTGTGTCAGCAATAGTCGTGGATTAAACAAATACATAATCCTGCAACAATGATGGAGGAAAGTGGTATCTTGTGAGAGTAAACTTGACCTTGCCTTACGAGATTACGAGGGACAGAACAAAAAGTAGCAGCTGTTGCATTGTAAGCGCGAGGCGGGTGTTACCTAATCGTAGTTATTCATTGACATTCATGCTCCATTAGTTATGCAATTGAAACAAACACTCTGAAATACATAGTGACTCAAATACTTGGTGGATCATAAATTCGTTAACATTTATATCTTAATAGCTTATCATTTTAATGTAGGTATACTAAATAATAAATTGTTGTAGGTAGTCTATACAGGGTGAGATTTTAGAGTGGGCTCGGTCGATAACTCAGTTATTATGCCGCATGGTACCTAAAAAAAATTATTACAAAAATTGTAGCCAGCAATCTGGTCCTTACTTGGAAAATATTTTTATCTTTACGGTGTGATTCATAACACTCAATGGAAAAAATGTTTAACTTTGACAGCTCACACCCCCGCAATTGTTATATCTGAGGTACTGAATTTTTCGTTAGAAAAAAATTGTGATATCATATTTGCTTCGTATTTACCTACTCAAATTTTTTAACAGTTTATAAAGCTTAGTTAATAACGCAAAATGAACGATTACTCAGAATTTTCAAATGGAACACCCTGTATATTTTCACATTATTTGATTCCCTTCTTCACAAGCTTTTTTGTATAAGCTTCATGGGAGTTTGTACGACTGGTTTCTGAGTTACAGATAACTATTTCGTAAATGATATATCAAGGTAAATGAAAGATATTACAATACCTTTCAAACCAAATAAATAGCATTTTGTTGGTAAAGCAGTCCGTTAGAATTGGTATCTTTTCATTATAAAATAAATTTCATCTGCCTTCTATTCGACTTTGCCTGCCAAGGCGGCCCGTAGGACCTTTGCCTTTGTGCCAAAGTACGTCGGTCAGTTTGTTATTCTGTCGGCCTGGTCACTAAGAAATGATTAATAGTAACTCTACCTTATGCAATAAAGTCGAAGGGTCAAGGTGTCACTGTGTTTTAGTGCATGATCGGTCCATAACCATAACCAGTCGTACAAAGCCCCATCAAATCTTTCATCAAAAAACTGGGGAAAAAGGGAATCAAAGAATGTTTATATATAGTGTGTTCCATTTGAAAATTTTGCGTTCTTGACCACCATAAACTCTCCAAAACAAAACTGAAAAGTATGAATTGGTTTTTGTTTGGATGTTCTTTCGAAGCATCTATATTCTGAGCGACAACATTCAAAACATCATCTAAATTGTGTATATTATATAATAAAAATGGAGACTTAATATGAAAGTGAAAGTACATACAGGGTGTTCATTTGAACACTTCCCACCACGGATTTATAGAAAGTCACCGATTAAAACGCTGAGGCACGTCTAAAGATTTGTCAAGGGGGACAACGCTTTAACCAAAAAACTACTTTACCCTCGGACCCTCAGGGTCGTTCCCTTGAAAATTTTAAATAACAAAGGGTATCGAGTAATAGAGTGTTTGACAGGTCTTTCGAAGTCCTTTATTTTGACGTTTGATTTTTTAAAGTTGGTCGATTTGTTTTCAAGAAAATTAGAAATATCTTTATTTATCTTAATTTGTTCAGATCGAAAACAAAAACACACGAAAATATCAGTTTTTATTTCAATAAGTATTTAAAATGTTTCCCGTTATTGGCCAAACAATGATATAGGCGATGTTCAAATTCCTGACCGACATTTTCAAAAACATGTTGTGGAATATCATGGCAGCTTTCGATGATGCCTAGAAGAAGTTCATCCAAACTTTCAGTTTGGCGAGTAAACAACTCATTTCAAATGGCCTCATAGAAAAAAGTCTAACGTCTATCCATTTATCTGGAAACTCGTCGTCTAGCCGTTGCCGAACCGGCAGAACATAGTAAGGGGGAGCGCCGTCTTGCTGAAAATATATTTCAGTCTTAACAAGTATCGGGTTTCCATCCTTTTCGATTTGGTTTTCGCTGGTTTCAGTTTCAAATAAATGTCTCCATTCGAATTTCAATTAATAAAAAATGGCCTAATCACTTTGTTTCTTAAAATGCCTGCCCATACATTAATTTTTTGAGAGTACTGGGTATGCCGTTCTATAAAAGCATCAGGATTTTCATTGCTCCAATACCTGCTTATTAACAAATCCATTTAGATAAAATGTGCGTTCATCACTAAAACAGATATTCTTTACACGAATAGAATTGTCATTAATCGCTGCAGACATTTGTTCACAAAAGTCAACTCGCCTATCGAAATCATCTTCGGTTAACTCTTGCAATATTTTCATTTTGAATGGATGAAATTTATCGAGTTTAGTAACTGTGTGTACAGAGCCTAATGAAATACCAGGCGCAGCAACAATTTTGCTTAATGAAGTATAAGGATTTATTCCAAAATGACTCATAACTTCAACTTGAGCGGTTTCATCCAAAACATACATATGTGAAGTTACCTTCCCCAGATGTCTGGCGTTAAACGCGACGGCTAGTGTATGAACCATTTTGGAAGTAAAATCTGAATCAATAAATTAATTTTTACTATCCTAAGATTGTCACAAAGGTAGCTGACAGCAAATGAAATTCTTTCTTTCCCTTAGCAACAAATAACTAAACAGGTATAACAATAAATACAGTTCGCCCAGGACGTCTGTATTAATACAAATAATGCGGAACAAAATTCGGGTTGTTATTTGGTTGTTGCCACGACCAATCTTCCGAATTGCTGTTTTTGTTGGTAGTTTCCTTTTTAAATTATAAAGGAATTGTAGATTTGACAAACCCTAACAGGCAACATTTTGAAATAAAAAGTGATACGTGTGTTTTTGTTTTCTATCTGAACAAATTAAGATAAATAAAGATTTTTCTAATTTTCTCGAAAACGGATCGACTTAATTAAAAAAATCAAACGTCATAATGAAGGACTAAGACCTTTCAAACAAGTTATTACTCGATACCCCTTGTCATTTAAAAATTTTAAGGGAATGACCCTAGGGTGTCCTAGCGCATGCACTCTTTATTCGATTGCGATGCGCTTTAAAGCATTATGTATATCAGGAGTTCCCAACCAGGGAATCGTGCCTCCCAAGGGGGGCATAGAGAGATGTTAAGGGGGCGGAAAGCGTTTGCATTTTATAAAGAAAAAACAAAATATAACATAAACAATCATCATTAACAAATAACATTACAATGTAATGTTTAACTTACACGCATAAAATTAGAAATTAAATATCATATTCACTTATTCTGCCAACTGCTGTTTCAAAACCCGGCGTCGTCTATACAAGTTTCGACAAGTCACAAAATGAAATCCGCGCGCACCCCCGCCGCGTTACGCTTAACAATCATCATCAGCACTTAGAATAATTGTGTACCTACCAGACGCGGATGAGCATCTATGACATTCATTCCCACAAACTTGCGAAAAATTCGACATTTCGATGTACATGTTTTGTTGAGAAATCTGTTTGAGTGTGTCAAATTATTGTGTCTCACTGTTAAAAGGTAAGTTTGTGTATTTACAAACTTCAGTTACCATTTTTATTTAATTTACTAAATTGTTGATTGAGTGGAGACGCGTTCATAGATCGGCCATTGCGACTTTTTTACCACATCTTAAGTACCTAATATTGATTCTAAATGTATTTAAAATTACCATTATAACGTCGACCTGCCTACAAAAATATAAATCTCCCGGTGGCCAAATATACTGTTGAACACATTACGTTATTAAGATAAAATAATGGGCATATAATTAGTAATTACTTGTAGGTATTTTGGTTATTTATTTATTACTTATTTGTTTTATTGTTATAGGTGCAAAATGGCAGCGAAAAAAGAAAGTTTTTCGAAGAATAGGTTAAGTTTCATAGAAAAAGACGAGTTACAATTGCCTCTGTGTGTGATATGTATGAAAGTTTTAAGTAATGATAGCATGAGGTCCAATCGCCTTGAGGCATTTGACGCAACAACATCCTACTTTGGTTATGAAGACGAAAGAGTTTTTTTCTTCTAAAGCAGAATCACTCAAGCGGATGAGATTAGATAAATCGGGAAGTTATCACATAGAGGTGTATCGCAGCATCTCAAAGCTTCACTTGAAATAGTTTCTATGATAGCAAAGAAAAGGAAACCTCATACTATCGGTGAAGAATTAATAAAACCATGTGTCCTAAATGCCACGCAAATAATATTAGGAGAAGATGCAGAGCAAAAAATGGAGTCTATTTCTCTTTCGAATAACACAATCAAGCGTAGAATCGATAAAATTGCAGCAGACATAAAGTCACAAATAATTAACAAAGCAAAATTAACGCCATTTTTTGTCATCAATTGCGATTAATCCACCGACATCGTTAATTGTGCACAGTTAATAGTTTATGTTCGTTACATCTGCGGAGATATCATTCAATAAGGGATTTTGTACGCTCAATCTTTGACAGCAGGTACTACATCTGAATCTATATTTAATTCAATATAAAATTTTGTTGATAAAAATTATTTGGAAGAAACTCATTGGACCTTGCACAGATGGCGCACCTGCAATGTTAGGTGTACGACCGGGCTTAGTTTAAAAGCTCAAGTAAAAAATCCCGCAATGGTTAGTACACATTGTGTTACTCATCGGCAAGCTTTGGCTTCAACAACATTACCACATAAATTACACTAGACTTTGGACTCGGCTATAAGGATTGTAAACTACATCAAGAGCAGCGCTGTGAACAGTCGGTTATTTACTTTACTTTGCGAGGATCTCGATTCTGATCACAAAGTTCTTCTGTTCCATACAGAAGTACGATGGCTGTCCAAAGGCAACATGTCGGCTCGCCTTTATGAATTGAAAGAAGAGGTAATCCTTTTTCTTGAGTTCAAAGAAAAACACGATTTCTTGACAATGTTCAAAGATGACACATTTCAATGGAGGTTGGCTTATTTAACTGACTTATTTGACTCCTTGAAAGAGCTAAACTTGAAACTTCAGGACAGAAACAACACTATAATAAGCAATTATGATTATATTCAGGGGTTTATATCTAAGCTTCAACTTTGGAATCAAAAAGTGTCTTTTGAAAATGTTATAACTTGTTCTCGGCTGTTCGAAGCAATTAAAACTAACGCAAATTTAAAAGCTGACATAAAAACCCAGCGCCTGGACGACGAATTTCGCCGATACTATCGAGACATCAATTCAGAGTCACCAATATGGCACATGACAAGAAATCCATTTGTTGTCGATGTGTCACAATTACCAGAAGTTCAGGAAGAATTTCTAGAAATGAAGGCTGAGTCGTCCATGAAAGATGACTCCCATCTTGTAACATTGGAGAAATTTTGGATCAAAGGATTGCCTGTTAATTCGACACTTGCCTCTCTTGCTTTACGAATACTAGTTCCTTTTTGTTCAACTTATTTATGTGAGACAGGCTTTTCTGCTGTAGTTATAATTAAAACTAAACAGCGAAATCGTCTTGATGACCTGATGATAGCTCTGGCAAAAACAGAACCTAGAATCAACCAACTGGTACATAACATGCAATCTCAAGTGTCTCATTAGTAACTACTTTTATTTTATTCAAGTTTTTCGATAAAAAACATTTATTATTTTATTTAAACTTTTAAAGTTTCTTTATTAGAATTAAAATAAAAGTCTTTATAACTATATAATGTGTGTTTTTTGTATTTATTGAAAAATTAAAGTGGGACATGAAAATATAATTTATAGTCCAGGGAGCCTCAACAAAAAAAAAAGGTTGTACAGGAAGGTTGGGGCTATATTTGTCTCAAAACCGCATGGTAATTAGACAATCGATAATAATTGATCAAAAAAGTGACTGCCAAATTAAGTTGAGCAGTTTACTTTTTGGTAATCAGAATTAAAAACTTTATTCGGCTATGCTAAAATCCAATATGGTATCTATAAGAATATTAATGACAATTTTAATGTATTTTTATTTTGGAGTCCCATCTCAAAGAAAGCCAGGGAAAAATAACGATTTTGGGAAAATTCGGATTCTTTCGTTTATCTCCGGGGATAGGGGATACTAGGAATTGCGAAACTTTCTATATGCCATTTTCTTGGTTACCTAAATGTGCAACTTTGCCCTCATTTAACTGACTTCGTATCTATTACCGTTTGCGAGATCCCAATGGTGAGAGTCAAATTTGAAACACCCGGTATACAAGTATGGATATTAATAATCATTTTACGGTATTTTAATTTGAATAATTAGCCAATTGAATGAGTATTCAACTTTGAAAAAATATGCAACAATGCAACATTGTAAGCACGATAATATATGTATATACTCGTATTTGACAGCGAGAATTTAAATATTACGTCAAAATTATGACCATATATTTCTCAAAAAGCATTCATATTCTGTTTATTATTTTTTAGTATAAATAGTAAAATTCCTGCATTGATGAATATCGTTCACCTTAATATCAGATCCCTGGTTGCAAGTATAAGGATGCTGCGTATCTATGTCGATGATAATTGGAGACGACGAAGAAGTGGATAAAGGTGTCATGTAACATATTTAAAATTTTTTTTTGCATTAAACTTACTTTAAGGAGTTATTATTCAATTATGTGATTACTTTGTTGCAAAAGCAAAATAATAACAAACTGATTAAACTAAATACTTAAAATGCCCATTAAAAATGTTTAAGGTACCTAAATTTTCATAAGACCGTAAGACAAGTGCTCTTGTCACTCGACATCAACAAAGCTTCTGGTCCGGACCTGATTCCTGCCATTGTACTGAAGAGGTGTGCAGCGGAGCTTACTCCAGTTCTTTCGCGTCTCGTCCAGACATGAACCTGGCACCTTTCCAGAAAACTGGAAATTTGCTCATGTCCAGCCCATTTGAAACAAGGATCTAAGACCGATCCTTACAACTACAGGCCTATGCTCTTACAGATCAACGATCTCCTTTCCTGTACGATCAACCCAATCCAGGTTTGCCGATGACAGCACTCTACATGCAGGAATTCAGAGTGACAAGGCGATCTCTGCCGCTGAGCTGGAAAAAAGAAGACTAGCGACGACTTCCTCTCTGCTCAGCCGTTTAGGGTGCTGCCGCCCCGACTACATTATTTATGCTCGATGCTCACTAGAGGAGGGCTGTCCGACTCATCGACGACTCTTCTCCAACAGACAGTCTCGTAACCCTTTTTACTGGCGATCTAGCTCTCTTCTACCACTAAACCAACGTGCTTTGCTCCTCAGAGCTCTCTTATGATGCTGCCGCGCGATGTGCCTGCCAAACAGACCCGCCTGACTGGCCTCCTATCCTAACCGTGTCGAACTTCGTACATGCAGAACTGGCCGAGGGTGTCGAGATTGTGGAACACTCTACAAGAGGAAGCTTTTCCCAGTTCTACTAACCTGGGGCAGTTCAAAAATCGGATTAACGAAATTTATTTGGGACCTTCATAGCAGCCGCGGTGTCCCGGCATTTAGGCTTCTGCCTGCGCGGCTGCTTCGGTATAAAAAAATTGGCTGAAAATTTACATGTCTCCCTGATGCTATCAAAAGAATGAACAATTTAAAGATATTCCGCCGTGAACTTTTTTAATATGTAAACAGCATTATACCATATGTGAGTTCTACAATTCACCTACTTAAGATCCATATATGTAATTATATTATAATTTAGTTTAAGTTAGCTTTGTCATTAAGGATGATTGTATTCTCCAGATAAAAAAGCGTATTTATATTTCTATCAATGTGCGAGAAGTACTGAATGAATAAACCTGACGCTATTTTTAGTAAGGTTTGAAAAATGCCTCGGTGAAGCTAAATTCATTCCGAAAATAAAATATGGCATGTAGAATATCATAAATCAAATTTATTTCACATTATATTCATAAAAAACTATAACAACATAGAATTACAATGTATCAACATCAATCAAAATTTAAAACCACAACTCTCCACCATCATCATCCTCTTGTTGCTCTTGCGGCGCATTTGCTCCTTCATCTTCACTTTCGCTCACCGCCAAATCATCGTGAATCTTCACTTCTTGATCTCTTTCTTCTTGTTGTTCGACTTCAGCCTTTCTCAGCGGCTGTAAGCCAGACATCAAAAAGTCCGAAGGGTCATAGTTTGGATCTACATCCATACTTTCATCCTTGTACATTAACGCATCCGGTTCTTCTCCCTCATTTGGTGGATAGTACCCCACCGTGCCAAGTTGTACCATTGCTTCAGCAGCTTGCTGGCTATCATCATCTGCGTCGCCTTCAGCACCTTCCATTGGAATTTCAGCGGAGATGAAAATGCTTTTCTGATCCTGATCCTCTTCAAATTCGTGTAGAGGTACCTGGAATCATTTTTGACTATCAACTATGCGCTGACACGCAACACTGAAGCAATGCAAGTTACATCCTCAAGAGGTGGTGAAAATCTAGAATAAGATGGCACTAGTTAAGTTGGAGGTCATAAACACACAAATGTCTCTTTCAAGAGTATCCATTACGATAAAATAACAGATCGTCGTATTTCAAAATTCCCCGTATCGACAAGTGACACAATTCTGACGGATCCGTCAACGCCAGGTAGGTACAGCTGTATTTTGTTGTGGTTTTCTGTACGCTACGGTTTCATTTTATACTTGCAAACAATTGTTTTATTTAGAAAAGTACATTCGCATACAAAATATGCTACAAGTAAAATTACCGCTAATGATCTTGATTACATTTCAAGTCAGGTAGGAATAAAATGAGATCAACAGTTTTTGACTTTGTTAATTATATCAACTTTTTAAAACTTGAAACGCCATAAGAGCAATGAAACAGCCATATTTGAATTAGTAACATTGATAACGGACAATTAGATCAGAAACGCACAAAAATACAGCTATTGGAAAGGATTACACAGGCTGTACCACTGACTTACCTCGTAATCAATAAATCCCAAATGTACTATAATAATTTTATAATAAAATATTTTTCTGTGTACTTCGTATCTAGATATGTGAACAACGGCTCTAAATATTAGATTTACACCAAATTCAGTATTGCCAACGGTACAAACTAATACAAAGATGTCACTTACTGATCAGCTGTTCACCTCAGTAAGCGTCAACACGTAATGGCTACTCGTAAAATAGGGTTTACGTCAATTGCTGATCAGCTGCTCATGCCAACAGACATCAAAACGTGACGGAGTCGTTAAAAATGCCTTTTTCTCATCCACTTTTGACACCTTGACCTCCAACCACACAAGCGCTGCCTAGCGGAAGCAAAATTGGCATCGCTGTCATTGACGCAAAACACCCTTAGTAAATCTGCGTAGGTTTTTCAACTGTTCAAAAAATGCTTAGCATTTCCAATGCGATAAGCAAATATCAGATTATTTGCATTGCAGATGTTGCAGCCACAGGGCAAATATAATTTTTCTCACAAATAAGTATGAGCAAAACGCATGGTTCCTGATATCCGAACCAACAGCATATAATCATATATCGTATGAAAGGTCATTTCAAGTACAGGGTCCAGCACAAAGGTCGGACAGTTTTTAAAAAATCACAAAATCGGTAATTTTTACTCAAAAACAAACTTATTGGCGAATTCAGTTTACAATGAAATAGCGTTTGTTACAATTAAGTATGGAAAAATCACATCAGTCATGTGGTGACCGTTCGCGTAGACTCTCTCCCACAACATTCGTTGTGCGTAATCTCCAGGCTGTAACTGTTGCATAATGGCCAACTTGTGGAGTTCCATATGCAAAATACACATTTTCAGGGGTTCGATCCCTACGAGAAGGAACAGCTCGATTCCGATTAATATTGAAGAGGCTACCAAACTCACGCTGTACAGCCGTAATAGACACATTATGTTAGACAAAACTGTCTTATGCGAAAACGCGGTGCTCAACCGTCCATTGATCCATAATGTCTACTGGTGAAAATGCTGGGAAGGCCCGAGTCGAACGCCACTCTCCCCACCACTCTAGCCCGGATAGGCGGAGAGTACTAGCCATTTCAGAAACATCCATGCTTTGTGCCCTGTATCCCACGGCAATGTTTCCAATTCATAATCTGAACGGAACATTGTCAACTTGAAAGTTAGAAATTTTCACAGTATTTCGTAAATTTAAAATTTAAATAAGTTTTTGCATTTTTTCGAACTTGAATACATCTGATGGAGTCGTATCGTAAGAGATCGGTGGAATTATGTGTGTCATAATGGATTCAAGTCTTATAGGTATTTAGCACATCAGGGTTTCCTCCGGGATCGAACGTAGGACCTATTATTATCAGATGACTTGAAAATGTTTTGCACTGACTGTCAATGTTTACAAAATCAACTGAAAATTATAGGAACATGGTGTGAGATAAATAAATTATACATGAATGCTGAAAAATGTAAAGTTTGCTTCTATACTGTAAGTCGCTCACGCATAACTTGTGATTACATAATTAACGACACACAACGATTTAATTTGTTTTTGAATTGTCTTAGAAAAATACTGCAAAAAACGAAGAAAAAATAAATGCTTTACATTCACATAACCGATTCAGCAAGTTTTCGCCCTTTAAACGCAACAACAGCATTATAGTCCAAGTGGTAGTGCAACAGGATATGAAATCATGTACGGCCACTTTAGAGTCAGTTCGAGGCCCAATTCTGGACCGTTTTTTTTTATTTTTTTCTATTTAGTTTTCATTTAATTCTGTTACAAATATGTTGCAGTTTTCCTATGTGAATAATTGTCAATAATACTCGTATCTCCTATAGTAAATACAACTAATAATTTTAGTGGCGGGAAACTAATGATAATGCGAAAACTTTTGAAAATGAGATATTATGTTTTTTAGACGCTATAGACACGTTTTCCGAGATACTACTGGTGAGGATCGAATTTGAAACACCCGGTATATGTCAAAATATCAAACGAATCTTCGCGATCTCAGCTCACTGTAACAACGTGTTAAGCTGCTATTCGTTTTTTTTTTGTATTCGACTTATATCACTGGCCCTGGCGTTAATTGAATTCTGTAGTTTTATCAAACTACGCAAAATACGCTTTTATGTCTATTGTACTTTCTGCGTACCTATTTTTTAAAATCATCACCATCTTTGAAACCTGTAATATCCATGGAATCGCCTTTGTTATTGTTTTTGCATGAAGTAACATAGATGCGCAAAAAGTAAAATACCTACAAAATGTGGTGTTTTCCTCAAGAGCGCCGAGGTGACTCGACCGCATCAAGAATTCTTTTTTCTCATTTCACTGCTCGAAAATAATCGAATAAACTAGGTAAGCTTTATTCGTGGAATAATATCCAATAAACGTGAAATTGAAAATCGAACAACGAGCCCATTAAACTGAACGCTAACCTCATCAAGTTCCTCTTCACTAGAAAACTGTAAATCTTGCTCTAAAGTATGCTCGTCTTCCTTTTTAACTTTTTTCTTCATTTTTGGTGGTCTGAAGTTCAATGCTTCATCCATAGCTTGAGCACCTTCACCTTCTACGTCAATGAGATCATATTCATCTAGCTGCGATTTCACTGATGACAAATGTTCCGGCGAACTTGTTTGACTCTAAAACAGAAAATATTGAATGAACGACATTGCTTTTTGTAAGCATTTTACGATGGTAGACCGGTAGGAGTATTATGTAAAAAACCTAAAAAACGTCAAAAAAAACGACAAAATGTCATCTTGCAGACTATGTAGTTTTTTGTGTGCAAATAGTTCATTCCACGTTTGCTCGCTATGATCGATTTTCGCTGATGTTTAAGCAACCCATAGAGCTACAAAACGAGTTCACAACAAGTGTACAACAGCTTGTATTAAGTTAATATTTATGTATAAAAGCCTACGTTATGTCACAAACCTATGAAATGTCAAAAAAACCGACAAATTGTTACTTTTCAAGATACGTAACACCCGTGCCGTTTGATATGCTTTTGAGGATCAACCTAACGATTTATAGAGAAATCACTTGTTCATAATTATTCGATTTTGAAAACCTTTCTAACTATACTTTGGCAACATGATGACTATATTTAAAGCATGCTGTGGCAACAATGTCAACATTTTATCTTTGTTTTTGTTTACCTTTGTTAAAATATTATCTCTTAGTTTTTGTGAAGAAAGCAGTTTCTGAGAGCTGAGTAGTACAGACATTTTTAGTTATTGCCCTTTCATTTACTAGTGTTAAGCATAACAAAATGCCCCTAGTTCGAAGACGTCCAAATTATCACCATGTTCGCGACTTTGACAGGGGTGGAATTATTGCCTATCGAGATGTTAGTTTGTCGTATCGCGCAATTGGCCGCCGTGTTAATTGTACTGTGTGTCGTGTGTGCATAGAAGAAGGTAGAGGAACACGAAGAAGGCCAACTGGTCCACCGAGGCATACCACAGAGCGCCCAGACAACTAGCTCTACGAAACCGTTTCGCTACTACGCGTCAGATCGCTAACCTATGGTTTGGAGAAGAAGGTAGCCCTGTTACTATGTGTATGCGTACACTCTATCGCCGCATTCGAGCCTTTGGATTTTTTTCATACCGTCCACGGTTAGTGCTTCCTCTGACTGCGGACCACCGTCATCAACTGGAGCAGAGAACGGCAACGTTGGGAGGCAGAATGGCATAATGCTATCTTCAGCGACGAATCGCGATTCTGACTAGGTACGCACGATGGTCGTAAAAGGGTAAGACGCCGCCGTGGAGAACATCGTGATATTGGATTTGCTGTTGAGGTGCATGTACCCAGGACTGTTGGAGTAATGGTTTGGGGGGCTGTTGCCTATGGTAGCCGATCACCCCTTCTCTTTGTTTAAGGCAATCTGAATGCTGCGTGTTATGCTGATGATGTCCTACAAACCACTTTAGTGCCATATTTAGAGGGCCGTCCACACGTTCTTTTTCAGCAAAACAACGCACGTCCCGTATCGCCCGTCGTACTACGGACTTTCTTCAAGAAGCAGGCGTTAATGTTTTGTCGGACTTAAATCCCATCGAACATATGTGGGATAGGATGGGGAGAAGACTGCCCACTTTGCACCATCCGCCACAGACTCTACCACAGCTAATCCACGAAGTTCGAGTTGTTTGGAATGAGGTGCCACAACTAGATCATCTTTTTTTTATATCGACTTTCTGGCGGGGATGCTAGACTCAAGCATTCCTCTCTGGAAGGTGGCGAAGTCGCTCAAAAACGGAAAGCGTGAACAAATCCCACACATTCACGGTCCTGGAGGCATTGTCTTCAGGACAGAGGAGAAGGTTGAGGTTTTCGCCGATGCCATGGAAAGACAGTTCTCTCCCAACTATGATTTTGATAATGACCTCGACGATGAGCAACACATCGTAAGATCTGTCAGGAGATATTTTAGGGCCAACGGCGTCAGTGACAGTCGCGCTATCGTTGGTGATTTTTCTTCATCAGAAGATTCTTCTTCAGAAGCTTCTTCAACCGAAGATCTGCTTAGCACATCAGCGGTATCTTCTGAGATCCCGCATTGCACACCAGCAGAGATTCAAGCTCATATTAAAGACCTTAAAGTGCGTAAAGCACCTGGGGAGGATCAAATTACTAATAAGGCGCTGAAGCTGCTTTCGCGGAAGTCCTTAACTTATCTCGTGGCAATAGTCAATGCCATGCTAAGGATCCAGTACTTCCCATCCGCGTGGAAGACCGTTAAGTTATAATGATTCCAAAGAAGGTGGGTTCGATATTTCCCCAGGATTATCGTCCCATTAGCCGGCTGTCAGCTCCGTTTAAGCTCGCTGAAAAGGTGATTCTACGTCACCTTGAGAATTTCTCGTCAGATCACCATGTGATTCCCGACGTGCAATTCTGTTTTCGGTCTGAACATAGTACGGAGCTACAGGCGGTTAGGCTGGTGGAACGTGTAACCAGAGGATTCACCCTTAACGAAACTACTGGCATCTTGCTTTTGGATGTCTCAAAAGCATTTGACAAGGTGTGGCACGCGGGCCTCTTGTATAAACTAATCCAAAAGGGCTTCCCTTTTTGGTTTCTAAAACTACTGAAATCCTTCCTTGAAGGTAGGAAATTTCGGATCAAAATTGACAATGTCCTGTCGACAACACGGCTGATTACATCCGGCGTCCCTCAGGGCTCGGTCTTTGGACCTATCCTTTACTCACTGTACATCCATGACGTCCCTAGTCCCAGCAACTGTGAAGTCTATTTCTATGCTGACGATACTGCATTGGTGGCTCAGTCGTGGTCTGGTGACCTAGTCCATGACAGGCTGCAAAGTGCGGTGGAGGAAGTATTAGATTGGGCGGATAGGTGGCTAATTAAAATAAACCATTCGAAAACGCAGGCAATCTACTGTACAAAAAGATGTCGCGGCGTTCCGTCTGAAGTTTCAATGAATGGACTTCGTATACCATGGGAATCCTCCGCTAAGTATCTCGGTGTCATTCTGGACAAAGGGATGACTTGGCGGAACCATATGGAAGCGCTAAAAACTAAATTCCAAATTACGTTTCGACAGCTTTACCCATTATTATGTAAACGTTCAAAATTAAGTTTGATTAACAAGATTCGACTCTAGAAGGTGGTCATAAGACCAGCAATGACTTACGCATGTGCGGCTTGGTGTTTTATTGCTAAAACACACATGCGAAATCTGCAGGTTCTGCAAAGCAGGACGTTGCGCACTATTGCTGATGCCCCATGGTATGTCTCTAACGAAACTCTACATAGAGACCTCGATTACCCTTACCTAAAGGACTACATTAAGCAACAGGCGCAGCGGCGCTATAGCCTAGCGGAATCGCACAGCAACCCTCTATTGCGTGAGTCAGTGGACTACACAGTCGAGCAAGTTCACAAGCACAAAAGACCGCGGCTCGCACTGTAACCAAAATTAACTCGTGAACTTAGAACAACCAAAATTGGAGCATTTTGACACAATCTTTAGAAAAAATCAAATATTTTTAGACCATATCAAAATCTGTGAAGTGATTTTAACAATGCCTAAACGCTGCTTATCCTAAAAGATTCTCTTATTCCCTTTTGTTCTCGTTCTTCCTTCTCTCCTTTCCTTCCCCTTTTTTCCTTAAAATTGTCTAGTTTCTGGGTTACTAGACCTGACAGACTTACAAATTGACACTGTGACTCAAGAGCTAAGGTCCCACGGACGGCTCTGACAACCAACGATGACTTGATCATCTTTTTGTCGATGCCTAGACATATACAGGAGTGTATTCAGCTGCTCCCGACATATTATTAATTATCTTATTACTTTTCGATAAAATTTCGTGAGAATGTTATCGTTGTTATCGCCACTTGCTGGAATACGTTCATAATAAACTTTATGGCATTTAACACAATAGACAACAGTTTATTGGAGCAAAAATGATATAACGTGGGTATCAGAGGTTTCTTTTTAAAATGGGCGATCTTCTACACCTGAAACATGGAAGCGTTCTTTTGAACAACTACTATACAGTAACGGTTATCCTCAAAAATTTGTTATATCTCCAATTCAAAGACTTAACTTTCCGCCTATACCCCCAAAACAGCTACCAACATCAACTAGTACACTCTGTATACCATACGTAAGAGGTTTATCCAGAAGACTTGGAGGTGTTTGCAAAAAAATTAGTATTAGAAATGTCTTTAAAGCAGCAAACATACTAAGATCCATACCTTGCCATACAAAAACATATTAATGAAAATATAGACAAGTGCTACATCGGTGAAACATCAGGACCTGTTAAATGTAGAATTAAAGAACACAAAGGCTATAATAACAAGCGGTGTAACCTCAAAATCAGCACTAAGAGGAATGGGAAAAAACGTATGGGAAACAGGACATAGGGTATAATGGGAGGATGTCTCAATTCTACACAAGAAGGATAATAACTACAAAAGAAAGGTGAAGCAATCCGCCAATATATAATTAAGCAATTCAAGAGTTTGGAAAAAGACTTTCACAACTCAAAACAGCCTTTCACATACAGCTTTAATAGAAAATCAAATTGTCACTTCGGACTATTAGGGCCGATTCTTGCTACGGATCAAAAAGGACCAATGAGAAGGCGTCTTTTGTAGTAATGGATCAAATGATTAAAGTATCGGCAAAAATACTCGAGTTGTGTAATATATTAAATAAATATAAATATATTTATAATATATATAACAAATACTACACGATTTGGTTCAATTTCAAAATAGAATTTTTTTCACAAGTATTCATTACTGTAATATAACAGCTGATTATCTAGTAATATTTCAAAATTCATTATTTCGACACACAATTCTAACGTACATGAAATGTTACTTGGAAAAGTGATATCGAGAGGAGGTGACATTGATTGGCCACCACGAAGCTCTGACTTGTCCCCACCCGATTTTTTTTTACATGGATATATCCAGAGTCGAGACTACAATGCTCATCCAAAAACCCTCAACGATTTAAAGCAAAACATTACACATAAAACGGCGGCAATCTCAAGAGCAACTTGCAGGCGAGTGTTCGACAATTTGAGGTTCCATTTGGAAGAGTGTTCGGAGATCTGGAGGCCATCTTGATGATAACATTTTCAATTGTCGATGTCCTTTTATATCATAAAAATTAGGAAACTCTTCTAGGTGTAACCTGTACAATGTAATAACAGTCGAAGCACCTGAAGGAAAGACTTATGGAGAATATCGTAAAGATCATTAGTTGAATGACAACCAAATCGACTATTCCCTTTTCAATAGCCAAGAGTATTCTACTTACAATGTGATCAGGTTCTACTATGGTGAAATTTTCTTCATCTCCGCCAACCCAAGATTGATCATCATTTTCATACGCCCTTTCCTGAGCTAGTTGGAGCTTGCTCTCCAGCTGGGTCAAGTGCTCATCATACTAAAAATTGGAAAATAAGCATAAAAACGAAATATCATAAGATTATCAAGCATCGAGTGCGATCGTGTAGCTTAAAGTCGACGAGTATGCAGCCTGACTAAAGACTATACGCCTAGCTTATAAACTTGCTCCTTCTGAGCGGACATTAACAGCTATAAAAGTCCGTCAAAAGTGCTTGAAGGACGCTTGAAGAAAGAAGTTCAACATACATGTATAGCCATGAGGATAGACTCGAGGATTTTAAGCTATGGAGAAAGTGAGTGCAGTGGTCTCATTGAATCAAATGTCAGAACATAGCGTGTTCGTACAGTGGTCGGTGACTTGACGGTGACAGTATCAGGGATCCGGCCTAGTAAATGCTGTCTATATAGCGGAGCCGAATGAACGGAATTTGTGTGGCGGGATCTTGGACACGATCACTGATAGGTTGGCGACAGCTGTACGAACAGGACTTTATTTACCGAATTTGCTGTGTTCCAACACACAAGTTTATATTCAAATATACAGGGTGCCGTCAAAGTTGGGACTTTTCTTTACAGAGTGTATAGGTCAGGCAATAATAAGCAAGTTTCCATAGTAACGCATATACCAAAGCCTTAAAATGACCGAGATATTAAGTTTCGGAAACTCTAAACTAAATCTGGTTCCCTTCCCTCCTCTTCTTTCTCCTCCGTGAATAGGTATGATATTTTGTGATACTATGTGAAACAGTATCCAAATCAGGCGCCGCGTGGTGTATAGATTAAGCTAGTTTATAAACAAGTCGCATCTGAAAACCGAAATTGGCACATTCCTAGAACAATAACGCAGTTATCAATTTGATGTTAGTTTACCGTTGATACTCCGCGAGTGTATTCACATCAAACTCAATATTTACAACAGAGCTGCACAGGCTTGTGTAAAAGTAGAAGACCTAGACACCCCCAAATGTTGAAGACGTAACATACTCGTGTTTTTGAAACGAACACCGACAACTTCAAGCATTATTTAGTGAATAGTTTTTTTACTTTAATGAAGTCTCAACTTTCAGGACACTCTGTATTGTGGTATTGCCTCAAGGATATACATGTTTTTGTCTGATTTTAGGAGGATCAATTCCTTCTTTTTAATATCCACATATTACCACAGCTGTAGCTTGCTGATAAGTGCATGACAATGCCTGACCCTTATTGTATATATAGATAAATTAAATAATGTCAAATACAACAAACCTCATCAAGAGTTGCTTTACAGACTTTCACCAACTGTTCGGCTTTCTCCGTAAATGGGGATTCTTTTCCATTGTAGAGAACACAATTTTGTAAGATTTGCTCTATATCCACCAAAAATTCATGTCGGCTGTGATATTTATGCGCTGAAAAAAAGCAATGTCGTTTTCTATCAAATAACAAGAATTATTAGAAAATAAGTGCAATAAATTGAAAATATTGAGTGAAAAATTTCATTGTGCCCAACAACGATGAGTTTTTCATATTAAGGTTCTGAATATGGAAAAAATATTCTGCTGACCTAAGCTTCCAAGAACATCTCAAAGTTTCACAAACAATGAGTTCATTCTGTTCTCTAAAACTAGTATTTAATAATACTCTCAAAGGAATAAAAATAATTTGTCATGTTTTACATGTAGATATTCTATTACTAATAAAATGCAACTTGTAGACTCAAAAATACCTACAAAGAGAATTTTGGGATATCTAAATGGGCAAAAAATCCTCCAAGCTATTGCAAAAAAGCATTTTAGTATTTTTTTGCGATTTCCGTTCAAAATATAATTCTTTAGGAGTAACTGGCGGAGGAATAGGAATGATTTCATTTTTTTTTGTGGCCACTCCACATCACCTTTCAACAACACAAAATGTCCTGGCAACACTTTTCTCAAAATATTAATTGTATGTGCTGTATGAGCAGGCTCCATCTGCTAATTTCATTTCCTCAACGAACTCTTCCAATTTGGCTTGGGTTAAGAAGATGTGAGGTATGGAGTTACAGCTCACACAGCCCGTCACTCATTGAGTGTTGTGAGAAAAATGTTTCCAGGGCGTATGGACAATAGGAAACATACAGTAACAATGTTTTTGGACTCCAAAAGGGCGTTTGAAACTAATGACAGGGATAAATTACCTAAAAACTTGCAACACTATGGATTTAAACGATCTGTATTCAAAATTTTATAAAACTACTTAACTGGCAGAAGTCAGAAAACCAAAATTGGATCTACATTATCAAGCTCATTACATTACATTACATGATGTAATAATACATTAATATGACTATCAGATGAAAATGTAGATACTGCTTTAAAAAAGCTAAATTCTGAATTGGCAAAAATCATAAATTGGTTAAATGTAAATAAACTAAAATTGAATGCTTCTAGAACAAAATGTATGCATATAGGTAAATGCCTAAATGAAAATACTATCACAGTTAAGATAAATGGTGAAATGATTGAAACTACATATTGAATCATTCAAATATTTGGGTACATATTTGTATATTGATAGTGAACTAAAGTTTGAGGATCACTAGGAAAACATTATTTCAAAAGTTGCCAAAAAAAAAAAACAAATTATTTTTATAGGGCTTGTCATAGCCTTAGTACATAGAGAGAGCTGGTAGACAAAAAAAAAGTATTATTTAAAAGAGGATATAATAAAATCTAAGCATTACACAATCCATATTCAGGCTCTATCGAGTAACGGATAATAATAAGAAAAAAACTACAAAATAAGAGAAGAGATAAAAAATAAATGATGTATCCTTCAAATCAGTCTCTATGTAGTCCTGAGAACTGAACAAATCCTACTATTATCACCTATAAAGATTAGACTCTCACCTGCAACTTTCTTTGATATTGTTTCAAGATCCATAGGCCGTTTTACTATACTATAGTAATCTTTCACCAATTTTTTATTTACTGGCTTTAGGAATGGCCATGACTCAGACATTGCTTTTAATTTTGTATTTACAACATTGTCCAAGATAAATGTAAGCGCCACCTGATCATTATCATCCAGCAACGGGTTTATTGCCTTTTCCAGTCGCATCAATCTGTCTTCCTTCTCTCCCAACCTTTCTACGCACTTATTCAACATTCTCTGAGCTGCTATAGTTAAACTACTCTTTGGGCCTAAAACAACAGCAAATATTATAATTAAATTATTGGACTGTCGACTTAGTGACATGATATAGAGATGCTGAATGCACGGAGTTGACGACGTGCGTGGCAGCTGCTAAGGGACGATGTTCGGTAAACAATACTGTGACGCTGTGGAACGACATCATGGCCGACTCATTAAGCTCCCTAATAACAACCGTTCCATCACGGCCAAATTTGATACAACCATAACCACTCACTGATTAGAGATTTGAATCATTTGGAGCAACGTCAAATACAGGGTGTTCCCATGTTCCGTGAACGTATTTTTAGACTCGAAAGTCAATCAGACATGATTTACCTCTATGTAAAAGGCCATCTTGCATAGTTTTGGAGAGAAAAATGTTTTTCGGAGCTAGTTTCTAAAACAATTTGTTATTAGATGAAGGGATGTTGTCAGTGTCAGATCATTTTTGACAACAAGCTTCATAAAGTTAAAAATCAATAAGTAACGTTTGTGTTTATTCTTGATTGTAAATTTGTTGTTTGATCTTCATAAATTTCAAATTAATTAACGTTTCAAATATCTTCGCAGAAACCAAGTATTAACAACATATCAGTATGTCATATTCACGAGAAAAACGAGCAACAACAACTTGACCAAAAATAATCTCCAACAAAACTTATTAATTTAAACTTTATTAATTTAAATATCTGGGGTACATATGTGGATAGTAAACTACTGTTTCACGAGCATTATGAATACATTATTTCAAAAACATCATAAAAAGATAAATTACTTCCATACAGTTTCCCATAATCTTAGTATGCATTCCAAAAAAATTATAATTATAACACTATAATTCCCCATATTTTATATTGTTCAACCATCTTGTTTACAGTATATGAGAACATATTTTTAAAATTACAAATTCAAAAAACAAAGCTATGAGAATCATTTTAAATAAAAACATATATGCTAGGATTACATCTATATTAGAAGAGCTTCGGTGGTTCAATGTGAAAAATTTCATATGTTATTTAGTTCTCATTTTCATATTTTTATTAAGAAATCATTTAATACAAGATTTAGAAAAATTCACAAAATTAAATAGTCATTATCATAATTACGAAACTATATGCAGTATAGATTTTCATCTGCAAAATTGTAACAGCATAACTAGCAAATCTGTATTTTAAATGGGAGTATTTGAATTTAATAAATAGAGTAATGATATTAAACAGTGTTCGAATTTAAAAATCTTTTGCGCCCAAGGTCAAACGAAAAATATGTTTTTGTGGTATTTATGAAGAATTTCTTGGGAATTAGGGGCCAATCTTACACAAATCGTATAAATTTTCTCTAGTATCAGATATATTTTACAAGTCGGCCAGATTCATTAGATCTTTTACTTCAATTACACCTCCTGACTGGTCGAATATGCGCCGTAGGCACAAATTATGATTCTCGCGGGTCAATAGTAAAGTCGGGCCATAGGGAACCAATGAGGGTACGCAACTCCAGGAATATGTTAATAGCACAATCCATTTTGCTTTCATTTTCTTACCATTGTAAAGTGTAGAATTCTCCACAATTTGATTAACATCAGCTAAAAATTCTTCACGACTCTGATATTTCTTTTGCCTCAGGTTTTCTCGTATCGTTTGGAGGTCCATCGGTCTCTGAACAATTTTGTAATAGTCCAAAACTAACTGAAAATTAGAAATTTTAGCTAAGAAGCTAGAATATCAATAATCCAAATTTCAGAAGAAAGTAGTCAAAACTTCATTTATTGAACACACTGGAATTAGGGGTACGCCACTTGAACTATTTCAAAATTATTTGCATAATAGAAAACATAAGGTTAAAATTAAAAATATACCTAGTGCAGAAATAATAATAATAATTACATATAATAATAAAATCACTTTAATTACACCAATGCATAAAAGTGGAGATACCAATTTCTGTAACAACAAATTTGGCGGAGTTATTTGAAAAAATCCTGAAAGTACGACTAGATCAGTTTATTGATAAATTCAAATTAATATCTGATTCACGGTTTGGCTTTAGAAAAGGTGTATCAACCACAGATGCAATGAAATTATTAGAGGGCGACTCAACTAAAAATATTGATAAGAACAATCCATTCATCGACTTACAAAAAGCATTTGACACTATAGATCACAATAAACTATTGAGTAAATTAGAACTCATTGGAATTAGAGGTACACCACTTAAATTATTTTAAAATTATTTTTATAACAGAAAACATAAGGTTAAAATTGAAAATATAACTAGTGAAGAAATGACTGTAATATATAGAGTTTCACAAGGAACAATACTTGCGCCCCTTCTTTTTCATATATATATATATATATATACGTATAACTTGAGACGTGATCATTGTCGTCTAGACTAGTTAGGTGAAAAATAAAGCTTCCGCCTTTTGTTGGGTACTTCGACAAAATTCAAGCAATGAGGGCTCTTTATACTTTGCTTGAATTTTGTCGAAGTACCCAACAAAAGGCGGAATCTTTATTTTTCACCTATATATATATATATATACGACTTACATAATCTATCAACAAAAAGTGAAAAAATAGGATTTTCAGACGACACCACCACCGCTGTTCGCAGAATCAAAACTTTTAGATAAAAAAAAATATTTTGGTATAATATATTAGAATTCCATAAAACCAAACATTCGACCATTTATAAAACATTATGAATATCATACTAGAAATAAAAATAAACAAATTATTATTGTAATACCAAAAAAAGAAGTAATGATAAAATCTTCTATATACTTAGGTCCAAAATTATATCGTAACTTACCAAAATATATTAGAAAAAAAACCGAATATCATTATTAAATATAATATAAACATAATGTAATGTATAAAAAACTGACATAAATATTTTTTCTTCATAATCCACAGTACAAAATAAATGTACAGTATTACATTTATATTATATAATTTTCTTCAGTCCAATCAATTTATTGTAACTAGTATGTTATATGTACTTGTATGTCGTGTTAGAATGACATCCACATAAAAGGATATTTTCCTTTTGTGGCATATCAATTTATTCACAATTTGTAATTGATGTGAATAAATTATTATTATTATTATTCTACGTTTTATTTACCTTAGGATTAACTGGAAACAAAAACGGCTGAACATCAGGCATGTCTCTCATCTCATTCAATATAGTTTCTAAAATCGTAGAGAGTACTACGACAGGATCCGTTCTCATTCTATTTGCAGGCTTATTGTGCTTCTTAAGATAATCACAGTGCAGGTCTGACACCCCTCTTCTTCTCTTTTTGCCCAAAGCGTCTTTTGGTACTTTCAACATCAGGCTTCTTCTTTTCATCTCTTCAGCATGCTAAACGTATCAAAAATATCAAGTGTAGTCTGATTTCGGGTTTGCAATTCCTTGGGCATGAAAGTGTTGCTACTATGGTAAGTTCAGTTCAGCTAAACTTTTGACCATCCCTTACAGGTATTGTGCTAGAAGTAGCGAAACCTTGCCTAATATAATATTAGTAGGGATTCTATTGATTTTCTATAAAAATCTAATCAAAACTAAGGAATGCTTTTTTATTATACAATTAATTTGTCTAACCACACTGTGTCACTGTATACAAAAATGTTTTAATTGAAATATTACATATTGCATTTTTATTTTTTTATACATATTTTAATAACTTGAGTACATGAATCAAAATCAAGTTTAAGGTGCGCGTATGTATTTCTTGCAATATTCAAAAAATACTCATATTTAAATGAATTCAGGTACTGAAAACAGCGGTATTTTGATACTCTTTTGAATCCGAATCTTGATTATGGGAATACAATTTAGAATACAGTATTCAGGATTATTACTAGAATACTTGATTTCAGTATTTGACCCAAGTCTGGGGCGGTACAATGATAGCAAAATTGAATTAGGGGTCGATTTAGATGTGGATAGGGTGAATAATTCTAAACTCTAACAAGGATCAGGATGGACGTACGGCTAGCCCTACTGATGCCAGGTTAAATTATAATGGGTGATTCATTTGGAGGCACTTTTTCTCAAAAGCATATAAAAGTAAAAACAATCAAGTATGCCTGGTAATATTTATTATCAAGCGACATGAGCACATATGACATTCGTCTTTTGAAAAACATTGTTTTAAATGTTTGCCGTTGGTGCTGATAACGTGGTCCATTTTAGGATGTTTGATGAAGTGTCCGGGTCTTTCGAGTGAATTTTGGCGAATAACTAAATTATAATTCCTCAAACGTAATCTTTTATCCCTATAGTCGAAGCCTCGTAGTTAAAAACAATGCGGCCAATTTATCAGTCCGAAATGAGACATACCTGCTTAATCATAAACAATATTATTTGATCATTGTACAGTTTATATGAACTATTATTACATTACACCATAAATTACCTTCCTGTTAAATGTTTTGTTCATAGGACAAATCGTTTTTAATATAAATTTCTATAAACTTAACTTGAAATATTCTACCCCGCCCCCCCTCTAGCCCATCGAAAAAAAGCATAGAAATATTTCCAAGATCAAAAATTAAGAATCTGACATAGCCCCAAACTTTGCTAAAAAACTGACTTCCTTTGCTCACTCTGTATATGTGGATAAATAAAAGAAATAGACCTGTCGAACTCTGTACGTGTTCTCAAAGAATTGGTCAAGAACATCCCGAGTACCGCAACTCTTTCTTCCTTTCCAAAAATATCGAGATTTGAATTTGGGTAACATTTTCTATGTTGCAAAGCGACTGTCCACCTGTTTATTAGTGGGGAAGTAGGGATATTACGTTAATCTTCCAAAACAAAGAAATTAATGATGATGGATCCCTCGAGCACCAAGAATTCTGGACGTAAACTCACTCCACTCTCGGAATGTCCGGGTGGAGGGTGGGCTCGAGGGAACAACATTGAAGATAAAATTTGTTTTACGAACATCTGCGGGATTAACAGCAACATTGATGCTGTTCATCATTACCTGCAATCCAATCGTCCCGCCTTGCTTTTCTTGGCGGGGTAAAAAAATCGCAGAGTCTGCACCGATTAACCATCTTAACTTCCCAAATTACGAGGTGCAACCCAATCTGAGAAAGAACGGGGAGTTGTGGCTTTTGTACGCAGCAGTCTTTCCTGCTCCAGAGATTTGGAATCAGACCAGAAGGGCATTCTGTGGCTTCGCCTTAACTCCAAAGCATCACCCAAACTTATTTGCTGCCTTTATCGCTCTCCCTCGGACCATAACTGGGATGAACTACTTGAAAAGCTCGCCGTCAAGATCGACTTCCTGAACATCAATCACCCCGCTTCAGAGGTAGTTTTTCTCGGTAATTTCAATGCCCATAATGAGCTTTGGTTGGGCTCAAACAAGACCGATGCAGCAGGTCGTGCAGTGACGAGCCCTACTTGGCTCCGACACTGTTGCTCTCACATATCAACGACCTCCTTTCCTGCACGATCAACCCAATCCACAGCTTCGCTGATGACATCACTCTACATGCAGGAATTCAGAGTGACCAGCCGTTTTCTGCCGCTGAGCTGGAAAAAAGAAGACTAGCGACGACTTCCTCTCTGATAAAAGACCTGGAGGCTATCACTGCTTGTGGACTCAACAATCTTGTACAGTTTAATGCTTCCAAAACATACTGTACTTTGACGAACAAAAAGCGTCCTAGCGCTCATCCGGTTTCGATGGATGGCCGAGTTCTGCCAAAGAGCCATCCATTTCGGCTGGTCGGATGCCAGATCACCGAGGACCTGATTTGGCACGAACACACCTCGTCAATAGCGGCAGCTGCTGGGAAAAAGCAAATAGTTTAGGGCTAAGAGGTACTTTTCTCCACATGACCTTCTCACTCTATACCAGGCCCAGATAAGGCCTGGCCTCGAGTATTGCTCACACGTTTGGGGTGCTGCCGCCCCGACTACATTATTTATGCTCGATGCTGTCTAGAGGAGGGCGGTCCGACTGATCGATGACTCTTCTCTAACAGACAGTCTCGGGACTCTTTCGCACTGGCGGGCCGTCGTCGATCTAACTCTTTTCTACCGCTACACCAACGGGATTTGCTCCTCAGAGCTCTCTTCAAGATGCCGCCGCGCGATGTGCCTATCAGATAGATCCGCCTGACTTTGGCGTCCCATCCCAACCGTGTCAAAATTCGTACATCCAGAACTGGCCGATACGACCGCTCCTTTGTCCCAAAGGTGTCGAGATTGTGAAACAATCTACAAGAGGAAGCTTTTCCCAGTTCTACTAACCTTAGGCAGTTCAAAAATCGTGTTAACAAAATTTCTTTGGGATCATCATAGCAGCTGCGGTGTTCCGGCATTTAGGCTTCTGCCTGCGCGGCTGCTTCGATAAAAAAAAATAAATAGATTGAGCTGTCTCGAGTATGCTTTAGCAGGGTATGTACATAGTTAGTGACAGTCCATTTAGATGACATTCAGCAGCCAAGCCTTAGCATACTCTAGATAGCGCTAACATTTAGCTTCTGAGTGCTACCGAATGCAGCCAATGAATCAAAATTGTAGTTACCTTGATAAGTTTACCAGATAGTTTAACCTTCGTGCCATCAACATTGACTAGATCTTCATCATCCGTATTCAACTGCTTCTCAATATCCTCTTCTTGCTCCTCGGTCATGGCAACATTGATTGGAGCAGTGCCACCAGATGTACTTTGATAAAGGGGACAAGCTTTGTTGGTTCTGCAAACCAAGTGTTAAAAATTGTGCAATGCTTTTTTTAATTCAATTCGTCACCTCATATGTCCTACATTGCCACAAGCTCCACACTTCAGCTTTAAATCTGGCTTCAATTTAGTTTTTCTTCTGGACTTAGAAGGAGAAGAAGTGACAGCCTTCATTAGTGAACTTGGGGGAGTGACAGCAGCTAAAAAATGAGACTTAAGTTAGATATCTGTTCTGAGCACAAAAACTCGTTTTTAAATGTGGACTGTTAATATATAGTCTGATAGGGTTATGTTATAGACCAGGATATCTAGACTTTGAGAGAGAGAGAAAAAAATGGAATAGGCTGTATACATTGCTGACTAACTTTTTTATTAAAGGTCAAAGTTGGAATAACTACCTTTTTGCATACAGCAGAATAATAATGTATTTGTATTATTGGTATGAGTGATCTAAAGAAGTTGTAAGAAATTAAAATGCCTTCAAAATAAGTATTTACACGGTCCATTTGCTGTAATGATTAATTGGTTATTACAAAAAAATCGTCAATATCGACATCGATTTTTTACCAGAAAACGCATAACGGTAACTCTGAAATATAGCCAAAAGTAAAAGCAGTTGTGGTGCTTCACACAAAAAAAAATATTCGAAAATGCTTCTGTTTCTAAAAATGTCTAACTGGTTCTAATTTTCTTGAGAAAAATAGATTTTTCCCACGATTCTGGATCAATCAAATAGGCTCATTCTCTTACTAGAGACTTGCTACAAATTCGTATTAAAGGAGATACCAACCGTGTAAAAAAGCATCGCTAAGGGTAAATCTATGATTGTCTTATAAACAATTAGAATAAGTCTGTCGTTTTTGACAGTCCTAATTAGGATGCGCACCATTCAAAATCTTATGAAAAATACACACTATGACTCTAAATTGACACGTGATAATGACTAACAATTTTATGATCACTCAAACTGAAAAAGATTGGATACAATATAAGAAGTCAAGAAGCAAGTGTTCAACAATTCTCAGGAATGAAAAGAAAAAATATGAAAACAAAATCGATATACGCAATAAAAACAAAAGTATACTAATCTGGAAGACACCAGAAAATATTGTATCTTCCAGTAAAAGGGGTGCATTAACCAGTATGCGCTTCGAAGACGGTACAGAAACACAAAAAATATTCATTGCAGAACGAATGAACGCTTATTTTATAGAAAGTATAAATGAGATAGTGAAGTCAATCTAAGATGGGGACACAAACCTATGTCACATGCATGTTATTTATAATTCTTCTATGAGTCAATTACAAATCATAAATATCAGTAATCTAACAAAAGCTATTTCAAGATTAAAATTAAATGGGAATCATAGTGAATGTTTCAACTTTATTGGAGTGAAGTTATTATTGCTAATGAATCACTGTTTAGTGTATGGCGCATTTCCTTCGAAACTTGAATGTTCTACAAATACTCCTGTTCCAAAAGTTCAAAATTCTGAGTTGCGAAAATGGGGTCAATGCATATTCTGCCAGATGTCGAGCTCTTAGAAGAAATCATATATGAACAAATCATTGAATATATTGAAGAAAACAAGATATTGATAAAATTTCAAGCAGGATTCAGAGAAAAATATTCTATTGAAACCGCAATTCAAATGGTAGTAGAAGAATGCAGACGAACTATTGATGAAAAAAGGTTTACAGTAACATTGTTCATTGATTTCAAGAGGGCATTTGAGACTATCGACAGGGAGGAATTGTTAACGAAATTGCATTACTATGGATCTACATGCTCAATACACTACCAAACATTAAAAACAATTCGGTAGGTGTGCCACGGGGTAGCTCATTAGGTCCACTACTATTTATTTCTTATATTGATGTTTTACAACACTGCAAATTTCAAGTATTTGAATAATAAGCTAAAATCAAACAAACAAAACAAAATGTATGCTTATACTCGTACGTAGATAGTAAATTAAAATTTGAAAGTCACTATGGATATATTATTTCAAAAATATCGAAAAAGATTTTATTGAATTTCGAATAGCTAAGTGTTTATTCTTAAAAAAATGTGTGCGCTAACATTCTTCCTCATTTGTTATATTGTTCGACTATTTTGATCACGGCAAACAAAACTGTATTATCAAAATTACAAATATTACAAAATTAGGCTATGAGAATCATCTTAAATAAAAATAAATATACTAGAATAAATTTTATGCTGACATAGTAACTCCAACAACAAAAATTTCATAACCTACGTTGTTTTCATTTTCACATACAAGTTAAAAAATCATCTACTTTATTGAAGAATAATGAGTACCATAGTTATTGCTGATTGCCAATGCGCGTACCCTAGAAAACCACTATAATGACCAACGATATTTGATGATGAAATTTCTGAGATAGAGAGAAATTCAAATTACTAGTAAGTGATCAAAATAGTAGAAAAAAGGTTACGTGATTTTGGCACGTGACAACAGCTTAGGTTAAATTAGGAAAAAGTTGCGTTCTTTGAGGCGTATAGTATTTACATGCCATTAAGACACTTTTTCAAATTTCATGGCTTACACATATAATTGGGAAAAACTAGAATTTGGCTAAATCATATTTATTTTTTTTCTGACTTTATTCTAAGAAATATCAAAAAACTAATGGAACTTTTCCATTGGCACTTTTTAGGCACTACATGATAGTTATTCATTGTGCCCGACGGAACGCAGATTTTATGAAATTAGTGTTCTTCAAAATAATAATAATAATAATGATAATCAGCTATAGTTTCCTTATTACTTAGCTGGTAATGTGGTGATGATGATGGTGATCTATCAGTCTGTACCTGTTGTACGCACAAAAACCAATACAGAATACAGATCGATAAGAGTGCAGCGGGGTAAGGAATTATAATCAATCTAAATCTTTGTCCCTCGAGTGCCCAGTTGACTAGTCTCAGACTCTAGACTACATCAATTTCATTTCTTTAGCGTTATTTTTGGTTTCAGCTCTTTTTATGTGAAAAATCTGGAATTATCTGAAATATTTTGAAAGTTCGGGGAAAATGAGGAAGTTTTCAGTATTGACGTAAAGGTCTTATTTCGGTAAACTCTAGATCATGGCAAAATCGGAGGTAGGTCCCTTGATGTTCTTTAGCAGTGGCATGGCACCATCTTCTCCTGGGTTCCTCTCTGCAGGAAGGCGCAGCTGCAAACTAGGATTTCCATGTCCGTATGCTGGAACAACACCTCGATAATATTCCGTACGGTCCTCTAATCCAGTCTACCTAGCTCGCATTCCAGCTTCGGTATCGCCGGCTTCCGGACCAAGTCATCAAGTGACGCCGTAGGTCTTTCAGGACTGATGCTGAGCTGTCCTAGTGACAAGCGCGTAAACCAATCGACCACCATCCGGAACACACATAACCTTCTCAACTTGCGGTTGTTGCTAATCGAACCTCCGATGGCATCCAAGCTTCTTCTGGAATGGAGGCTACGCCCCTCGAGGTGTTTAGGTCTGCGCAGTATGCCGAGTATTCCCGACGCAGCGTAAATAGTCCACCTGTTCCTTTCTGGTTACACCAAAACGAGCCTTGCAACTTGCACAATGAGCTCCAAGGAACTGTTCCTACGAGAGCTCAGTGTCTTCTGCTTGAAGGCGGTGGGTGCTTGCTTCCTCGTTACTTTCGGCAAACTGGGGCAGTCGATTATAGTGTATCGACTCTCGGTCATTGATACTCTTCAGAACCTACTAAGGACATTCCCAGATGTGTTGCAGCTTTCTTTCGTTGGGGATTATGCAGCCACACCAGGTCGCTCTGATGATAGCCACCCTGGCATAGACGTCATAACGGTCGTTGATCTGATCACCCGCGATTTTGATCTGACTGCGCACTTCATGGATCTCGGCCATGCGCCTCTCCAGGGTGGATACGTAGTTCACCTACTACATCCGCTCGGGGTCGATTTTCAAACTACAGTTCGCCGAGTTTACGCCCGAACAACACGGTCGCTGGAGCACTGCAGCCCGATACGCCATCAGGAACATGGGAAATACCTGTCTTAATCACGCTGGTCGCTAGATACTACTTTTCATATATTTTTTCTGATGGTCAGGTCCATCCTTTCCACCAGCTCGTTCGATTGGGGGTGCAATGCCGTAGTCCTGGCCTTCCTGATACCCAGCTTCTCGTAGACTCTTTTGAAGAGCTCGCTCTGGAAGTTTCTCCCCTGGTTGGAGTGCAGCTCTAGTGGGACTCCAAATCAGCTGATGAGGTTGTCAATCAGAACGTCCGAAACTGTGGAAACTTCTTACTTAAGTAGTCCATGGCATCCAGGATGTATTTGTTTCCATTCCAAGATTCTGGAAATAGTCCCGAGATGTCTATGGCAATCCTCTCGAATGAGCTGCCCATGTTGAACTGTTTTTTCTAATATATTGGCCTTCGGCCCACACACCGGTTCATTGCTCGCGGAACACGTTGTACATTTCCGGCACCACTTCCGAGCAGTTTAGCCAGCAACACCGCTTTCGAACTTGTCCAAGGGGCTTGGGCTAATAGGTGTCTTTATTAAGGTGCCTGACCTCGTCTGACTGCTAGTTGGTATATACTCGTAAATGGACACGAATTCGAAACACTTGCTGTAGGTATCACTTTTTTGTGGTTCTTTGGACCCATAAAAGTTTAAGAAAGCTCCTTTTTTTCGTCAAAGTACTTTTTATCAGCTTTTCAGTAGCGATCATTTTAATTACGACAGTAAAAAAACAACGGACGTATTCCAATTGTTTATCAGGCAAAAATAGATGCACCCTTGTCGACGTTTTTTACATGGTTGGTTTAAGAAAATCTGGTATCTCTTTTAACACGATGTTAAATAAGTCTCCATCACGAGGATGAGCCCAAAATGACGCCATTCAATAACCCATTTCCACCCAGTAGAATTTTTTTCGGTGATTTTCACCAATAATTCATAACTATTCAAATATAGGCGAAAAAGTGATCTCACTAATCAATAAACATCTGCAAGATTAAACAATCAAATAACATGGAATACTAACTCTCGTTCCTGTTGGGCAAGTTTTCGACACATTTGATGCCATCGCATTCGAGCTACTTGTTCCAGGCATGGAATGGTGTGACAACATTACTGTCTGATGTGGGATAGGCGAAGGTCCAACAGATCCACCATTTCCTTCTCTGAATGCGCTGTTTGAGAATCCACTGCTGCTGAGTGTGCTCACTGAAAAACAATAGATATAATTAATGATACATGATTGTACGATACTTTATGGAGCGTTATTGAGTTTTTGTCTAATAGGATCATGTTATATTTCTTTTTAAAATTGTCAAAATCTCAAAAATCTCACTTCATCAATTGTGTATCTATTATACAATTTATGCATAACTTTGACGGGGGCTATATAAGTTGTTCCTTAGAGAGTTTGCCAATATGCCGATCATGGATGATGAAGGTGGAATAGATATCGCTCAAGCGAAGTGTAAACGTTTCATTCAACCAGGACTACAGCGTGAAGCTGTACCTTCTGTACAAAGACACGGCAGACCTTTTTTGACCGCGGACATTCGTCAGAAAATCGCACTCCAAGAATTCCGCAATGAGCAATGGAGCAACTTTCTGGAGGGAATGCTCGATTCAAATATTCCCCTCTGCAGGGTCGCAAATTCACTCAAAAACGAAAAGCGAGAACAACTCCGGCATGTCCACGGCGTTGAAGGCATAGTCTTCAGAACGGAGGATAAGGTTGAGGTTTTTGCTGGCGCCATGGAAAAAAGTTCTCTTTCCAACTATGATCTTGATGATGACCTTGAGGAGGAACAACACTAAGATCCGTCAAGAGCTATTTTAGGGCCAATGTGGTTAGCGGAGGCACTGAATCCTCTTCAGATGAATCTTCTTCAGAAGATTCGTCTGAGGCTTCACATAGCACATTAGCGGAACCCTTTGAAGTTCCACATTGCACATCAGCGAAGCTCCTAAGCCATGCTAAAGACCTCAAGGTGCGTAAAGCACCTGGGAAGGACCAAATCACCCATAAGGTGTTGAAGCTGCTCTCGTCGAAAGGTTTGACATATTTGATGACAATAATCAATGCTATGCTCAGAATCCAGTACTTCCCTGTGGGGTGGAATACTGCTGAGGTCTTCACTATTCCAAAAAAGGTATGTTCGATATGTCCTCAGGATTACCGCCCCAATAATCTGCTGTCAGCTCCTTCGCCGAAAAAGTGATTTATGGTCACCTTGAGAATTTTTCGTCAAATCACCATGTGATTCCTGACGTTCAATTCAGCTTTCGGTCCGAGCATAGTACCAAGCTACTGGCAGTCAGGCTGGTGTAACATGTAACCAGAGGTTTCACCCTCAGTATGAGTACTAGTATCTTGCTTTTGGATGTCTCGAAAGCATTTGACAAGGTGTGGTACGCGGGCCTTGTCTATAAACTAATCAGAAAGGGTATTTGGCTTCTAAAATTACTGAAATCCTTCCTGGAAGGAAGTTTCGGATCAAAATTAATAACGTTTTGTCAACAACACGGTCAGTATGGGCCGGTGTTCCTCAGAGCTCGGTCATAGGACTCGCTTTTTATTAACGACGTCCCTTGCCCTAGTTACTCTGAAGTCTACCTCTACACTGACGACACTGCACTTGTCGTACAATCGTGTACTGGTGATATGGTTCACGATGGGGTACAGAGTACGGTGGACGAAGTTCTAGAGTGGGCGGAACAGTGGATGGTTAAAATTAATCATTCGAAAACGCAGGCTATTTATTGTACCCAAAAACGTCGCGGCCCCCAGCCTAGGTTTCGGTAGGCGGAAATCGTATACCATGAACAAATTCTGCAAGTTTCTCGGTGTCACCCATAATAAACGCATTACCTGGAAGAAACATAAGCATTCAGCGTTGAAAAAAAATCAAAATTGCATTTCGGCAACTATATCCTTTGTTATGCAGATTCTCCAAATTGAGTTTGATAAACAAAGTTCGACCATATAAGTATAGGGTGGGCCATCCGTTGTTTCTTTTTTAAATTGGTATTAAAACTACACTCCTCAATAATATGTAACAGTCGATTCTTTATTCAAAAGAATACACTCCGATTATTTAAGTTAAGTTAAATGGCTGCCGCGACTGGCCTGGCAGTAGTCCATCTTTTTAACCCAATTTTGAAGCACATTTTCGATTGTTTGTGGGTCTATTTCATCAATAGCTAACGGATATTTTCCTCAAGAACATCAATTGTTTGAGGCTCGTTAGTGCAGCAGCGGCCCTTAACAGTACCCCATAGAAAGTAATCCATGGGCGTCAAATTACAGCTGGGGGATGGCCAATGAACGTCCTTAAAATGGCTGATAACGCGATGACAGAACTTAGTGTGTAAAAGATCCATTGTTTCACGGCTGGTGTGGCATGTAGTGCCATCCTGTTGGAATCAGAGATTGTGCAAGTGCATGCCGTCTAATAGTGGCCACAAAAAACTCCTCTACATGTCTCTATAGCGTCCTCTGTTTTCCATCACGCTGTTACCATCTTTATCTCGAAAAAAGTAGGAACCAATAATCCCACCACTCCAAAAGCCACACAAACAGTTACTCTTTTTGGATGCATAGGTTTTTCTATGACGACATGTAGATTTTCATAACCTCAAAACCTACAGTTCTGCTTGTTAACGTAACCTCCCCGATGGAAATGGGCTTCGTCCGAAAAGATGATTTTGCGACCAAAATTGACGTCCGTTTCCAATTGATATAGAGCCAACACAGAGAAACGATATCGAAGCGGATAGTCATTTTGTTTCAACCCTTGCTCAAGCTGCACCTTGTAAGGAAATAATCCCAGATCGTTATGCAATGTTCTCCGCCCAGAATTGCGACTGATGCCCACTTGTGCTCTGTGACGAGTTGACATTCTTGCGTTTTCACGCTCACTCTGGACAACAGCCGCAATGTTTTCGGCTGTACGTACGGGTCGAACACGCTCATACCTTCTGTTATCCACAAGCAGGCCAGTTTCACGAACCTTCTCACGAATTTTCGTATACCAGTCGCGGACGGAACTTCATTCCGACCAAATAGTCTTCTCAATTTTCGCGAAGTTTCTGCAACACAGCACTCACTTTGAAAATAGTTTTTTCAATATTTCCCTCCTGTGTTCAAAATTAAAACGATCCATTGCTCACAGAGGAAGTTTGACACAATATATCTGTCAATATATTGAGCATGGAAGAGTTACCAACTGTCAAAATAATACCAACTTAAAAAAAACAACTGATGGCCCACTCTTTATACAGGCGGTGCTTTGTGCTGACTTATTTCGATAAACCGTACCTCCGGGATCAGAGGATAGTTGCGATGCTTTCGTTCGTTATCCCAGAGGCGAGAGACCAAGCCTAGATCATGCTGATGAGTAGCCAAGAAGCACGAAACAGATGTCCATGGTTGGCTGTCTTTTGGTTGGACGGACGAAAATATCATGTTTAGGACTTGAATGGGTCACTTCCAAGTTTAATCAGAAGAAATACAAGTCCAACACTGAGTACATCGACCAAAATCTTCTTCGGATCCGCTATTTGACCAGTCTAACATAGGTTCGGCTACAATACAGATAAGATGTAGATATGTTAGAGGCAATGACAATAATTAGTCGTTGGGCTCTGCGAGCGAGCAATGTTGCGAATCTTCTCATTTTAACATCTTTGTCCGGCCATTGACGTTAATGGCCAAGAAGAGCTAGGCAATCTTAATATAAGAACAATTAAGGATTAATTATAGACGTAGTAACGAAAACAAAATACTTAAAAAGAACAACTAGGACTACTCAAATATTATTTTAACCTGGAACCTGGAGTTGATGTCAAAGCCTTCGCTTCTTTAATCGCAGCAAGGGTTGCTAAATTCTCTGAAGATAATAAACGATTTCTTGTTATCGTATTTAGTTTCTGAAATGAAAATAATGCTTCCCATAAATCGACGACACATTTCAATGGGTTGAATAGTAAAGACGTAACCAAACATAATATGGAAGCGGCTTTATATTCTAATTCTATCATTGTTCTACTTGGCTGCTCATTTCCCGGCCACTATTCTTAATGCCCGTATTATCGGCATTGTCCGTAACAGATATAGAAGACATATTACCTCCCATTCGTTCCTTTTCTTGATTTCGTTTGATGCGGCGCAACTGTTCCTGTATACGTCGCTTCTCACGTTTCATTTCCTCCTTCTGTGCTTCGTCGAGAGTAGCGAATTGTCTAATGAAAGCTTCGTCTTTTGTGGTACGAATTTTCACGTAAGCATCAATTACAGCTGGCTTCCGAACATACTCTACCCGAGTATACTCCTTTCCTTCAGGGTCGCGGAATGTTCGAATTATTTTCAGGACACGACCTGTGTAAGAATAACATAGTGATAAATGCCTTTTAGGGTGTTATGGCAGCGGTGTCCAATTTTGCTCCCGCTAGGCGGCGCTAGTGTTTTTGGTGGTCAAAAGTGGACGGTAAAAAGGGATTTGGTAGAAAGGTATACAATTTTTCACAACTTCATTACGTTTTGACAACTGTTTAGTTTAGGTTATGTATAGGTGGCTATGCTGTAGCCTACTTTTTCATCTGCAAGCTGTTATATCCTTCACCAACGAGGGAATCTCTATTTCATCGCTCACATTTTTGAAAGTGCTTAATTGTATTTGAGACAAGATATAAGAGGAATCCTCATCAATCAACACAGAGGTAAACCATACAGCTCAAGTGTTATGACATTTAGGCAACACGCACAGCTACTACAAGTGAACATGAAGTGAATGACAGCCAGTTCCAAGATGACATTTTTTCGAAAAAATCGATGTCATTACAAATCGGTATAATGTCAATTTTTAAGTTACGCAAATCGGGTGCACCAAGAGTTGGGAAAATGATAAATTTGATAGATATCACGTGAAGTCAAGCAGCGACTAAAGACCAATCGCCTCGCCTATTTTAAGCTTGATGTTAAGAACGGACAGTGACAGCTGTCAAAATAACAAAACAAGTACAACACATCTACGGAGGTAGACAAGCGTTTACGAGAAGCACCTCTGCGAATGATACTGAATTACGGACAGAGTGGATAAAGTGTCCTTCCGTCAAATCAATTTGTATTTAACTTTTACGTTCGACCACGTATAGACTACGTAATCTAAATAAATAAATATGCTGCACCGCTCAAGGTGGGGTTAGCTGGGTATTGAGGTTAGGAAAAATTTGGAATTTCAAACTGATATTTCACTTTTGATGCTAAACTAAATCGTATAATCTCCCAGCTAGGTGCCAACTTACAGGTTTAACGAATAAATACTGTTTTCACAAAGTTATAAATCACACTTTTTGCGGAAATTTTTAACTTTGTGCTAATAGAAGTTTTTCGTAAAACCTGTAAGAAGTCGCTTAAACTTTTACGGCACGACGCGTAAGGTTATCAAAAAGAAAACTCAACACCCCCAACACTCTGCGACCCCGTCTTTAAAGAGTCGAACATAAAAAGCTTTTCTTAATATATTTATCAAAATCTATTTGTAAATCCTACCTTGTTGGGCGTAGTTCTGATCTTCGGGCTCGTCTTCCTTCTTCTTATCTTTTAATTTATCTTTTTCTCCCTCCATAATCATCTTCCTCAATTCCTGTCTTTCTTGCTCCTCTCTTTCTAGTGATAACTATAATTTAATTACAATGTTTAGTTGTATCTTGCGAATGTCACATTGTCTTACAAGGTATTCATTTCTGTTAGGTCATTTGTGGCCTCTTTAATCATCTCCAATGTATTTTCTTTTTGATCATAGATGGCATGCTTCTATATTATCTACATTCTTTCAAATTAATCAAATTATTATAATTCAATGTGCACCCTTACTTCATTTTATTCTTTTTTCAATAGAGACTATGTTATGTGCAGATAAATTTAAACAAATATCAAACCTCCGCAGAAATACATACCTATGCACTTCCTAATTTTAATTACCTAAAGAATCCATACTCGTGACTGAATAATGAATGTCATAAAATTTTTGGCATAAAATTCATTGATTTGAATTTTAACAAACTCAAAATAATATCAAGTTGCCTTTTGAAACAAATGTTTGTTTACGTACTTTACTGTCAGTTAAAATTTATTTATTTTGGAGTTTTCATTTTAAGATGTCGTATAAATTAGAAATAACAAAAAGTATCTACAAGTTGGTTGGGCGGGTACCCAAAGCTGAAATCTGTCGAATATTCCAGGATGGAAACATTTCACGCAGAACCAATTATCGAACAATAGCGGAGTGCGAGCAGGGAATACAATGTCCGAATCTCCCAAAAAATGGAAGACCAGGTGCATTTATTGCACAGAGGTCAGAGAGATTGATGAGAAGAGCAAAAAATCAGGTTGGAAAGTCAACAAGGAGACTGGCTCCTCAACACAGATCTAAGAGTACGTTATCGTTGGAATTGAGGAGGAATGATCTTAAATATCGAAAGAGAACTTAAGTGCCACAAATACTCTCAAATGCTTCTTCATATAGCAAGATGCTGAGGCGGGTACACTTTGACAATAGAAAAATCATTAGTTTAGATAACCCAACGTATTTCACTTTATGTAATTCTGAAATGAAGGGATACGACAAATTTTATACGGACAACGTAGAGGAATGCCCTGACAATGTTAGATACAAACATAAAGCGAAAATTGCAGATAAAATCCTTGTCTGGTGCGAAATTTCTGACAGGGTTGTATCCCAACCGTTTGTGGGAAGAGGGGGGGTGAATCTTTGAATAGACAGAGATATATTGATAACTGCCTTTCCAAACTGCTCCAGTTTGTCCACGAGCATCATGCTAGTAACCATATCATGTTTTGGCCAGACATAGCATCATGCCATTACTGAAGAGTTACCCAAAACTGGTTTCGACAACACAACATACCTTTTCTTTCCGAAAACGATAATCCTCCAAACTTGCCGCAGGCTCGCCCAATAGAGGATGTTTGGGCTTTACTGTCTAGGAAGCTTTACCATGGAGGCTAGGAAGCCCAAGATGAAGAACAATTAAGACGGCGAATTTACGAAAAACTAAGAGAAATTGATCTGAATTCTGCCCAGGACCTCATGATAATCATTCGAAGAAAGTTGCGCCTGGTAGAGCAGAATGGGCCACTCCACATAATTCGATAGTATAGTTTAGTTAAGTATTGAGTTGTAATTTATGATAACTAGTTCGTGTTTAAATAAATTTCTTCATTAAAAAAAAACGATAAATATTTTGTGGCAATGCTTTTAGGACATGCGTTATGACTAAAGCTTGCTGAAAAAACATTGCTTAACCACTAATTCCATTCAGTTCATGAGTTCGTTGATGTTATGGGGTCACTCGGATAGATAATAAATTAGTTTGAAAGACCTAACATATACTAAGTAAGTGATATCCAAGGCTTTAATTTCCTTTTTATTTGGAATATTCTTTTCACTCGTACAAAAATTAGCATCCCAACTACTTAGTACATCATCCTATACAGCACTGTCTAAGAAATTTTCAAGTTTATCGTCGTTTATTATTTGATACTCATGCTTATTTTCTATTGCTGATTCAGGTATGGCATTACGTTGTAAATTAATCATCATTGGATCATAATCGCTAAGTCTATGTTCCAGAATTACATTTAAATTTTGAAATAAATTATCCTTGCTTTTTATGATAGAATGATCCAGACATGAATGTGTATTTCCCTATTTTCTGGTAGCTTTGTTAACAGAACTAAAAAGATCCATGACTTTGCATCATAGTTAATTTATTGGTATCAGATAATAAGTTGTTAGAAAAAAAACGGTGTAGCAGTCATTAGCTGATTATTTCCTCATTTAATTAGGTGACTCACCTGCGAACTAGTCTTTTTGTTGGCCAGCATATTTTCAATATTTTTACCCATTTCTTCAATGTCCTCATCACTTTCTTCTTCGGAGCTTTCACCTTCATCAGTACTGAGAACTTCTGCACTTGAAAGTACTCTATTCTGAAGATCAAATATCCTTTGACATTCTTCTTTGTACCTTTCCTGATGTTCCGCTATTGAAAAACGATTTCCTCTGGAAAATTTGTCCATGCCTTCTTCTCCTGCTTTGGCTTTTTCTGTCGAAAGGGTACGTACCACATCTATTACTTCCCATCGAGATAGTTTCTTAATCTATAGAAAAATGAATGACATATTAACTTCAGTCATATTCGCAAGGTAATAAAATAAAAAAGTTTGTAAAGCGTCGTGTACATATGAAGTGTCAAGAAACTCGAAAAAGTTATAATTAATGTTGAACGAGTTATTGGCATACCATATTTTTATGAAAGAGGACCGTACCAAATATATAGCACAAGGGACTTCAGAAGAATTGACTGAATTTTTAGTATGTTGTATATTATGATGTCCTGATAAGAGCGAAATTATGTGTATTTATTGCCGATGATGTGCTCACTGAACGTCTAAAATACTAACTCAGTATCTTTACCTGGTCCGTAGATACATATTTTTTTAAATTTCGTAAATAAAACTTCATCACCATGTATCTCGGCATTGGAGCATCTTTGGACCCATATTTGTAAAAACTTTTTTTTTGTTATTTTTCGATGTACTTTCTACCCTATAAATATTGGCACGTCTTTCTGAAACATCCTGTATACACCGAAGATTATGAGATTCTACTTGGTATTTATATTCCTCACCTCTGATCATGGACCATCCCGTAGAAAATTTTGGGCTGATTTGGAACCTTTATCAGGACATCATAATGTATAACATACTACAAATTTAGCCAATTCCACTGAATATTCTTCAGCCATATATTCTGCACCATCTACAACTGTTATAAATATACAAACCTCCTCTTCTGGCACACCAAACTTCCTTAAAAGAGCTTTAGCATTATTGAGTGAAAGTCTCCTGAGATCCGCGTCTGTACCAGTGACAGTTCGCTTTGGTTGTGACTCTTGCTCCTCTTTACTTTGAGTCGGTTTATTTGGAACTCTTACATAACTGAAACCTTCACCACATCCAGTAGGATCAGCGGGTCCTGGAAACAAATTCGGGTAAATAAACAAAAAGCGCAAATCTAACATTTCTTTATAGATGGTTGTATACAAGTCTGGAAGTTTAACAACCTGCCAACCTACCAACTGAAAAACCCATGAATTCTCAACACTAAATCCTCAAAATATCTGAAACTTACTCAAACCACAAGCCAACAACCCATCCTACCCTTCCAAGGCCGCATTTACCATTCTTACTTCAATTGTAGATTTTTTTAATAAACATTACTTTCTTCTGATAAAAAGCTGAACGGCATGGATATTACGTAAGAAACCTAAAAACGTCAAAAAACCGACAAAATGTCAACTTGTTGGCTAGATAGTTCCTAGTGTGCAAATAGTACATTCCGCATTTGCTCGCTATGAGCATCTATGGAGGAATGACGCAACGATAAGACGTGCTCAATAACCATGCTGCAAGCTGCAAGTCAGTTCCCCATCATGCTTTTAGGGCTGCAGAATGCCAAGATAGTACGAGTATGTAGAGAATAATCTGATAAGATGTATGGTTAAGTAGCAGAGTATTTAGATCACATCTGGATGATTGTGTGTATTGATCTCCATGAGTATAAAATCAGTGATATTTGCTATGTGAAAAAACTATTACTGAATATGCTGCCTATGAAATATGTCTATTAGATGTGCCAGACGGGTTATTTAAGTTGTCCTTTCTGAAGAGAGGTTATGCTCAAAGTTATGCATTACGATTTTCCCCGTTTTTTGAGTTTTCAAAAACTTTGAGAAGCATTAAGGGAAATCAGCCCCACACCCGCGATGTGTGTAATTAAGCCACATCACAAAAAAATTAGGAATGACGAATCGCATAAAAACATTTTCGCTCTCTACTTGACATCGTAAAATAAATGTCTTTAAAATTTAAATGACTGGAAATAAAGATTAATGTTAAACGTAATAACTTTTTTACGTTTCATAAACATTCCTGATGATATTTTCTCAGCTGTTAGTTTTAATATACATCACCAACCAGCGATTTTTTCTTTTCGCTCTCTTTTTTGAAATTCAGCAAATTTGCATATGTAATTTACAAGTTGAATAAGAGAAATCAGATGTGCAACTAATTTTTAGCTTTGCATACATCTCAAGTAAGTGTATTTGCGACAAGAAACCAACTCATAATTATTAGCATACAAATCTTCACTATGCACCTATGCAATGCCGTTTCCTTCCAGCTATAGTATACAACTTACAGCTTCGAGCTCCAATAACGCCAGCTCTGAAGCACATGTAACATCACATCAGAGCCAAACATTGCTAACTGACGCATCATGACGCTTAGGCAACACGTACAACTAGAAAACGAGTACACAAGTGTCCATCAGCTAGTGCTAAGATAACATCTTGTAGAAAAACCTACGTTTTGTCAACAAAAAAACCGACCTAATGTAACATTTCATGATACGTAATACCGGTGATGATGTCACTTTTCAAGATACGTAATAATACCCTTTGCCAATCTAGATAAAAAAAATGAAAACTTTAAAGTGGCATATCTCAGCGAATGAAAAAGATATTTAAGTAAACTCAACGGCATTTAAAAGAGCAATGCTTGTACTTTGAGATGATCTCTATGGTAATTGAGAGATCTGAACCACGGATTCGGGTTCAGTGCATCAGCCTGGCCGGGAGAACAATCGATCAGCCCTGATCGAATGATAATACGACGTTATTGTCAGATTTACCATTTATTAATTTAATAGTATCTCTTTTAGTATCGAAAATTAACATCATGTTACCCCTTAGTACAAGATCTAAATGATGCTTATGTATGATGATTAATATTACGAACTGTCAAAGCTATTCCACGGCTACTGCTATTCAGCATAAAAGCAATGCACCGCTTGACTGTTTAAAGTTGACTGAACTCCCATTGTCAAAAGTTTGGAAACGGTAGAATATTCGGAAACTACTCTACTTTTGACTTTGTCATCATGCCTTTATAAATATATTTGTTGAAATCCTACTTAGAAGTTATACTGAGCGGTGTTGGAGGGTAAATATCTGTATATGCCAATAGGAAAAAATAAGAGTTGGTTCCACACAATTAATTAATCTGTAAACAACGAAATAATTGGAGTCTGATTAGACGCGAACGGTTATCCCACTGTTTAAAATTTGGTGTATCAGTCCAATACTTTCCAGGTTTTTCGACCATTTCCAGATATTTGGATATACTGCTACGTCTTTATAAGTAGACTAAATGGAGCCTCACTTCTTGCGACTTAGGTTATACTACAGGTTACTAGAGGCTAACATCTACTAATCAAAAATACGGTTGCATTTAAGCCTTCAGCCGATTTAATAGTAAATTTGGCAACAACGTTGATATCACCATCCGCATGGGTATGGCGTATCTTGAAAAGTGACATTATGTCGATAGAAATTAGTTACGCATCCACTTCTGCTTATTCATTCCGGAAATTGCATATGCAAATTTGCTGAATTTCAAAAATGATAGAGATAATGATAATATAATAATATAATATTAATTTGCCATTTTGTGCGCTCACAGAAGGTACACACCTTGTGCGTGAGTTTAAATTATTAGCCTAATAATAAGCAAAAAAAGAAACATTGTCTATCATGTATAAAGTCTAATTAATCATTCTTATCTTATTGTGTTGTTCACCGATCATAGCGAGCAAACGTGGAATGAAATATTTTATTTGCACCTAGTCTGCAAGATCACATTTTACTGGTTTTTTGACTTTTTATAGGTTTTTTCACAATAGCCGTGCCGCTCTGTATCGAATATACAGGAGTAAAACATTTTTTCGAAAAGTTCCTTAACACTTTCGCTGCTAGCTTCTATGATGCAGAGTAACCCAGATGCGGCAATGTTTTTTCCTAAAATTTTAATTCTTTAGGCTTTACTATTGTCTAAGTAGTAAAAACTGAGTAAAAAAACATTGTATTATAAAGCCAAATTTAAAAAAAGGTCAGATGTCACGCAATTGTGTCATCAACGACTAGCAAAAAAACTTAATGTCACGCAAGCGTGACATCAGCAGTGAAAGTGTTAATAGTAAAACTGATGATACTTCGAACGTCGTGTTCCAAGCATATACACATAAATTTTCCCGAGAAGATGAAAGAAATCTCACCAGTAAGTTGTAGAAGACATTTCCCTCTCATTGCTTGTATATGCCCTTGTGGTATTCCAAGGTGCCACTTTGACCTCATCGTCCATCTTTAGCTGCATTTCCTCATCATCATCTTCTGCTGGAGCAAACAGAAACTTTTCTCCGTAACCAGCGTCTTTTAGTCTCTGCTCAGCTGCTACCATACTGAAATATGCACAGCACTGTTCTGGTGAAACCATTGCACGAATTTCTTCTTCAGAAGGTAACCGGAACTCAGGTTTGATGACCCACCAATTTGAGTCCATGCCTAAACAGAAAGTATCACATTATATAACTTGGTGGAGATATATGCTATTATTGCCGGAGTCCTATCCCAACATATTTATGCTTATTCCTGACCGACGACCGAATATTTAGGATCTGTCAATAAAAATTCAGTTATTTATTACGACGTTTCGGCGTAATTACTCACCATCTTCAGATTTATTTACATATCCAAATGTAATGTGCAAATACACTATGGTATCCAGAGACGTATGTAAGAGATACGAAGTCAGTTAAATTTAGGCAAAGTTACGCATTTGGGTATCTAAGAAAATAGCAATTACATCTATATTCCGAGTATTTCCGGGGATAGACGGAAGAAACCGAATTTTCAAAAAATCGTTTTAATGTTTTCTTGAGATGAAATTTCAAAATAGCATACATTAACATTGTCTCTTATTTTACTCTACAATATTGCATAACTAAAATTGCAAATATGACATCCTGTCTCTTGTACTCAACCATCAACTTCATTTTTTCTTATAGACGCCATATTAGATTTTTGCACAGGTGAATTCGGATTTCAAAATGTATAAACATCATACATTGACGTTGCCAAACCTTAATTATTTAAGAAAAAAACAGAATTTCCTAAGTATGCCTTGAATTCATTTGATAGACATTTATTTCATATCATCAGCCAAACATTTCTGCAGTTTTTATGAACTACATAGGTTTAGGTGAACAGTGCCTATTTCTGATTTTAATCATGTAGATATCATGACAAGGATTGGTATTATAAAACTACAGATATATAAAGAAGTAATCTCTCTATCGGTCATCGGATGAAGAAGAGCCAAAGGGTAAAACTTCTTCATATTATTTAAGGGTCGTATTGAAAACAATATTCCATGTAACTGATTTGTTGTTGTTTGACGATATTGCAGCTAAACACATTTCATATCGCCCATATCGAAACTGATGCACACATCTTGCATTCAAACACTACTAGATAACATTCGTCAAAAAGGTGCGGAAAAATGTGAAGCAATAGTGGAGACAATGTTTAGCCATATTGTTTCAAATGATTCTAATTTTAACTTGAATTTGTCATTATATGGTTATTTAACCATTATTTTGTCACTTGGTGAATTTTTATGTAATACCATAAACAAATTGTGCTTTATTTATAATAATATTGAAATGATAAGTAACAAGTTTCTGTAGTTGTAGTATTTAATTTAATGAATCCTTGAAGACAGTATGAAAAAAAAGTTGTTAAAATGAGAATGAAATACATATTTGTATATTACAAATCTACGAATTATCTTAACTCGTACTGTCAGTATTTTCTTCTTTCTCAGAACTATTTGTAGGATAAGGGTTTGGCACAGCATATGTCAGTTTTTCTATCATGAGTTGTTCTCTTTTCGCCTGAAGTCTAGCAACATTTAATTGTTCAAGTAGAACAAGTCGTTGTAACTCTTGTGTTGAAAAATTTTTGGTTTCTTCACTTTCTTGCTTGACCTTTTCCTTCCTTGGACGCTTGTCTATCGTTTTTGTAGGTAAATGAGGTAACTGTGAACTCATACTAGTTGATCCATTATTTTCGGGAGTATATGTTTTTCCGTTGTTACTTCCAATGGAACAACCCCCAGGAACTTTTACGAACATTGGATTTTTTCATAATTCATTATCTCCAAGAATTCATTTTCCTACTCACGTAGTTTTAATTTTTTTGTTACCAGTTGTATTTTTATCAGTTTTTTTCTTTACATCTGTTTTCATGTTATTGAGGATTTTTTTCAATTTCTCAATGGTAATATGTACTTGTACCAGAAGTCTTGACAAATTCGTCTTTGATATTCGTTCAAGCCTTTTCTTTAGCTTGAACAATCGACGGAATCATTGATTTATTCAAAAGAACTCTATGATTTTTTAATAACCTGACGAATGTAAGTCTCTGACAGCCAATCTGGACAGGTAATTAATCCTCACTCGACGACATGATTATGGCAATAGCTCTAAATTTTGATCGACAACTAACATTGTACACGGTATCAAAAAGATAGTCTTGTCATGACTTGTCTTGAAAGCGCAACTTCTAACGCCGATATAAAAGTAAATACTTATAATTATGATAAGGAATAAGTAAAGACTTATAAGAAAAAACTTAAATGTAGGAGATTTTTCCAGCATTAACTTTCAATAATAAATATATTTTTATTCAAATAAAATGAGAAATACCTTGTACTTATAAGTATCAAATTATCCATATAAAATTTTACTTCAAAGGCAATTCTTTTTTTATTCAATTAACCCAATTTATTTAAGATTTTCAACCAGTTTGCTGTATGATACTACACAATATATCTTGAACAATAAATTGAACTAAATCTACAAACTAAGAATACGAGGTACCGTATCTGGGAACCTATCCATCGTAGAGGCTTGCGGCAAAAAATCCTTAATAAAACGGCCTAGAGAAAAACCTGGAAAATATTTTCAAGATTGTGAAATATAAAAAAGTGATATTTCTATGAATTTCGCTATATTAACCTAACCAAAAAATACCTGATCTGCAAAGTTGAGAATAATGTGAACTTTTATGTATAACAATTTTTGCTGTATCTCTAAAAATAAAGCGGTGGGGGGTATTCAAAGGTTTCCGTAAAAAACACCCTGTACCTTCGAAACCGTTGTGCCGATTGTAACAAACGTGGGCTAGTTGAAAGAGATATCCTTGGGCTACAAATGTTATAATATTTGAAGTTTTGTTAGTTTAACATGTCGCCGCTAGAGGACTTTTTCGATATTCCGACAGAAATGGTTAATTTTCTCAAGAAAATTAAATGCATTGGAGTAATTTTCAAGCTAGCGAAAACCGCATCTCGATATCTTGTTCCTAAAATTTAGGCCAAAGAAAATTTTATACGGAAATCCCTTAAATTTTTATTTCCTCAAACTAATTTTTCTGGATTAGTAAATTGTGGCCTCCCGTTAAACAAAAACGGTTCAGATTATCCTCGAATAACGGAATTCACAGACACATCACTTTTCTAGATTCACGATTGCAGTTACGCCCCATAGCGGCCAATTCACAAACTTGAAACTATTATCCAGGTTTTTCTCTAGGCCGTTTTAGTACTAGCTGTTTTTGCCGCAAGCCTCTACGATGGATATGTTCCCACATACAGTACCTCGCGTTCTTAGTTGGTCATCATGTACAAGAAATTGTGTAGTCTAAAACAGTCGTAAGTCAAGTATGGGAATATTGTTTTTTTGGAATACAACGTGAGTTTATGACATGAATTTTGATTCAGAATTAAAACTCTATAAGAAAAAATAAAGTTGATGATTGAAGACAAGGGACGAAACGTCATATTAAAATTCTAATGATGTCATCTTGTCGAGGAGAAAAAGTAACAAAGTTAATGTACTTTTTATTTTACTTGCCTATCTCAACGCCAGAAAAATATTTAAACATTTTTTTCGTTCATCTCCGAAAATACTCGAAATTGGGTATTAGTACCAACCTCCCCTCAGGGGTCTAATTCTTCAAATTTCTTTACAAGTACCCAATTAAATTATATCAAACAACCAAACATACAAAACCCATATAATTATCTGTAACTTAAAGAATAATAGTTTCTACAAAATAAATTTCATTTCAAACATATAAACTGCATTCATGATGCAAATGCCGTATTTACATTTACATACCCTTACTAATTTCGGTCGGACCAGCGACTGACCGCTTTCGCGCAAGACACTTCATGTCAAATTCCATTGAGCCTTTTGGACTGTAGCCCGTGGAAAATGTATTTCAAAGTTTTGCCGGGATAAAAAGCAGCGTATGTCATATTTACAGACTATATTTTTGTACCAAATTTAATCCAGATCCGACCAGCAATTTTCGCGTGATTGAACGTTCATACTTTCTCATTTACAACATTAGTAGCGATTAATGTTAAATATTTAAAATCAGTTTCTCGTACCTGTTCTTTTGAAATCAGCGCAAAGTTTTAGTCTTTTCCTTATACTGCTTTCTGAATGTAGTGGAAATGCCTTTTTAATATCATCCATTTTAATTTTTCTAGGATAATCTTTACTTTTCCAAAATAGTCGATAAATGAACACCTAAAATAAAAATATTTATAGATATCGAAATATAACTCGTTTTATAATTACTTGAAAATGGGTACCATAAACAACTTAAAAATGAAAATCGTGAATAGACCTGCACAAGTATAGTACAACCCCGATTATCCGAATCGCGATTATCCGAAATCCGCTTTATCTGAAACAATAATTTCTCCGTTTTAACCGAAGTTGTTCGGGAAATCGGCGCATGATCCGAAATAGCCGACGGTAGTTCCCCTTTCGGCGTTTGCGTCATTAGATTCGCTGCCGATGATTCCCCAAGCGCGTTTGCGTAATTCACTGGTATGTGTGCGTCAGGTTTCAGTCAGGTTCATAATCGCTAAGATGGAGCAGCATAGAAATAAACGTAAACGCGTTGTCATTACCATAGAAGAGAAACTTGAGGCAATCAGACGTTTAGATAGAGGTGATTTGCTATAAACGTGGCAAGCGATTTAGGTGTGGGCGCGCACCATTTCAGAATGGAAAAAACAATGCGAGAAAATTGAAAAGAGGTCTAGTGTTCCGACATCATCGCAGCCGTCATTGAAAACTATGAAAAAGGGGCACATCAAAAAGTGGATGATGTTTTATATCTGTGGTTTGCACAGAATCGAGAACGTGAAGTACCAATTTTCGGACAGTCAACTTAAGTGAAGAATTGCCAGTTACTGAGGCGCCTGATAACTTTACAGCCAGTGATGGTTGGCTGCATAGATGGAAAAAACGACACGGTATACGAGAATTAAAAGGAGAAAAACTATCTGCCGATAAGTCCGCAGCATTAAAATTTGGAGATCATTTTAAAGAATTAATGAAACAGTATGCTTTAAATCCAGAACAAATTTTCAACTGCAACAAAACGGTCCTAAACTATAAAATGTTACCGGCGAAAGGTTTAGCTTCAAAACAATAATCTGGAGCTCCTGGTTACAAACTCAGTAAAGAACGTGTGACTATCCTGGCTTTTAGCAATGCTTCCGGTACACACAAACTTCTTTTGTTGTTAATCGGAAAATCAGCTAAACCAAGAGCACTTAAACACGTCCGTTCCAACGCTCTTCCAGTGTGGTATAAAAATCAAAGACTCCTGGATGGAAGCCGCTCTATTTAAGGACTGCCACCCAAGTGAGGAGCAACTTACAAGTGGAGAAATACGAGTGATGTTTTAGCCTCCTAATGTAACGTCACTGATTCAGCCAATGGATCAAGGAGTTTTAGAAAATTCAAAACGCAATTACAGACGTTAGTTATTAGAGCAAATTTTAGATCAAGTTGATAATGGGTGTAACCTCATTGATTGTGTAAAAGAGATTAACCTCAAGAATGTGGCATATTGGATAGCAGAAGCATGGAGCCAAGTAAAAACTTATACTTTACAAAAATCTTGGTCGACAATAATTAAGCAAGAAATGGAATCTTGCGCAGACTACGATAATAACAACGAAAATTTACATGGGCTCGTCGTAAAAATAGCAGGGTGTGAAAATCTTACCCAAGCAGATGTTGGTTGGTGAGTGGATCAATGGTGATGAATTGGTGGAAGAATTAACTGTTACAGAACTAATAAAAACTGTTTGTAACAATGGCGATGAGACAGTTTTAAGTGATGCTAGTGTCAATGAGACAGAAATCTCTGCCAAAATATCACATTCTGAGGGATTAGAAGCTCTACAAAAGGCGTAGACTTACGTCGAACAACAAGAAAATGCGACAGCAGCTCATCTGCTACTTATCAAACGTTGGAGTGATATTGCTGCCAACAATAGGAACAATGCAAAACGTGTACAGTTAAAAATCACTTCCTTTGTTACTAAATACTCGTAAATATGTATGTGTGTATCCACATGTTTATATTTTACATAACTTTATATAGGTATATACTAACTTAACACACGCATTTACTTTTTTCAATAAAAACCTTATGAGTCTAAATATTTATTTCCGTTTTATCCGAAATTTCCATTATCCGAAAGCACTTGGGTCCAAATTATTTCGAATAATCGGGGTTCTACTGTACTTACATATTAGGCATTTTGTATTTGCAATACATACATATATGCGCAAAGGATTCAAATTAGACCAGCCGCAAAGATACTAATCTAACCACAATTAACGGCTCATTGAATGCAAGCTTTTTGCCAGCATGGTTTATGGTGTGGCGGTTTTTGGAACAAGAATGATGTCCATGAATCGGAAAGGTTTTGGGTTTTGACTTTTGAAATCAATACCAATGAAAAAAATGTTCAAAGATTGCAATCAAATCTTATAAGTGGTTTATTCCGGATCTCGGAAATATCCTTACTCTCTCTGTGTGATAACTAGTTATCGATATCAGTCGTCGATGACAAAAGGAGCCTTTTTCATTCAAAGTCAAATTATATCCGCGCCAAATGATCTTTTCGAGATTGCAAAAACAGGATATTGAAGCTGAATAAACAAAATATCTGGTCCATATGATGTCCTAACAGCAAACATTTTTTCCCGTAGGCTAAAAAGAAGGCAAACATTTTGAAAAAATCTTTTTCGCGGTGTTACACCAAAAGTACGGAATTCCTGGCAGTGCCTCATCGCTGTTACCTAAGGCAGCTGCGGTGAGCAGAGGGGTGGAGAGGGATTGTTCCATGTGCGTACGAACTAATTTTTATAAAAGGTGTTAATATATAATAGCGAAGTGGTTCATTTATATTTATTTATTTAACCAGATATTTAACAATGTGATTGATAAAACAGACAAATTATCATGACGAATAACTGACAATATTTGGTATATATATATATATATATATAATGTATGAATAATATAAAAATGTATATATAATAAATATATAATGGAACAGCTAAACTTATCGAGACTTCAGTGTCAAACATAATAAAATTATTATCAGATGTCAAAAACACAAAAACAAAATTATATTACGATCTAAAAATCAATGATTATTCAATATCGGAGTCATCACTAGACGAATCAGAGTCGTCGCTATTTAACTCGATCACAACTGGTTCAACAATAATGTATATGTGAGTATCCAGATCCCACATCATCTGCTCCTCCTTGATGACGTGTTGAATACATTTTTGCCAGTTCTCGCTGAATACGTTTTGTTAGCATTTGGTAGCAATAACTTGACATCCGCTAAATTGAAGGTTGTATTGTTCCTTGCTATTTCGCCTTTGACTTGCGCCCATATCAACTCAATTGGATTTAGTTCACAATGATAGGGTGGTAAGCGATGAACAATAATGGCATGCTGGTGAGCCATTTGACCTATAGCGTACAATATTGACGTGGGTTTGTTTTGCCTAGCGATATTAAGGAGTTCAATTCTAAGCATTTGTTCCTGGTAGGTAATGTTTTTTGTCTTGAGCCAATTTATTATGTCACTTTTTCGCCATGAACTAGTAGGGAACTTTTCTAGTCGGAGACTGTGATATGGAGCATTATCCATTACCACGACTGAACCAGAAGGGATATCCGGGAAAATGCTTTTGAACCATGCTTCAAATCTATTTGCTTCCATATCGTCGTGATAATCTCCAGTCTTTTTGGACTCAAATGTCAGTAATCCTTTGTCCAGAAACACTTCAACGCTGCCAACAGTAAATGAAGGATATTAGTCTTGCAATGACCGTACTTTACATGACTTTCTTGTATTTCCTTTTTTTCTGATAAGAACCTAATAAAAACACTTTTAATCCGTTTAAGTCACGAATCAGTTTATCTTTGTTTTGTTTTTTTTTCATGAGTAATGGTTTTCAGTGTTTTATAGAGCCCTGAAGAAGGCAATAAATTATTAAACATAGGCAGCTCAGTAACAGAAAACTGTGTCTTTGGATCCCAAGTCCATTTAGCTAGGAAAAATAAAATTAAGTTTTTAAGACCTGGCGATTGAAACATAATCCGATTATGGTGATTAGCAATGGATGGGATAATAATGGATATATAATCCTTAGTGAAAGTGGCAAGGTATTCTCATTGTCTCCTAGAATCAGTGGGGTCATTAAAGTACGATTATAATTATTTACATTATAATAATAATAATGCTGAATTATAAAAAGACACAACAGTTATGACCTAGAAAAAGTCCAAACTTACTTGTAGGTGCTTTCAGTCCTGAAGGTAATATTCATATCTTACCATACCTTTGGCGTTGTGTATCTTTCATTCACCCACGTTTCATGAAGATAATATATCTTCCTATTTTCGTATCTGTACTTCAGCATTTCCGCTAAGTACTTACGTCGCCACATCACAATTTCTTCTTTTTCAATCAGACATGACTTCCTCATCCGCTTCAAATACCTAAAGTTTAACTCATGAATCGTTCTTTTTAGAACCCTCATAGAAATTTTCGGAATAGTCGTCCTTTTCAATTTCACCTGCAATTTTTTGTATTGTAGGCATCTCGTTTCGGAAAAAAAAAGAATGTATGTGTCTGTGAACAGCATATTTGGTATCTTTTACCAGAACGATTTTCTTTCTTCCCCTCGTACTACCACTAGTCGTCGGATGTTCTACTCGGTTAGTTGAAGTTTTTCTATTGATTATCCGAAAAATTGTTTTTTCAGACACTTTTGTTAAGATGCTACAAAGTAAAACAGCATCCTGAACACCTAATGTTTTGTCTCGCGCACGAAGTCTGTCGTAAACGTTGTGTATTAACTCACTCTCCCCAGTAGAAAAGGTTCTACACTTTTGTTTGTGTCAAACTTTCACTTTGCCCATCCATTATGTCTCGTCTATTCTCAATAACTATTTAATTGCCTTCGAACTATTCTCCTTAGGCTACACCGCTGGAATGATCCGCGAGTTGTCATGTTAGCGGAGGGGGTAAAGGGACAACGGAGATATAGTCGAAATCACGAAAGATGACGATTACGTCATCATTTTAGTCTGTAGTAAAGACGAACGACTGCGATTTGTGAATATATTTAATGAAGCTTCTGATATGTTAGACAGAGACAAACAGAATTTTCTTGTCTAAACAAACTGTATTGCTAATATGCATGTATCCGACAAAGATAGACGATGTTTTCATGTTGCATGATCGATTATATTTGAAAGATGAATAGTTAGGTTATGGTGAAGCAGGTTATGTTGTCTTCGATTAATACTTTTGGTCTTTGGTGTTGCTGTCTTAAGGTATTCTACTCATAACTGTTTTTTTTTCAAAACAAAAACTCCCCACTAAAATTATTTTCAGGGTATCACTCAAAAAACCAAGAAATAAAATGAAAATAAAAATAATCAGTGAAATAACCTAACTTAGCAAAATCATAATATAAATTTGTTGTCATTATATTTCTGACTAGTGATTTTATCTTCGACGTTCGTCCATTGATTTCTTCAGTACAATTTATGGTATGACGTAATAGTCATCTTTCGTGATTTTGACTATATACACCAATCGCCCGAAACCTGACAGAGTTGTCATGTTGTTCTTATAGTCGGCAATTCCACGTACGAAACTACCAAACTGATGACTTACGAACTCCTCTCTCGTCAGTCAGAGTAGAAATTTTACATTGTGTCACATTCATGGCACTACTACCATTTGTCCATCTGAATATACGTTTCTTAGTTCTTACTGGTTTTACATCATAATTATAGTTTTTTACATGGATAGGTCAATTCATTTTTTAAATCTGGCAACTGAGGCTTTTCGACAGCATAGATGAGTCACTGCCAGGAATTTCGTACTTTTGGTATAGAATTGCATAATAATCGTTAGTCTCAAAATCGTTCGGCTAAAAAACCTGAAAACTAGAATCTTAAAGCTTCAAAATTATTTTTTCAAAGTCTAGATACAACCATATGAAATACAGACTGTCAATAATCACCGAAATTTTTTTTCGTTCTCCCTTAATTGTTTTGAGTCGTGTATGTTTTCAGAAATTCGATTTTGAATGCCTTACACATCACTTGTAACGGTCGCGGTTCGCGGATCACCTCAAAGCTCTTCAAATATTTTATCATCAGTAACCAAAAATTCGTTACAAAAAAGCTGAACATAACTTTGTAGGACGAAACAGAATTTAATAACACACCTGCAGGAAATCTCTGACAAAATTATTTGCTCTTTTAGAATTTGGCCCTGGAACTTCATATAAAGGACACTGTTGCCCGGCAACATACACGGCATCTATCTCACGTATATAATACTGATGCCTAGTCCTTATAATCAAGAAATCCGTTTCAGGTACATTGTGTTCATATATTGGAGCCCTAAAAATAAAATTTCCAAACATAGTAAGTAACAATACCACTTACGAGTAAGCAAAACATACCTATACATGTTATTCTCTACAGCTTGTATGGATTGACCTGGATGTAGAATGCCCAAAAATGGAGATGTGTGTGCATAGGCAGTCTCACCATATTTATAAGATGGCGGACCGGAATCTTTTGCAGCTTTCCTTTTGTAATAATTTTTTATTTTGGAGCACATGCCCACCTAAAAAACACAAAAATATATACGTAAGTGACTTCTGGTTAGATAACATTTTAATTTATAATAATTTATTAACATCAATTAGAAATTGTGCATAAATTGTTATGCCACAAAAGGAAAATATCCTTGTATGTGGATATCATTCTAACAGAACATACATATAACATAGTAGTTACATAAAATTGATTGGACTAAAAAAATCTATATAATATAAATGTAATATGTAAATTAATTTTGTGTCGTAGATTAGCAATAAAGAAAAGATATTTACATGTGTTTCATAAATTACATCATGTTTGTATCAGTAATCAATAGTCACTCGTATAAATCAATTTTTAATAATGATATTTTTTCTAATATATTTCGGTAAGTTATGATATAATTTTGGATCTAAGTATATAGAAGATTTCAACATTATTTCATTTTTTGGTGTTGCAATAATTACTTGTTTATTTTTATTTCTAGTATCATATTCATAATTTTGATAAAGGTCGAATGTTTGTTTTTATGGAATTCTAATATATCATAATATAGTTGTAGTCGCCGTTCTTGGCGGTTACGTCATCAACGTCATATGAAATAACATAAGTAAACAGATCGAGTACGCATAAAGTGGGTAACAGGAGACCGCTGTTTTTATTCTCTTCTTTAGCACGAGCTGTCGGCCTTCTCCATTGATCGTATTTCCGGGCAATGTACACTTTTATATTGAAGATTGATAACAGGACAATTCTAAAATTGCACGCCGATGTCAAGTAAGTTCTCACTCTGACAAATATGATTGAAGGGCACTCATACGTAACGAAGAAGTTTTCGAGACGGAGACACACAACCAAAAAAACGTATCTCTTTGAGCTAACGGAACAAACGTTCACATACAGGGGTAGGTTGCAATTTATTTTTAAACTTCAACACGCCGTATCTTTTTAATGAAGCCCTCAAGGAAAAAATGTAACATAGAAGACCCCCCTTGAAATGCGGTCCTGAGTATGATGTTCAATTTTTGGTCACGACTTGTGAATCACCCTCTATATACGGGGTGGTCCATGAATTAGTTAACATTTGAAAAAATCGTATGAAAAAAACATTTGACATTTTAAAAATTGTTTATTCACAAGAAAGCTAATTAGTTGGAATTCATTTCTTGAAAATCATATCATCTAAATGACCACCGTTACGATTTTTGCACTCTTCTAAACGTGTACGGAAGTTTTCGAATACTCGTCGGCATAAAGACTGCGAGATCGCCGACATCTCTTCGTTAATGTTTTCTTTTAGTTGACGGAGTGTACTTGGTTTATTGATGTAGACACGACTCTTTAAATAACCCCATAAAAAAGTCTGGTGGGGATAGATCTGGACTTCTGGGTGGCCATGGGATATCGCCTCGTCTGGAAACATTTCTTTGACCAGGGTTTCGTTGGATGTGTGGCACGTGGCTCCATCTTGTTGAAACCATGTGTTACGAATATAGCCAGCAAATTCCAGTAGCATTTTCACATACTCAGCAGAATTAACAGTAACTGAATGGCCGCTAGAATCTTCAAAGAAGTAGGGGCCAATGATTCCTTTTGCTGAAATTGCAGCCCATACAGTTACTTTAGGAGAGTAAAGTGGCTTCTCGTGTTTAGCTTTGGGATTTTCGCTGCTCCAGTACCTGCAATTCTGTTTATTCACATGTCCGTTGAGGTGGAAATGGGCTTCGTCAGAAAATAAGAGACTGTCAAAATTACTGAATCGAGCTAACATCATTTCGGCATACGACTTGCGCAAATTTAAATCATTAGGTTTTAGTTCCTGCAGCACTATCTGGATCTTATATATGGATATAATTTCAAATCTAATCTCAAAATACGACGTAATGATGTGTGGGATAATCATAATTCAGCCGAATGTTTGCGCGTCGATAAATCTGGATCACGTTGAACAGAAGCGGAAACTTGCTGCACGTTGTCTTCGCTCCGAGCAGTCCGTGGGCCGCCGGTTTGCTTCACATTCATTGTAGATCCCGTCTCTTCGAACTTGTTCACCCATTTCTTAATCAAAGGAGCACTCGTACACTGGCTTAAGTCGTGTAAATTGTATTCAACGCGAAATAAGCGTCTCACAGTAATGAGCGAACTGTTTAAATAAAATTGTTTCACACAGTAAGCGCGTTGCGGCCTCGTGAAGCGATCCATTGCGACTGAATTTCCAAGAAACGAGCTAGCTACTAGCCCCCTCCCCGCGCTTCGCGCGGTATCTGTTTGCGTGGTGTATTAGATTTAAATGTTAACGAATTCTTGGCCCACCCTGTATTATTGTTATTACCATCAATAAAATTTTCATTTTGTGTTCAGGTTTCACTCTACCCTTTTATTTCCTTCTAATTTGCATCCAACAACAAATTCATGGCCAACTAAGGAAATACATCACCGAATTTATCAGAGAAACGTCCATTTAAATATACAAAATTCCAAGATAGCGCCCGTATGAAAAAAAGTAGGTGATGGAAGACGATAGAAGAAATGCCGAATTGAAAATTTGTCTACGCCATCTTGTAATGTTAATGTCCCATTTATTATGAAACCACATTACAAATTAAGTCAGGGAAAAATAAAACGATTTTGAGAAAATTCGGTTTTTCCGTGTCTCTCCGGAAGTATCTCGAATTACGAAACTTCTAAGCAGAATTTTGTTGATTATCTAAATTTAAGCGACCTCCGTATCTCTTATAGTTTCCAAGATCCCAATGGTGACGGTCGAATTTGAAACACCCTGTATACTTGATTTAGACTTATTTTCATATTTTAAAATATTGGTTGAAGGAAAAAAACACTTCCAAATTAAAAGTGATTAAATCATTTTAGGACCTTTATTGAACAACTATACGAGGGTGATCGGAGTAGTTTCCGACCTCAACGTGAAGATGGCAGCACTTGTAAATAAGAGCTAGTGAATTTCGTTGTTCATCTTCTGACAGTTACTCACCAACGTTTCAGTCATTTTGGACGCATAGTTATTATGTAACAGGCGTTCGAGTGAGTTGATGTGAGAGTTTTTGTGAAAATGAGCAAAATACAGACTCGAGCTGTCATTAAATATGTTATTGAAAGGCAATACGCCTACGTAAATCAAAGATGAGTTTGATGCTGTGAGATTCTGCACTATCATTTACCACAGTGAAATTTTAAGCAGGTGAATTTAAACGTGGCCGTAAGAGCTTGGGAGACGATGAACGTTCCGGACGTCCAAAAACTACAACTACCGACAAAAATTTCGCCGAAGTTCATCAAATGGTGGTAGACGACCACCAAATTACAAGTGAGAGATATTGCAGAGGTTATGAACATGTCAAAAGAACGTGTTTGTCACATATTGAACCAACATTTATTCCTGTGAAAGCTATCCGCGATTTGGGTGCCGCGTTTGCTCACGTTATACCAAAAACGTGTTCGAATGAACATTTCCAACGCTCTGTTAGCGCAGTTTAGACGGAATAAATCCGAGTTTTGGTACCGATTAATTACTGTGGATGAAACTTGGATACACCATTTTACGACCGAAACTAAAATACAGTCCAAACCGTCTACTGCAAATTGGGAACCGGCTCCAAAAAAGTAAAACTATGTTTCGGCTGGGAAAGTGATGGCGACTGTTTTTTGGGATAGTCATGGAGTTATTTTAATGTTATCTTCAAATAGGAAAAACCATTACAGGAGAATACTACTCATCATTACTTGACAAGCAATAAAATCTTGTTTCACCAAGACAATGCACCGTCTCACACCTCAGCGGTTGCCATAGCGAAAATCCACGAATTACGGTTTGAACTGCTTGACCCTCCGCCTTAGTCACCAAATCTAGCCTCAAGCGACTTCTTTTTGTTCCCTCATCTAAAAATTGCGCTGGGAGGACAGAGATTTTCGTCAAATGAAGAGACAATCACATTCGTGAATAATTATTTTGCAGAAAAAACCGGCGAGTACTATTTGGACGGGTTATAGAGATGGGAGCATCGCTGGGAGAAGTGTGTAGAGTTGCAAGGAGACTATGTTATCTTTGTTGGGTCGGAAAATTTTCAGACCACCTTCGTAGCTGTCTGTGGTCGGATGAACGAAAGCTATATTACTAATTGTTCAATGGCGTGACGACCGTATTTTCCTATAATACCAGAATCGGCGGCATCTAGCGGCCACTGTGGTGAGCCGGCTGTCAAATGTACGCTGGGATACAGTTCGAACAGACAGCTTGCTGTTTCACTCAAGCACACTTTGGCTGTCTTATTTCGATAGACCTTATATCTTGGATAGATGATAGTTTCTCAGCTTTCGTTCGTTGACCTTCTTAAGACCAAGCCTAGACCATGCTGATGAGTTGTCTAAACGCACGAAACAGCTGTATATGGTTGGCTGTCTTTGATCAGATAGGCAAAAGCTATATTACCAGTTTGTATGGAGACATTTATACATACTGTTATAAGAGCTTCATTTCTTATTGTTTTCCTATTGTTCATTCTTATCAGTGTTACTTCACTCTTTATGCCGCTGTAGCAAAATATATATAATAAAATTGTTTAATTACAGGTCAGAATCCCAAAAGCATAAATGAAGTATTTCAACTTACTTGATTCATTAAAGGAGGATGTTCTTCACAAAACTCGACTAGGACCAAATCTCCATCTCTGCCAGACAAATCCTCGGCTGTTCTCATGAAGAATACATCTCCACCACCTGACGCAATTCTTTCTTGCTCCCGCAGCTATAAGAAAAGAAAAAATTGTATCATTTTTCCCAAGCCGGCAAACCAATTCCTTGGTCATTTGTTATGAATCCCACCATGCTGGCAGCATTTCATCATAATGGGTAGTTCGCACTAACTGGTATTTGTTTTTCCGGTTTTCCCTAATATATGTATATGAAAATGTAAGGTGAACTATCAAAAATGACTAAATGACATAGAAAATGCAACACCGAGTAGGTGTGCTGTAATTTTGAGCATACTTTTACAAGTTTTAGGTCTACTGATAAATAGAAAGTGATTAAAATTTTAACCCGAAATTTCGCAAAATAGATAAGATATATCACGGTAATGTTGATAATGTGTTGAAGCTCTTCTGTTCGCTACAAATTCATTAAGCCGTCGCGGCATTGATTGGATTAGGTGATTGGTGTCTTCTTGGTGTATTGTGCCTGTCCCAGGCCATCTGAATTTGGTTTCATAAATCTAATATTCGTAGAGGGTGCGGTGGATTTTGCAACCTTCTTCCTATCATGTCCCATACATGTTTGATGGGGGAAAGGGCTGAAGATCGAGGAGGCCACTGAAGCAGATTTACTCCGGACGCTTCTAAAAAGTCTAAACTAACACTGCGACATGAGGTCGTGCATTGCTGCTGAAAAAGTGGATCTTGCAATGTTTAAAAAAAAGCAGATGCGGTTGTAAAACTTCGTGGATATAGCGCTGGGCAGTCATGCTACCTCGAATGCACACAAATCGTGACCTGCTGCGGTAAGCAATGGCACCTCATACCATAACACCCACAGTGCGATGAATATGCCGTATGGAATATTGCGACGTTTCGTCTTTCACCACGTCTCCTTCTTACTCTTTCACGGCAATCATGTGTGCTCAAACATAATCTGGACTTATCGCTGAACACGACTGAGTTGCCGTTGTGGGGTCAGAGGTAGTACTAGATGGGGACGGTATAAAAGTAGTCCGAAAGACCTTATTCGGTGATAAACATTGTTATTGCCCTTCCGACAGCATCAAACCACTGGCCCGCAACTGCCCTTGTTGTGGAAAATCGATCTCTAAGTACGATTTGCCTCAAATAACGATCCTGTCGCTCTGTAGCCTGTCTATGACGTCCAGTACCTCTAACTCGTCGATTTCGGCCTTCTTGGAACCACACTCGACAACATCTCATTACAGTAGCCTCGTTTCGATTCACCCGATAAGCGTTTTCTCTAAAAGAAAATCTGGCTTCGCATAACTCGATTATCCGACCCCTCTCAAACTCGGAAAGTTGAGTGAAATTAGTGCGTCTGCGAACTCTAGGCATGATAATGTAATGAAACAACAGTGAAACAAATGGAACCAACACAGAAAAATCACTGAATATTAAGTAAACATTCCCAACTAGCAAAGTAGTGCTATAAGCTTTTGGTAAAAGAACAGTTCAGCCGTAAAAGCTCTCTATTGTGATTGCCTGAACACCAAAATGCTGGCTTAATGTTGTGTGGAATGCAAATTTGCTTTCTGCAGCATATTTGCTCTAAAATGAGGTGTTTAAAATATTCTTATAGCATAGTTATACAACACCTTATAGGACAAATTTTGAACGGTTGCATTAACGTTTATACAACTATTTTATACGGCATATTTGCGCGGTAGTGAAAATAGTTGTATTGTGGCATCCATGGTAACGTTTATACAATAAACCCGAGCCTTGTGCATACTTACTACTTGCAGACAACACCAAAATATTCTAATAAACCAAAGACAACATGGACGATGCCATGATTACACATAACCACCCGCCTTATTGGGCAAAAATGTATTCCTCTATTGAAAATTAATTAATTATGTTTCAGTTCGACATTACAGATATAAAGTGATAAACATTAGTGTAATTGTGATGAATATAGGATTTGTGGAAGATTTAACGCAGATTTCAGTTTGTCATCTTAAAAATCTAAACATACTTTTGATCATTATTAAAATATGAATCAAATACGAAGCCCGTACAAATTACCTAACTACTTTGCACGATAATCACAATAAAATTTGCTGCGCAAGTAATTCAATAGCCCTGTATCACCACGTAGAAGTCTATCATATACCTGTGTATGAAATTCACAATGGCCGATATGTAAGTAAACAAGATGACTGTAATGTGTAAGTTATATATTCTTCACTTTGCCTAAACAATACATAAGAAATATTTTGGTTGCAATAAAGTAGAATCATGTAACAGAATAGTTGTATAGTTGACAAAAACTGAATCTTGTACTGACGCAAATGTTCTGTAGCGGCTGCAAGAGGTTTACACTTTTGTTGTATAACTGTTACCTGCCGCCCTTATACAACCTCTTAAATGACTGAAGGCTCCTATTAGGTGTGCCCATTTCGCTTGTATAGCTGTTCTAAAAGCGTTTTGCCAATGTTCTTACAGCATACAATGCTATGTAAGGAAGACTGTATAATCGTTCTTGCAACTCTGCACACTTCAGTCTTTTAAGAGGTTGTTTAAGGGCTGCAGGTAACAGTTATACAACAAAAGTGTAAACCTCTTGCAGCCGCTATAGAACATTTGCGTTGGTGCTAGATTCAGTTTTTGTCAACTATACAACTATTCTGTTACATGATTCTACTTTATTGCAACCAAACTATTTCTTATGTATTGTATAGGGGATAACTAACACATTACAGTCATCTTGTTTACTTACATATCGGCCATTGTGAATTTCATACACAGGTATATGATAAACTTCTACACAGTGATATAGGGCTATTGAATTACTTGCGCAGCAAGTAGATACGCAATTTGTACGGGCTTCGTATTTAATTCATATTTTAATAATGATCAAAGGTATGTTTAGATTTTTAAGATGACAAACTGAACTTATCTGCGTTAAATCTTCCACAAATCCTATATTTAGACACAATTACACTAATATTTATCACTTTATATCTGTAATGTCGAACTGAAACATACATAATTAATTTTCAATAGAGGAATATATTTTTGCCCAATATAGAGGGTGGTTATGTATAATCATGGCATCGTCCATGTTGTCTTTGGTTTATTAGAATATTTTGGTGTTGTCTGCAAGTGTTATACAACAATTTGACAAATCTCTAAAATGAAATACGGACAGAGTCGAATGATTTACCCAGAATTTCTACCAGATCTATATCTCCTGTTTTAACAGTTGATAAAACCTTTTAAACCAATATCCAGCATATTTAGCAACAAATGTCTGCCGAGCACAGCAATTTTGTACTATAAAAGTTGTAATATTGTTGCAGATGTACAGCCTTTAACAGTTACTAAACGACAGTTCTATAAGTACTCCCGTTGGGAGAAATTTGTTGGCTAAAGTAGTAAATGTGCACACCAAAACAACAAGGCTCGGGTTTGTTGTATAAACGTTACCATGGATGCTACAACACAACTATTTTCATTACCGCGCAAATATGCCGTAAAATAGTTGTATAAACGTTTATGCAACCGTTCAAAATTTGTCGTATAAGGTGTTGTATAACTATGATATAAGAATATTTTAAACACCTCATTTTAGAGCAAATATGCTGCAGAAAGCAAATTTGTATTCCACACAACATTAAGCCAGCAACAACAATATAGAGCTTTTACGGCTGTACAGTTCTTTTACCAGACGCTTATAGCATTACTTTGCTAGTTGGGTATTGTTCGGATCCGGATATGACAAACGAGCCTTTACAAAAAAGTACGGCTCGGAATGTCTTGAATATTTTATCAGCGTATACTTCCATGATAGTAAATATGTTTACAAGGTTTAATCAAACTTCAATAAATAATTCTGGGTGTTGCATTTTATATGTCACTTAGTATATATGTAAATATTTTTGTATATTATTTAGTTAGTAAGTCTTGAATCAGTAAAATCACAGCATCCGTATGAAGCTATAATCAGGAATTCGCCAAGAATCCCGACGACAGAAACATACAAGAAATTAATACCTTTGATTTCTTTTTGATATGCCTCGTTAACGGCTGAACAGAGTGAGGACCGGGTTTAGAGAGTGCGCCGTTCGAGAAACGCTTCATAGGTGGACGATGGAAATTCCTCAAACGTACAAGTCCCATATAAGTTTGTATGAACGGAGCTCGTAATTCTACTACAGGTGTGGAATGCTGGATCAAATTCGCACCACCTGCTTTCAGACGAAGCGTCGATTCTGATGTTTTGGGCTGATAATAACTGGAAAATCAAAATAGTTGTTATTCGATGTAATACTGGGAATGAAAATTATTCGATTCGGAACGGAAATCATATGTGAATTCTTCATTTTACTTTTCTAGTTTGATTCTCCACTTTACACTCCTGTTTCACCTACGCCAACGACAGACAGCCTTAAGATACAAGGTCTGTCGCAAAGTAAACAAGACTTTTGAAAGACATCCGATACAAGTAGCGCCATCTTTTATCGGAGACTACTATAGCGTTGGATACATGACAATCGAACCGCGTCACGCGGAGTTATCGCTATCAAAGTGACAGTACTTTTTGCATCGGTCGAAAAATGACCATCAAACAAAGAGCCAATATTAAGTTCTGTATTGATCTTGGTAAAACATTTACCGAAACGCATCAGATGATGCAAGTGTACGGTGATGATTGTTTATCTCGTACCCGAGTCTACGAAAGGTTTACACGGTTCAAAGAGAGACAGCCAAAATTTGTGATTACGCCAGAAACCGTCCAAAAAGAGCGTCAATCAAAAATGATCCAAAATCTTCATTGAGATGCATAGAAATATTTCTAAAGATTCAATCCATCGCATTTTGACCAAGAATTTGGGTATTAGAAAGGTGTGTTTACGCTTTGTTCCGCTTAAGCTCACGGATGACCAAAAATTGCTTTGAATTCAACATTAGAGACGCATCATTAAAGAGGCCAAAAAGACAAAAACTTTCTGTACATTGTGTCTGGTGACGAATCAGGCAGTAGCAGTGGCCGCCGTAGTAGACTCTTCGGTCTCCTGATCAGTCGCCGTGGGCTGTGCGGGTTCGAATCCAGTCTCAAGAGAAATTTTTCTCTTGGCTATGGATGTTGTGACTGTCCGTTGGTGGTAGACAGTCTCTGAATGTCGAACGCAGAGGCACCACCTGGCGGATCTCGAGGGCGGGGCCAGAATGTGTGCATGTTGCATGCACACGTGTTCCCTCGCCAGAGTCCGTGTGGCGTTCCCCCTTTCCCCTGTATCCCCCTATAGCCCCACGGTACCCAATGGGTGCTTAGTCCGAAAAAAAAAACCGTTTAGAAAAGTCCAAAGTGAAGACAATGTTGATTTGTTTCTACGATTTGAAGGGAATTATTCACCGGGCCAAACGGTTAATGCTGTGTTATCTTGGTGATATGAGGCATTTGCTGTCGCGTATTCGTCGTGATCGGCCAGAATATCGCGAAGAAGGAAGCTGGTGCTTGTTGCACCATCTCATCGATCGACGTTTGTGTCCGATTTTTTTGTAAAAAAATGGCATTTTAACCATCAACCATTTCCCATATGTCCTGATATGGCACCGTTGTGACTATTTTCTGTTAGGTAAACTATATTAGGTCATGAAGGGACAGCGGTATGCCGACGTAGAGGTCATCCAAAAGGCGTCGACGACCATTTTGAAGGTCATCCCAGTCAATGAGCTAAAATCATCATTCGAAAGTCTTTTGGTCCGAGCAAATCGCTGTATTAATTCTGAAGGAGACCATTTCGAATAAAATAAATTCGCTTTTCGAAACATTCATTTTTTTGTCCTCTTTACTTTGCGACAGACCTTGTATTTGTATGTCACACAGATGAGATGATTTACCGTGACATACTTTTTCGATTCGTTCATGTTATATTTTGACAAATATGTGCTATATATGAGGCATTGATGTAGCACGCGACATGAGCACTCGAGTGCCGCTTCTATTCGCTTATAGCTGTCTGCTAAGACATTTTGTAATCCAAGGGTTCGCGCAAATTTGAACATCAGGCACTGTTTTTTTTACGTGGCGTAAATGAAGTTTGAATGCACTTTAGGTTCGTATCGTCAGTCTTTTCTACAATTGTAGGACGCCTTTATGGCCTCCTTGATGTTCATAGTTTTGTACTATCCGTGCCAGCGCTCTATTTTGAGGTTATGTTACAAATATCTGTGTATTTGCATCAAATTGTCCATGCTTTTCATTTATGTCATCTGTTATACCAGCCTGAAATATCCTACAATTCAAAAAGAAAACATAGTCTCACAATAGGAGAGCGCTGACGCTGACATAGAACAGTAGAAATCTAGAAATACCCCAGCCTTTTTGAAGGAAAAAAATCAAGGAGGCTATAAAGGCGTCCTGTAATTGTAGGAGGCCATCAGAAGAACTCTAAGGAGCAAAGCCTGTTGACATAGCAGTAGTAGATCGCCGGCGGCCCGTCGGTGTGAAAGGGTGCCGAGACGGTCCATTAGAGAAAAGTCATCGGTCAATCGGACAACCCTCCTCTAAATAGCATCGAGCATCGCTAATGTAGTCGGGGCGGCAGCACCCCAAAAATGTGAGGTGTACTTGAGGCTAGATCTTATCTTGGCATTGTACAACGTGAGATTATGTGGAGAAAAGTACTTCTTAACCATAAACATATAGGCTAGCAGATGCAGCGATTGAAGAGATGTGTCCGTGCCAGATCAAATCCTCGGAGATATGGACTCCGAGCAGCAGAAATGAATGGCTCTTTGGTAGAACTCGATCATCCATCTAAACCGGATGAGCGCTACGGCGCTGCTTGTTAGTAAAGGTATAGTACTGAGTTTTTGAAGCTTTAAACTGTACCAGATTGTTGTGTCACCAAGCAATGATCACGTCCAGCACCGCACGGGTATCACGTATCTTGAAAAATGACATTATGCCGATTTTTTTGACATGCTGTTGTTTTTAACATTATGTAGGTTTTTCTACAAGATATTAACTTAGCACTTAGTTGTACGTGTTGCCTAAACGTCATGAGGTTTGCTATCAATCTTTGGCTCTGATGTGATGTAAAATCTGCTTCAGAGATGGCATTACTGGAAGTCTAAGCTGTAAGTTGTATGTTTTGATGATAATTACATTTGGTTCTTGTCTCAAATACACTCAATTGAGATTCAAAGCTAGAAATTAGTTGTGCATCCACTTTCTCTTATCCATTCTGGAAATTACATATACAATTTTGCTGAATTTAAAAAATGAGAGGATAAGAAATAATTATATTCACTGTACACTGTCGAATTACAAGCCATATACATGCTAACAGTAATTACACACAACGCGGGCGCGGTGATGATTTTCCGTAATTCTCCTCAGTTTTTCGTAATTTATAACATTGCACATAACCTCTCTTCAGAAACCATAACATAAAAATAACCCGTCGGGCACAGCCAATAGATGTACTTCATTCGCAGCATATTCAGTAATGATTTTCTCTCACAGCAAAACTACAGACAAGGACCATTTGGCCTCACAAAACATATGCAACCAATAATGCGTTTAGTTTAGTTGAGTGATTCCTCCTTAGATGGACGTTCACAACGATCCTAGTGAGCAAACGTGGAATGACTGTTTGGGCCCTAAAAACTACCTAGTTTGCAAGATGACATCTTATAGGTTTTTTTTGTTGACGTTTTATAGGTTTTTTACATGATACCCATGCGGGTATTACGTGTCTTGAAAAGTGACATTATGTCGATTTTTTTGGAAAATAATATTGGTTTTTTGTCACATTATGTAGGTTTTTCTACAAGATGTAAACTTATCACTAGCTTTTGAACACTTGCTGTGAACTCGTTTTGTAGTTATAAGTGACGCCACAGACTCTGCCACAGCTAATCCACGAAGTTCGAGTTGCTTGGAATCAGGTGCCACAATCAGACATCCGTCATCTCATTTTGCCTAGACGTATACAGGAGTGTATTCAGCTGCGGGGTCGCCCAACACATATTTTCTTTTTCTTATTACTTGTCAATAAAATTTTATGAGAATATTATTGTTTCATTCTTGGTGTAAGTCCTCATTGCCAAAAAATGTTGACGACATTATTTATCATTATTTTCGTGGGTGTAACTCTTGTAATGCCACCGAGTATAAAAATAACAATTTTGAGAAAATTCGGTTTCTACGTTTATCTTTGGAAACAATAGCAATTGCGAGAGTTTTTAAGTGCCAATTTTAGTAGTTACCTGAATACGCAACTTTGAGCTAACTTCTTATCTTTCACCGTTTCCGAAATCCAAATGGTGAGAGTCGCATTTGAAACACCTGGTATAGTAATTCGAAAAATTTTAAAAGATGGTGATGGCTTGCGGAATATTCAGAAAGTAGATTGAGATTGATAAAGAAAATTCATTTGTAATGCAGGAGGGCAGATCTAACAAAAGATAAGTAAGGTGCTCAATTTCAGGCTTAAGTAACGACCATACAAGTCTGCGCAAAAGAGCTAAGAAGGAGTGAGACCGCAAATCAGTCGATCGCTATCTGCTCAGACAGCCAGTCAACCATAAAGGCATTAAATTCATCGCAAACATCGTCTAAGTTAGTACGGCATCGCATTGCATTTCAACACTCTTAACCTAGGAAACCGAAACAAGGTAACATTACTCTGGGTACCATGACATGAAGAGCACAAAGGAAATGGAAAGGCCGATAAGCTAGCCCGCTAGGGTGAGGCCAATCGCCTTAAAGCTCCAGTGACGTGACGAGAACACGCCCTAAACGGTCCATAAGAAATTGGACCAAGAAAAAGTCCCTAGAGTGCTGGAACAGCCAATTACGGCAATAACAGGCAAAAGAGATTATCAAAGAACGAAGGCCCGCATTTACAGATGACCTACTTGGATTTCATAGGAAAGTCATAAGGACCACACTGGGTCTCCTGACAGCCATCTAAATCGATATAAGGTTCTTGGGACTGGCAGAAGAGGCCACATACCATTTCTGTAGTGAGTATGAGGAAACCAAAGGCCTGTCAAGGCTACGGTTTCAAATAGTGGGAGCCGCAAATCCAACCGCGGAAAGCTGCATGCAAGGCCGTGTCTCAAGGCTGTGGAGTCTGATAAAGGATCAAGGCTAGACACAGAGCTTAAGAAAGTTTATATGGGAGTCACAATAGATTCATTTGGGTCTCAGTGACGTTAGGACTAGCAAACGAATCCCTTTCTTTTGTAATACTGTAAAAGGTGCTCAATAATTCAACAAAAATGTATATCCGACTGTCGTACCGGTTGCTTCTTGAGTTCATATAATTAAAAGCTACTTACACATCATTAGATATGTTGAATGGATCTCTATCTGGAGATTTAGGTGGTGGTGGTGGGGTATCTTCTTGGAGCACGTTTATCACGCCAGCTTTTCCTAACAATATTTTCGACTTCTTTACGTGTGGATGAGGAATCTTCACTTTAACAGGAGTCGCCTGACCTAAATAAAGTAACAAACACAAGAATTGCTAAACATAGAATTCAATGAGTATTGCTAAATTATAAAACGGTTGCTTATGAGAATATACAGTCGTAATCCCGGATTAAACGTAAAATAAATAATATTGCAAATATGCATTAACAAAATGTCTCTCCTTAATGAGATTAAGACTTTTTCCACTGCAACTCAAGCTGTTTTTATGATATCTCCATAAAAATTAAGAATCCGTTGTTAACGAGGATGAGAAATACGATTATATCGTTTTTTTCAACACAGTATGTAAAGGCTTATAACTAAAATCTCGCTATTTCATACCATAATTGTTTTGCTAGTATATTGAAAATTATGATGGAATGGAGCTTTTAAGTAAAAAAGATTCACTACATTTGTTTCAATTATACAAACCCTTTTTGAGATAATTGTATTTCATAATTTTTACCCCTACTGATCGGGACCGTGGCGAATGCTTGTTCCGGAAGTTGCTATATCCCTTATACAACTTCTTCCCGTTCAAGCGATTGTACACGCGTGAAGGAATACCTCAGTACCATTGCGGGTGGCGGTACTAGTCCGCCAACGGACCACTTTAGGTGTATTTAACATCATTAACAAGTAAAAAGTAGGTGGTAGACAAGGGGCAGTCGACGCGACGCGGTACCACCTGCTAGGTTTTTCCAGAGTGTCTTAAGAATGACCGCATGTTTCCACAGCTCAGCTACACAGTCGGTCATCTTATCTTTCCATTCAAGCACAGAAAGACTAGTCGACCAAGGCGGTTCCACCCGTTAGCTTTTTTTCCACACCTAAGCTACGCAGTAGGTTATCTTCCCCGACATAGAAATTAATGATGATGGATCCCTCGAGTTCTAGAATTCCGGACGTAAACTCATTCCACTCTCGGAATGTCCGGGTGGAGGGTGAACTCGACGGAACAACATCGAAGATAAAACTTGTTTCACGAACATCTGCGGAATTAACAGCAACATTGATTGTGTTCATCACTACTTGCAATCAAATTGTTCCGCCATGATCAGTCTGCACCGATTAACCATCTTAGCTGCCCAAATTACAAGGTGCACTCCAATCTGAGAAAGAACGGGGGAATTGTGGATTTTGTCCGCAGCAGACTTTTCTGCTCCAGAGATGTCTCTTAGGAATCAGACCGAAAGGACATTCTGTGACTTTGCCTCAACTCCAAAACATCCCCCAAATTTATTTGCTGCCTCGGGCCATAACTGGGATGACCTACTTGAATACCTCGTCGTCAAGATATTAATCACCCCGCTTAAGAGGTAGTTCTCCTCGGCGATTTCAATGCCCATAATGAGCTTTGGTTGGGCTCAAACAAGACCAATGCAGGAGGGCGTATAGTTGAACCGTTCGCTCTTACTCAAGGGCTGATCCAGCTGGTGACGAGCCCTACTTTTCTCCCCCGCGTCTCGTCACATGCCAGTAGCCTGCTGGACCTCTTTCTGACCACGCATCCTGTCCCTTACAGCACTGCTGTCCTGTCCCCCATGGGTAACTCAGACCACGGTGTTGTGGAGGTTAGGTATCGGTCAGAACCCGCTGTGGCAGCAGAAACTCGCCCAGGTCGCAACATTTGTCATTACGGACATGGAGACTAGGAGGGGCTCAGATACTTCTTCTCTACCTTTCCTTGGAGAGATGTTTGTTTCGCTGATGCAGAAGCGTCGGCTGTATGTTCTTCGAGAACCGAAATTATCCACGTCGGAATGGAGGAATACATCCCTCGTACTGTGAAAGTGCCTAAAGCAGGGTCCAATGGCTGCTTCAACAAATCGTGTGACCCTGCTCGCCAGCAGAAGATCTAGGCACACAGAACCTTCCTACAAAACCCCACTGTATAGAACAGACAAGTCGACGTATAGTCCAGAAACAAATGTAACGAAGCGGTTCGCAATTCCAAAAACCAGCCCGATATAAAAGTTAGGCACAGGGTAACGTCACAGCGCAATGGCAGTCGGTCTTTCTGGACGCTGGCCAAGCAGATTGAAAAGAACTTCTCACACAGTTGCCTTCCACCACTTACGTGTCAGGATGGAACGATTGTAACCGACTCAAAAGCTAAGGCGGAAGTGCTTGTCAAGATCTTTGCTGCCAACTCTACCATGGACGTCTCCCCCAACGCCCAAATGCCGTCTATTCAAGGGGTTTCCTACACTATGCAGGAAGTAATAGTAATAGAAGTAATAGAAGTCATAAGACCGTGAGACGGGTGCTCTTGTCGCTTGACATCAACAAAGCTTCTGGTCCGGACTTGATTCCTGCCATTGTACTGAAGAGGTGTGCGGCGGAGCTTGCTCCAGTTCTTTCGCTTCTCTTCAAGATATCTTATGAGTCCGGCACCTTCAAAGAAAACTGGAAATCTGCTCATGTCCAACCCATCCCAAAAAAAGAATCTAAGATCGACTCATACAACTATAGGATTATACCTCTGCTTTCTGTTATAAGTAAGGTGATGGAGAGGTGGATTGGCTCCGACACTGTTCCTCTTACATATCAAAGACCTCGTTTCCTGCACGATCAACTCAATCCACAGCTTTACCGATGACATCACTCTACATGCAGGAATTCAGAGCGACAAGCCGATTTCTGCCGCTGAGCTGGAAAACAGAAGACTAGCGACGACTTCATCTCTGACGAGGGACCTGGAGGTTATCACTGCTTGGGGACGCAACAGTCTTGTACAATTTAATGCTTCCAAAACCAGTACTGTACCTTGACGAACAAAAAGCGTCCTAGCGCTCATCCGGTTTCGATGGATGGCGGAGTTCTGCCAAAGAACCGTTCATTGATCTGGAACGATCTCATCTCACCAATAGCGGCAGCTGCTGGGAAAAAGCTAAGCTATTTGTTTACGGATAAGAAGTTCTTTTCTCAGCATGACCTCACTCTATAAAAGGTCCAGATAAGGCCTAGCCGCAAGTATTGCTCTTACGTTTGGGGTGCTGCCGCCCCGGCTACATTATTTATGCTCGACGCTGTCCAGAGAAGGGCTGTTCAACTGATCGATGACTCTTCTCTAATAGACAGTAGCGGGACCCTTTCACACCGGCGGGCCGTAAGTGATCTAGCTCTCTTTTACTGCTATACCCACGGGCTTTTCTCCTCAAAGCTCTCTTCTATGATGCCGCCACGCGATGTGCCTGCTAGACAAACCCGCCTGACTTCGGCCTCCCATCCTAACCGTGTCAAACTTCGTACATCCACTGGCCGATTCGACTGCTAATTTGTCCCGAGGGTGTCGAGATTGTAGAAAAATCTACAAGGGGAGGCTTTTCCCATTTCTACTAACCTTGGGCAGTTCAAAAACCAGATTAACAAAACATTTTTGGAATCTTCATAGCAGCCGCGGTGTCCCGGCATTTAGGCTTCTGCCTGCGCGGCTGCTTCGGTATAAACAAAATTAATGAAATATGCTATGTAGAAGAAGGGAGCGTTATTAGGGACATTTTGTAATGGCAATATACCTGCAGTATTGTCAAATATCCATGACTATGGTCATTTCTTGTCCGCAACGTATTCCACTTTTAGAGTCTATTTTACTGAATCAATTTTTGTTTGTTTTTGAAGATTTAAGCTTTAGCATGATTGCTACAACTACATTATTTTAAAAACAACAACAATTACATAACATTCAAATATTTATAGAAAGAAAACTTGCATCTCTAAGAATTTTTACTGTCCATGAAATGTTCTTTTAATTTTCTCTTAAACATCTTTAAATTACAAGGGATCCCTTCTGATATCTTGATTTGTTAATTATATTACTATCGCAATTTTGTAAATGAAAATCTATATTTCCTCTTCTATAATAACTGTAGTAATATTTATTCAATTCTATGTAATGTTGTAAAATATGATTGTTTATTTTAAATATAAAAATAAGAACCAAATATATGAAATTTTTAATATCCAACCATTGCAATTCTTGTAACATAGATTTTATTTTAGTGTACTTATTTTTATTTAATATTATTATCATAGCTTTATTTAACGCGCTACCTGTCAGAACCTGTTTGTGGCACTTACATCTAGTATTAACCACTAAGGATTGGCTAGAACTAGGTATAGCCGGGATCAAGTTGGTTGGACCTAGTTTTAACCGAATGCAACCGGCTGATATTAGGTTTGGCCACGAATGTATAGGTTACATCTATACAACTAACAAAAATGCCAGTGGCTACACTTAATTCTTACCGGCTTAACCTAATCGCCACCGCATTTCGGGTTTTAGCCGTAACATATATACCCAAATATTTAATTGATAACTAGTAGTAGTAGTAGTAGAAAGATTTATTTAGCACATTTGGCTACATAAACAGAACAATTGTAAACAACTTAGAACTAGTAAATTCAAGCCATATGGTGTATGATGTAAATGCTGGGCAACCTATAATTGTAGATTTAACAAGTGATTTCTCAATTTTACTTTAAATTTTGTCAAAGTTTTCTGGTCTTTTATCTCCGAGTATAATTTATTATATTCAATCAACCCTTGATGGAATACAGAATTGTAGCATATGTTATACTTTTTGGTCATTAAATGGAAGTCATCTTTATTTCTGGTATTATGTAAATGATGGTCGACATTTGATGATGTTAAATTAGTTGTGATATTTTTATTTATAGTCTAATCTTATTAGCAAATTTCTCCGAAATAATTGTAAAGCCTGGTTTTATTGATGCAAGATGTACGATGGGGGGGGCGATGGTCGCATAAAATGGGTACACCAATTTTTGTGGGAAAACTTTTCATTCGACAACAAAGAATGAGAAAACGTGTTTTGTGGGATCCGATCGAAAGTGTTAACAGGAACGAGAAAATTCTTCTACGAAATGAAAAGAAAAAATATTACAATGCCAAAATTGATCAGAGTAGAAATAATAGCAAACATGTGGAAAACGTTGAAAAACATTGTTTCTCCTATTAGAAAAAGTACATTATCTAAAATGAAATTCGACGATGAGGTAATAATTAATGAAGGAATAATAGCAGATCGAATGAATACCTATTTCATAGAAAGTGTGAACGACATTGTAAAATCAATTATTGACGGGGATCCCAACCAATGTCCCATTAGCTCAGATTATAATGCATCATTCAGTGAGTTTAGAACAATAAACATTAATCGTCTCAAGAAGATTATATCAAAAATTAAATCATATCATAAGAGTGAGATTTTATCTAAAAGTGTGTTTAATAAATGTTTTGATATTATTGGAGCAAGAATATTAATCCTGATAAATTACTGTTTAAAATATGACGAATTTCCAACAAAACTGAAGTGTTCTACCATAACTCCTGTTTCTAAAGTTAAGAATTCTGAGTTGTACAACAATATGCGGCCAATAAATATTCTGCCAGATGTTGAAAAAGTTTTTGAAGAAATTATTTACGAACAGATCATCGAATTTATTGAGGGAAATAACATTTTTACCAAATTTCAAACTGGATTCAGGAAGAAACACTCAACTGAAACGGCAACACAAATGATTTTAGAGGACTGGAGGAGATGTATGGACAATCGGAAACATACAGCAATAGGGTTTTTGGACTTCAAAAGCGCGTTTGGTACTATTGACAGGGATAAATTACTTACAAAATTGCATCACTACGGATTTGAAGGATCTGTATTCAAAATTCTACAAAACTATTTAATTGACAGAAGTCAGAAAAACAAAATTGGATCTACATTATCAAGATCAAAAAATGTTTCAGTTGGTATACCACAAGGTAGTAAACTAGGTCCACTACTATTTATTTTATACAGTAATGACATTTGTAATATTTTAGATTATTGTAGACTTCAGATATTTGCAGATGTTACATTAATATACATATCAGATGAAAATATAGACACTGCTTTGAAAATGCTAAATTCTGACTTGGCAAAAATCGTAAATTGGTTAAATGTAAATAAACTAAAATTGAATACTTCTAAAACAAAATGTATGCTAATAGGGAAATACCTAAATGGAAATACTATCACAGTTAGGATAAATGGAGAAATAATTGAAAATGTTGGATCAATTAAATATTTAGGTATATATATTGATAGTAAACTAAAGTTTGAGGATCACTATGAATACATTATTTCAAAATCAACAAATTACTTTTATAGGGCTTCTCATAGTCTTGGTACCTATTCCAAGAAAATAGTTTATAATACAACTATTCTACCGCATTTACTATATTGTTCAACTGTCTTGTTCACTGCCAATGAAGCTGTATTCTCAAAATTACAAGTCTTGCAAAATAAAGCTATGAGAATAATATTGTATAAAAATAAGTACACCAAAATAAAATCTATGTTACAAGAATTACAGTAGTTGAATATAAAAAATTAATATTATATTTGGTTCTTATTTTTATATTTTACATTTAGAACACTACATAGAATTGAATAATCATTACCACAATTATTATACAAAAGGAAATATAGATTTTCATTTACAAAATTACAATAGTAATATAACTAGCAAATCAATATTTCAGAAAGGATTACTTGAATTTAATAAACTAAATAATGATATAAAGTCTATTTGTAATTTAAAGATATTTAAAAGAAAATTAAAGGAATATTTCATGGACAATGAAAATTCTTAGAGATGCAAATGATTTTTTTTCTGAATGCCGGTATGTTATATAATTGTTTAGTTTTTTAGAAGAATGTAATTGTAGCAATCATGCTAAATAAATATTAAACAAACAAACAAACAAACAAGATTTTTAGGTATTTATGAGACCTGCAGAATGAGACCACGCGTAAAAAGTTCCCACAAATAGTAAAAAAGTTATGTTTCGCATAAAAATAACGATTATCTTTCGGAATGGCTTGTGATTCATGTCGGCAAGGTAAACTCGTGTATTTTGCTATAAAATGCCCTTTGAACGAACCCTGCATATTGCCCAATAAAGTAGTGATGGCCGGAAGACAGGTGTTTTGCGATAAACAATTAGAAATTCCCAAAAACTACTTGAACAATTGACTCCAATTTTGTTGTGGTTATTTCGAAGTATGAAGCCTACGGTTTTAAAGAAGTTCAAGTAGCTGCGTGAAATTATCGTCGCATTAGCAGCAAGTGCCAAACTCTGCATTTTGCCTCGGTTTTCGGCCACAACTTTTACTATTAGTGGGATCTTTTTACGTATGGTCTCATTCTGTAGGTCTCATAAATACCTAAAAATCTTATTTGAAGAGTTTTTTCATTCCTACCAACAACTTTGATTGAATCCCAAAAAACAAGTTTTCTCATTCTTTATTGTCGAATAAAAAGTTTTCCCACACAAATTGGTGTACCCATTTTATGCGTTCATGTAGTGCCCTTGAACAACTTGCATCAATGAAACCAGACTTTACAATTATTCCGCAAACCAGGGGTATTTTCGTTTAATATGATTAGACTATTAAGCATTTCCCTATTAGCATACATTTTGTTATAGAAGCATTCAATTTTATATTATTTACATTTAAACAATTTATGATTTTTGTCAGAAGTCATACTTTAGCGTCTTTGAAGCAGTATCTATATTTTTATGTGATATGTATATTAATGTATCATCTGCAAATCTAAATTTCACAAAAATGTAAAATATCACAACTGTCATTAATGTATAAAATAAATTTGAGTGGGCCTAGTTTACTACCTTGCTGTACACTAACAGAAATATGTTTTCAGCTTGATAATATAGATCCAATTTTTGTTTTTTGACTTCTCTCAATTAAGTAGTTTTGTAGAATGTTGAATACAGATCCTTGAAATCCATAGTGATGCAATTTTCTAAATAATTTTTTGTTGTCAATAGTTTCAAACGTCCTTTGAAGCCCACATACACTGTCACTGTATATTTCATGTTATCCAAATATCTCCTCCAGTCCGCTAAAACCATTTGTATTGACGATTCAGTTGAGTTTCTCCACTATTTATCGTAACTGTGATAGTATTTTCATGTACGTTTTTCCCTATTAGCATACATTTTGTTTTATAAGCATTCAATTTTAGTTCAATTACATTTACATTTTTTATTTTTGCCAAGTCAGAATTTAGCACTTTTAAAACAGTGTCTATCATTTCATCTAGTATGTATATTATCATCTGCAAATATCTGAATTTTACAATAATTTAATCTTTGTAGAATTTTGAATACAGCTCCTTTAAATCCATTGTGATGCATTTTGTAAGTAATCCCTGCCATGTACAGAAACACTAACACTGTATGTTTCCTAATGCCCATACATCTCCTCCAGTCCTCTAAAACCATTAGTATTGCCGTTTCAGTTGATTGTTTCTTCCTGAATCCAGCTTAAAATTTGGTTAAAATGTTATTTCCTTCGAACAATTTGATGATCTGTTCGTAAGTAATTTCTTCAAAGACTTTTTCAACATCTGGCAGAACATTTATTGGCCGCATATTGGTGTACAACTCAGAATTCTTAACTTTAGAAACAGGAGTCACGGTAGAACACTTCAATTTTGTTGGAAATTCGCTATATTTTGATCAGTAATTTATCAAGATTAACATTCTTGCTTCAATAATATCAAAAGATTTATTAAGCCCCTTTTAGACAAAGTCTCACTCTTATTTTGATTTGATTTCAATTTTGCTATAACCTGTTGAGATGATTAATGTTTATTGTTCTTAACTCACTGAATCATGCATTATAATCTGATCTAATGAGACATTGGTTGGAAATAATTCATCTTATAATGTCGTTGATAATTTCTATGAAATATGTAGGTATTTATTCGATATGCATTGTTTTTTCATTTTCATAAACGTTATGATATTTTCAAGATATTCCTATCTCACATCTTCAAAAAACATATTGCTGAAGCATTCGTATTTCTAGGATAATTATTTTTTAGAGTTAAACAAACTTTTATACCTGCAACTTGTTTAGAAGGGTCAATATCATCTGGAATTCCAAGTATAATATTCTCGTCATTTGGATCCAATGTCAAAATAGATGGCTTTGGTATAGTCCTCATGTCCTCTGCATCCCAAATCACATCGTCTTCCCACCGACCATATACTAAATCTTCATTTTCCACAGGAAATATAGAATACCAAGTGTCATCTTGATCTTGATCTGGTCTTGGTTTTATGCTGAAAGATGAATTACGGCAAAACGGTTGAGAAAGTGTGCTTTGAAAAATCGCGAATTTTGTTAGTTCTTTTTCTCGCATTTTATGATCTTAAATCTGATATCTCAAAAAGTATTAATTTTAAGGCAAAACAGAAAAGGACTTTTTTACCAGTTTTAAGCAAACACGTTTTTTATAAACCTAACATATAGTAAACGCAACGTCAAAAAACAATGTGCTGAAAAATCAAGCAAACCTTTGGTATCTTATTTCTGGCACTTGTACGAGCCCCATCCCACTTCAGTTGGCCCACTTCTAGATTTGCACCAAAATATGCCTTTATAAACTAAACATGACGAAACTATTTACTTCTAAAACAATTTATTTTCTCATAACATTTTAGATACACTCCAGTCGTAAAAAATACATATTTGAAATTACTTAGACCTATAACTAATAGAACATCTGAACAAATAAACAATGTGCGAATAAATGCGCGAAGTTAACAAAGCAACAATTGAAAGATTACCATTGGGTAACATCACCTTTATTTTTTATTACGGCTGAAATTCTTTGGGGCATAGTGTTAACAAAGTTTTGGCAAAAATTTGGTGTAAAACAATCCCATATTTCTTGAAGCTTTTGTCTCAGTTCGGTGATTGTACAAGCAGGATGTTTTCGTCGAACCTTTTTCATCTCGTGCCACAAAGTTTCAATAGGTGACAGATCTGGACTGCTAGAAACCCATCTCTAAAAGTGGTACACTATTTTCTTCCATCCATTTTATAGCCTTTTTTGAGGTATGGCACGCTGCACCATCTTGCTGAAACACAAAATCTTGGCCGGATGTCAAACATTCTTCCATCACTGGTAAAAGCGATTCTTCTAAAATTGCCAAATATTTGTTTGTATCCACATTTCCATCAATAAAATGAAGTTTTCCTACTCCTTTTGATGAGATACTGCCCCAGACCGTAATGGATGCTGGAAATTTCACTTTTCTCTTCAGACAGTCAACATGGAATGCTTCATTTTTTTGTGAATAACTCTACTGCGACTGTCACCAACACAAACTTCGAATCGGGCCTCATCACTACATTGTATTGCACACCATTATTGAGGTGTCCATTGTCTATGTTCTTTAGCCCATCTAAGCCGATTTTTCTTTTGCAGTGGAGTTAATAGTGGCTTTTCTTTGGCCTATAAACAAGTTGTGCAACTTTAGGGTTTTTACTTCACTTTTTTTATAAGAAAACTTACCTTGCAAGTGCTAAATCCCAGTTTGTGGGTCTCTATGAGTTGTGGACCTCGAAATTCTCCTTCCAACAGCGTCACTCCACAGAGCACTTAATTGTAAATAATTGGCACGCCTGTCTTTCACGATTATTCTTCTTAATGCTCTTCGGTCGGCATTTGTGATATTACTTTTTTTCACATATCGTGGCTTAATATTAACTGAACCAGTTACGTTATATCTTCTAACAATATTTCTCACACTGTACCGCGATAAGTCTAACAAAGTTGCAATTTCTGAGTTTGATTTCCCAGAATTAAAAAAATGAATCATGAGTTACCGAATTTTCTCACTAATAACCTTTCCTCTACCCATTTTGAAAACCTTAACTACCCAAAACTATTTTAAACGTATTCTGACAGCTGTGATTAATAAAAAGAATTGTCATGGATTTTATTTTTCACAGCCAACTATGCGTTATAGACTTATTTTGCATTGAAATGAAAATAGGTAGATATGCTGTAATTGCAACATATGTTATTTTTATGCTGCAAATTTGATTAGGGAGTGATAAAGTTGGTGTTTTCTACTATATATTATCAAAATATTCATTGTTAAGATTTTAAATCTATAACACCCTGCTACATTTTTATTATTTGTGTTTGATAAGAAAAAAACTAAGATTTCAATAGTTGGGCCAACTGAAGTGGGAAGGGGCTCGTAATCATAGTAGCTGTTTGAAATTCCAGTTTTTAATCTTGAATCTTATTGTATACTTATAAGACCATAAATAAATTATCAGGAACCGCACGACTATTATGTAAAACACCTATAAAACGCAAAAAAACATAAAATGCCATCTTGCAGACTAGGTAGTTTTTAGGGTGAAAATAGTTCATTCCACGTTTGCTCGCTGTGAACGTCCATCTATGGAGGAATGTCTCAACCACACTCATTGTTGGTTGCGGAAGCAAGTATATGTTTTGTGAAGCCGATACAAGAAACCAATGGAATTATCACCAACACATATTATTAGCACACAAGTCCTCATTATGCACTGCCGTTTCCTTCTAGCTATAGTATACAACTTACAGCTTAGACCTCTAATAATGCCATCTCTGAAGCAAATTTTACATAACATCAGAGCCAAACATTGATAACCGAAGCATCATGACCTTTAGGCAAACCGTACAACTCCAAAACGAGTTCACAACAGGTATCAACAAGTTAACATCTTGTAGAAGAACCTACATAATGCCACAAAAAAACAATATAATGTAAAAAAATCGACATAATGTCACTTTTCAAGATACGTAATACCCGTGCCGGCGAACAAATTTCATTATATATTTTTCCGGTTAACATCTCGATATTTTGTGAAGTTTGCCGTAACTCTAAGGCCCGGTTTTCAGTTGTAGGTTAACTACGAACTTGTTCTTAACTTATAGTTGATCTATGAAAAGGTGTTTTTCATATCATGTTTATAGTAAAACGGTAGTTAGCTTTAACCAGAAGACTATCTATAAGTTAACTAGAAAGGTTAAATAGCAATACATGACGTTTGTTGACACAGACTTTATCGATAAATATAAATTAAAACTGAAACATGTTTATGGATTACGACCTGAATGCGTACAGCAGGGACGAAGAGACAAGAAGACCAAAAATAATCCGCCATCGACCGAATTACTTTGACCAATTTAATGACCTGGATTTCCTTGAAATATCGTCTTACAAAATGGACTGTAGAAACAGAACTTTTCTCTTTCCAAGAAACTGTGCCAATTTTTTTGTTCTCTATTATACTTTTGTTTTTATTGACCGATGATATCAACATCATTTCCTCACCTTTTGAGCTCTATTTTTGATGCTCTCTTTCTTCATGATAGAAAACAGTTTTTAAGAAATCTTAGCAACAGGAGTAGCCGTATTTTGTCTCTGCTGAAGACCCTTATTTTTTGGGCCGTGGATTATAGAAGTGATGTTGAAAAAGGTGACAAACACGATATTTAACACATATTTGCAAACTTAATTGTATTTTCAGCGTATTTTTTACGTATATAATGATTATCATTCATTGCATTTGTCACTTTTTTACCACATTTTCTTTAATTCGGTCTACTACTAAACGTTTGTACAACCAATGTTTGAAAAACCTTAGCATGACGAAAGTTTTATTCAAGCCTCGACTATTTTATAAAATTACAAAAAAGACGAGTTGTCATGTATGACACGGTATGACAAAACACACAGAATACGATATTATCTAAGAATCGCAGATGCAGGGTTGACTGGACTTCTTCTACTTATTAGCAGCCGGGGGCCTTTTGCCCAAAAATTGCTGAGGTTCTAACTGGCAGAAAAGCGAATCTCTTTAACAAGAAATTCTAAAGGCAGATTTTGCGATTATGAAAATTATATGAAAAAAGCAGTCTATGTAAAGAAATAAAGAATAAATCATAGTTTTAGATGATCAGATTGTTAAATAAGTGGTAATCTAGGTCTTTTATGTTTGTGAACGGTGCTGGATTTGAATGTACGTTCGTTACTTTGCTTGCAATTTGTTGAATGAATTGAGACAAGGAATATCGAGGTCGTAGTGAATGGTCGCGTTAGATACATACCAAGGAGCATGCAGTATTGTTCGTAGAATTTTGTTTTGTATCACTTGCAATTTTGTAATGTGCGTCTTGGCAGCAAAGCACCAAGCTGCACATGCGTAGGTCATGGTTGGACGTATAGTCGTTTTGTATAATACTAGTTCATTAGTTAAGCTCAGTTTTGTAGTACCCATGAGCATGGGGTATAAATTTCGAAATATTATCATAGCGTTTGTTCTAATCGATTCTACATGAGATTGTTAGTCCCAAATATTTTGCTTGATACGACCATGGAATTCTTTAGTTACAAATAATTATTTCGGTTGGTAATGATTGTCGTCTTTTAGTGACTAAAATTGCCTGGGTTTTCTCAGCATTTAATCTAATTCTCCAACGGAGACACCACTCGTGCAGCTGGGCCACAGCCTCTTGCAGCCTGTCTAATCTCTTGATTAGAGACAGACCTAGTTATCAGTGCTATGTCATCAGCATACAGTAGTATGTCCGTGTGCGGTATGGGAGGAATATCCCGGGTGTATATAATTTATAGTATCGGAACCAAAACAGAGCCTTGTGGTGCACCTGCTGGAGAGGAAAGTGACGTTTCTATTTTAATTCTGAATTTCCTGCCCTCAAGAAAAGACTTCAGCAGTTTCACTAACCAAAATGGACAGTGAAATTCAATTAGCTTATAAATTAAACCATGATGCCAGACCTTATCGAATGCTTTGGCAATAGGCAGTAGCACAACACCTCAGTTTTGATTATTGACAAATCCACTAGTAATCATTTCGATCAGCCTTACTGGCTGGAACTCTGTACTGTTCTCTTTAGGGAACCCAAACTGTTGGGCAGGTAGTAGCTGTTTTAGCAAAAGAAAATCTTGTAATAGCTCTGATATCCCTTTTTCAACAATTTTGCGTACTATAGACAGGAGGCTAATAGGTCTGTAGTTTTGAGGAACACATACAATTGTTTTTCTTAGAAATAAGTCTTATATGAGGTACTTTCCACTTCTCTTGGAAGTATTGCATTCTGAGAATGGCATTTACAATACTTAAAAGGTATTCTAAAGCTCCAGTCTGCAAAAGTTTTAAGGCCTTCACTGTAATGTAATCGTCTCCAGAAGCTTTTCTTAATTTATTGTATCCTATCAACTCCTACAAAGTACAAGTAGGTAATTGGACTGGACCTGACTAAAGTAATTTTGAATAGATTCTTCAATGCGGGTAGTATTTGTAGGATCAAGATCTTCATTTAGTGAAAAGTGATTTGCCATGGATTCCGCAAAGATTTCAGCTTTTTCTTCATTTGTATAAACAAGACCATTTGGGCCATTTATAGGAGGTAGCTTTTGTTTTGTGCCGTGTCTAACTAATTTAGCAACTCTCCAGAGTGGCAGACCAGACTTAAGATGCATTGTAGGAAGTTATTCCACTGATCGTATTTATGTTCAAATATAGCATTTCTGGCACGATGAACTAGGTTGTTAGATATTGTAATATCATCAAGGTGTCTAGTTGTTTCAGCTTTTTGGATAGCTTCGCATTTTTTATCGGTCGTAGTAGTGGCTTTTTGAAGGGCAGATTGTACCGAATTTGTCCAAAGAACAAGTGAAGAATCCACGTCGGCAACGAATGCTATGACTGTACTTGAAGGAAAATTGGACATGTGTTTTAATTCTTTGTCCCTACTTCAAGAATCAAAGGCAGGTGATCACTCTGAAGATCATGCGATATTTGTTTCAATGTTATAAGGGCAGTTCCTGGATATTGCAAAATCGATAATGTCTGACAGAAATTCATTATTATAAGGGTAGTGGAGTAGGTTCCGTCGTACTATGTATGAGGAGTCTCGAATGAGAGATAAGTTGTAGAGTTTTATCCCACCAGAGTTATTTACCGGAGAATTCCAAGTTTGGTGTTTACAGTTCTAATCTCCAACAGCTAAGATTTGATCTGTATAATCTAAAATAGAATCAATGAATATGGTGGACCACTCCTAACATAAATAGAAGAAATTTTGAATTCAGAACCATCTCTCATATTAACCACTACAGAAGACACTTCAATAGATTCCATTTCTGGATTTTAACTTCCCGTCAATATTTCTTTTTATCAATACAGCAGTACCCCCACCTCTAGCAGTTAGTCAATCACTGCGAATCACATCAAAATTTGGAATTTTAAAATTATCGCCTGAATTTAATCGGGTCTCTTGTAAGAGTGCAATGTCTATATAACTCAATCAATGTGACTGCTAATTCGTGTTATTTGTAGATTTATTTTATGGCATCTGCTTCCCGAGAAAGAATGTTGAGGAATTCAGGTTGTCTCTTATGACTATTATTCATTTATAGTAAGAAGCAAATGTGAGAATGAGGGGATAAGTTTTTGTAATGTTTGTGTTGCCTCCATTATAGGCTTGAAAATTTGTTGGATTCCAGCTACAGCCGCCGTTAAATCAATTTGGTTAGAACTTCCTGTTTGCCCATCCACTAATGAAGATGTCGCTACACTGGCATATGCAGATTCCGTTGGACAAACTTCTCCCTTGCAGAATCTTTATGTTCCTTTTAGGAACAAATTTACAAACTGTTAGCAGGGTGATCCCCTCCATAGGCGAGTAAAGTGTTCCTGAGCACACTTTACGCATCTTGGTTTAGCAGTGCAATAACTTTGGGCGTGCCCAAATCGCTGACAACGATGGCACTGTGCAATCATACCGGTATTTTTATGAGTTTCAACGGCGATTGATAGACCAAAGAGACTTGATTCGTTTAAAATGTATTTGTTGGACTCTGATTTCCCCTTTCTTTTTTAATCTCATTAAGTGTAGAGGGGAGAACCCAAAGCTTTCTATGTATTGTTTAATTTTGTCATTCGAAAAGTAAATTGGTACACCACGTATGATAGCTTGGATATTTATTTCTTGCGACAAAGGAAAAGTAGGTATGATGTGGAAAATTATGATTTAAAATGTGGATGATCTTTTGGTAATCATCCACAGTTTTTGGAACAATTCTTATTCCGCTATTGATATTGACAGCACATTGGAATTCACACATTGTTACTACTATGCCAAAATCGGTCCAATGGCGGTAGACAATAAGGTTTAAAACGAAAAAAGTAAAAATCGCGAGTTTTTTGACGATTCAGAGGATTCTGATCATTTTTAAAGAAGGTTTTAGAAGTAAAAACCTTGAGGAAGGGAAGGGTTTATCTTAATTTTTTGATGTTAGTAGGCTGCTGGCATCTACCTTTTCTCGTAAATTTCGAATGGAACACTGTATATTTCTACATCATCAAATAGCTTTTCTGGGAACTTTTTTTTTGATGTAAGGTGTTTACCACTTTTTCCAAACACTTTTCGAGCTATTGTTATTCATGCCAAGAAAAAAATATATTCCACATTTAGATGTAAACTCAGATCTTCCATGAAAACAATGAAATTTTTTTTTCGCACAAGACTCTTCCAACTCAAGAAAGGTAAGTGAACAACTAAAATGTATAGTCACTAAATTTGTGAGCTGGTATTATTGGTAATCAAATTACTGGACCACACTATTAACGATCTACCTCTTTTACTAGAGAACGTGAGACATCGAATAAGTGAGTCGTTTTAAGTGGATACCTAGATGAAGCCTTTTAGACGTGCAAGATAATTTCAACAGGTGTGTACTTTGCACCAAGGTGATATATTTTACATATATTAACGACTAGTAATTGCCTTATGAGAGATTATTTTTATTATGTTAATATGTAGAAGCTATTGTTTCGATAGAAAATTTGATTTCAAGGTTTATTTGATTTTTCTTGAAAATATAGCAATAACCCAAGAAGGTGTGGAATATAAAAAAAGTTCACCAAAAAAACTATTTAACGATGTAGAAATATACAGGGTGATCTATTTAATTTTTTTTTAAATATACATTTTGCGTTTTTAGATACCATGTATAAATATAAATCTCAGCACTTTTTCCAGATCAGCTTAAAATCGATGATAATAAAATTTTTGTTAAATAAAATTAATCTAAATGTCTTCAAAAATGCCGGAGCTGCAAACCATGCAAGCTGGGCCTTTTTTCAGACGGTTGACGAAATCTCTAAACAATCGACAATCGATACCATAGCTTCCTGTTTCTAGAAGCTCTCTTCAAATATGTAATAAAATATAGGGTGTTCTATTTAAAAAGAAATATATGAAGTAATTTTAAAATATGCACTAGTAACATATCAAGGTCGCCACGAAAACAGATTTTTTGGTATATTTTCTAGTTTGATCAAAAAAATTCCTTTCCATTCTCATTTGACTGTTTAGTGGCAATAAAACTGGAATTTGCGCGATTATCGGATCCAGATTCGTTTTCTAGTCGATTTGTCTGATGAAGCTGTTCCGCAATATTGAGCTCTAATTTTCATGCATTATTTACAACTACACTATAAATTAAAACTAAAAGCTTACAGCTGAGGTTTTGTTTTCATCCCAGGTAATGGCGGATTTGGCACAGGAGGCATTCTTACATTGCTACCACCTTTTCCAGGTTGACTAAATGCCTGAGCAGTTCTGTTATGACTACTAGGTACCCAGCCAGCTGCATTGGTTTTAGAACTCAACTTTTGTAGAACCTAACAAAAAAAAGTTAAATAACGTTGACATATCTGTAAAATTGAGTTGGAATATCATTATGGATTAAACACCTCGGTTATAGAGTGTATAACAAAAGTTTGGAACGCATCGAATATCTGACGAATGACTCATCCAATTTTTTTAAAAATTGGTAGATTTAAGTTCTAGACCACGGCGGATCCGTTGATGATATCCGTGATGTTGTTAAATCTACAGTTTTTCAGAAACTGATAGCAACTTTTGTTTTTGTTATGGAATGCTATACATTTTATTCGATATTTATATTCTGCGATAAATTTTGAACACTTTTTATTAAACATACTTTGACGTAGACCTTATAGTTTTCGAAATATTCGCGGTCAAACATTAATATTCAAACAATAAACGGTATTTTTTTCACCTAAGCAAAGACCGGTATCGAAAGTAATTTCCTGTCATTTCTGACATGCAAAAGTTCATTGAGTTTTGTTAGTACAGTTATTGAGGATGATTCTTTTAACTGAAACCGAGGCATTCTAATGATTTTGGGTTATAAGTTTGCGATATTTTTAATGACAATTACCCCAACCGGAATCCAATTACAAGGTCTACTGTTGGAAAAGTTTTGAGGAAATTTGAAATAACAGAACATGTAAAAGGATGTTACACGATCTGGCCGTCCCAAAACAGTCACTGGCGAAAATAAGGCTTTGAATATTTTACTAAGCATAGCTGAAAACCCCACCTTTCTACTAGAATACTTGCTAACGACAACAATACATCTAACATGACTGTGGAACGAATTTTAAAGACGGAAAAATTCCATCCTTACAGAGTCATCTTAGTTCAAAAGCTATCAGATGATGATTTTGACAGGCGTTTACAATTCTGTGAAACCATGATTGACATGAGTAATAGAAACCAACATGTGTGGTACGAAATTATGTTTTCAGATGAGTCAAGTTTTTCATTGAACGAAACTCTTAATCGCCATACCTGCCGCTACTGGGCCAGGGAAAATCCTCATTGGGTGCGGGAATATCATACACAATATTCACAAAAAATTAATGTTTGAGCGGGTATCCTAGGTCAAAAGATAAGTCCGTTTTTCATGGAAGAACATTTAAACGCTGAAAGATATTTGCATCTTTTGAGGAATCACGTTGTCCCAGCTTTGGCGGAAATATTTCCCAATCTTCGTAAGTAACTTCTATTACCACAAACAATGAAAAATATCAATATGGTTTTCTTTTAGTAAATAATAGAGTGCCCAACGATAGAATATTGCTCACATCCGCATTCCGCTCGAAATATTCACGAATTTTTGGATCGAACATTTTTTGGAAGATCGTTAAGTAGGAGAGGTACCATTTGATTTGGAGGAACGAAAACAACGAATAGAAAATGAATGCAGAAGAATCGAGGAAAGCGGATGTCTCCAAAATGTTCTAAACACATTTCCGCAATATCTAGCTTATTGCCAAGAAGTATAATAGGGATGGCAATTTAAACATTTAAAATGATTTTTATCTTGTTTTGAAGTTTAAATTAACAACCAGGTTTTATCGTTCTCTTTGTTTTTAATTTTTCTCTCGTTTCCTTGAAATATCAAATACACTATTTTAATAAATATTAGAATTTCTATGCTCTTGGTTTTAGTTGCATAGATCATATTTTTATCAACTGTACTAACAAAAATCAATGGACTTTTCAATGTCAGAAATGACAGGAAATTATTTTCCATATTGGTCATTGCTTAGATGAAAAAAATACCTTTTATTGTTCTTTCGAAAATCATGAAGTCTACGTCAAAGTATGTTTAATAAAAAGTATTGAGAATTTCTCGCGGAATACAAATATCGAATAAAATATATAGCATTTCATAAGAAAAACAAAAGTCGATCATCAACCTATCAATTTAAAAAAAAAATAGATGAGTCAATCGTCAGATATTTGATGCGTTCCAAACTTTTGTTACAGTCTGTATATTGCATAATTTGCAGTACCAAGACGAACTAGCCTTAAGATTAATCACATTATTCGTATAGAGCTATGAAAAGCTAATAATCAAAAAACTTCGCTAAGCAGGAACAATGACTATTATCGCAAAAATATATGTTTACCCTTAAAATTTTGCGAGAGACCGAGAGACCTTATTCATTAGAGAAATTTAGTTGAACAAAAACATTAGTTCAAAAACATCATATGCTTTCATTCCCTTTCACATTTAACTTTTTTGGGGACACTCTCATAGCTCTATGGCTCTAATTAGAAGAGAGGTTCATATTAAATTCACGTAGACATTAGACCTTTTTGGACATCCGATTTTACTAACAGGAGATCAAAATTCTTGGTACGGATCATAATGGACAAATTAGAAGGCATCTTTCTAGTAATATATCTAAAATACCTCTCAAACTAACCAAAAAATATACGATTTGTGTAAATTAAATCAAGAAATTCTGTATAAAGCACCTGGTTTAGCTACAAGACATATTTTTTCAGTTGATCCAGACCAACAATGACCAACAAGAAAGCGTTTTCGTAAAGCTGCATGGCCAATCGGAGAGGTGCCTTTATACCCTCGAATCGTGGATCAAATCTGATATAATGCCTAGAATGATACATCAAATAGAAAATAAAATTGTAACTTTGACACCCAGTATCTCGCAAACTATCAACTTTTGGACTAAGGTACGTTTTGGTAAATTTACATATGTTGGTCTGTATAGTATCTCCCGTTTCGAGATTTCCCAACCTTTCGCAGACACCCTGTAAAAATTTGACTCTCTCTCTCTTGATATCAACTTAAACACTGTGTGGACATTTTACAAGCCATACATTTCCTCGTTATTTTATAAATACTTTCGATTATTTTTTTATGCACACTGTATAACGGGCTTAGTCATTTGAAGAGCCTGTAATAAGTTTACCTTATGCTTAATGTCATTTCCATCCCAAACAACGTCGTCTTCCCAATGAAGTTGAGTTACCATCAAGAACGCATCATCAGGATAGTCATCGTTCTCTTCCTGTTTCACAACCTTTTGGTTCTCATTCTCATTGGTTTTCTGCTCAGATAATTTAAACCCATAATTGAAACCTTCCCCGGTTTCAGGTACTTCTAACATATCATACCATATCTGAGCTGGACCAAATCTCCAATCAGCAGCTTTTGGGCCAGACTCGTCTCGCTTTTCCGTATCTTGTTTGTTGTTCTCATTTGAAGGTTCAACCGGATTCAGAAACTTTTGCTCATCATCACTCATGATCTGCTCGGGTTTTGGCTCAGCAAAGTCAAAATACCATCCACGACTCTTCGGCTTATCTTCCTCTGAATTTGAATCTGATTCATGTTGATTGTTTTCCTTTTGTCTCCGCTTCTTCCTCTTTTTTCTGACATTTTTCCAAATGTTAGGTAAGCTGTTGGGCTTGCCAGGGCCAAAAAGCCTAGAAAATCTCAAAACCTACAACCAACAGACATTATAAACAAATGCTTTATTCCCATAACAGAGGAAATATGGAATCTAATGAAAACAATCCGAACTCTGTCAAAAATCCATAGTCGTCTTTTTATACGCTCAAAATAATATTTTAGAAAAACTATTTGTCCCGGCAGTGAGAATGATTAAAATACTCTTAGATTATGCATTTTGAAGGTTGCGACACATAGGATATACGTCAGTAATTACTGTTGTATAAAGTTACGTAAAAATCCAGTAACAGTGACAGAATGATCAGGAAATACTGATTGTACCTTTCCATGTCGAAAGTCTGGGAACAATTCTGTGACATCTACATTGGCATATTTAGAAGGGAGCATAGCAGCAAGAGGAGTTTCTAATTTTTTTCTTTCAATCTCATCGCCATGTGCTCCACCATTTTCTTTCGGATTTACAGTGGAGGGAATAGGTGGGGGAGGCATCAACTCCCCATCTTTAGCTGGAGTCTCATCATCTGCTTCATAGCCTTCTGCATCATTTTTATTCTGCAAACATACCATAGTTAAATATTTACTAGTATAATTTAAACACCGTGAAATAATTGCAACAAGTAGGTAAAAACATCGCTGGAAATTTGAGCTATTTGCTTTTGAGTGGGGGTTTAAATAAAATATAACAAACTTCAAGTAGATTCAATCTACACGGATTATATGAAAGCTTTGGACAGAGTAAATTACGATCTACTTATGGCTAAATTATCGGAGGTATCAAGTAATCAACTATACTGGTTTAAAAGCTACCTGTCAGGAATAATATTATGCTGGATCATTATCTAATCCCATCAATGTATTTTCAGGTATACACCAAGGCTCACACTTTGGTCCAGTTTTAGTTAATTTACTTGTTAATGATGTTGCAGAATCTATGCCAACCGGCAGTTGATCGATTTTTGCAAATGGTCTTAAATTATTCAGAACAGTGAGAAATATCCCCGATGTGGAAATCTTACAAAGAGGTCTTTCATTATCTTGGACAAAAATTTTTCCTTAATAAGGATATACATGGAAAATGTCTAAAAAAATGATCGTTCAACCCTGTACAAACGTAGTTTTACATAAAATGTTGCCATAAGATATAATGGAATTCCTGAGGCGTATAAAAAATATTCGTTTTCCTTGTTTGGTAAAAAAGTGGAACTTTTGTTAATGTTATCAACCATTTAATCATGAATGTTACATATATATTTTCATAAATATCATTACAGCTCTGTATCTTTTTTAATAAGCATTGGTTTGAGATTTTATAAATTTTTGTATTGCTAATGTACCACTTAACGCATGTTGTGAAGTGATTGATTAAGCGTAAAAGTGGCACATCCTAAACTTCGCCAATCAGCCCGCTGTAATTTTGTTATTCTGTTAATAAAGACGTCTATTATTATTATTATAAATATTACTCTGTGGTGCAGCACTAATAAGATCACGTCAATTTAAATAAACGCTACCAGATAAGCTTCAGCCATAGTTCAAATTCTCTCATATGAATATGAAGTTGAAAACCATGACCTCATGAGAGCTGATACAATCAGGGATGGTATAACAGTTAGTACAAAATCAACTTTTAAAACACAAATTAGAGGAATTTCTCCCAAATCATACAAAATATTTTGATACATTTTTAGATCTACCAAACATCTATCTGTAGAAGTTTTTAGAATTTTATACTGCTCCAAAGTACGGAATTTTGAAATACAACACAGTGGCATGGTGGCCAAATTCAATTGGTGACATTAAACAACTGCACTGAAGCAGTGCAAGGAAAATTTTTAAAACAGGCAGCTATTAAAATGGGTTGGAGTCAGAATGCTTTGGAAGTAATGAGATGTTGAACATAGACTCCTTGAAACCTTACAGGGAAATTTTTGATCTATGTTTTCTATTTAAAATAGTTAATGGTGTCACAGATTGACCAATGCACAAATAAATATTAATGTTAATGCAAGATGTACTCGCAGTACAGAATTGTTAACAATTCCACATCGTTCTATGAGCTAGTAACTAGACTTCTTAGATCTGGTTACACTGTAACCTAAAATATGGATATTTTCAACAGCAATATTAAGCACATCAAAAAGCGCATGAAAAATGTTTCTATTAAAGTTTAGTTCTCAGGCACAAAAACGACGCAGTATTTCCCTGCTGGACTGTCCTGCCCGAAGTGAGAGATTCGTCAGAAATGACATACTCATTAAAGCCCCTCAGTCGTTCGCCACACATCCCACCCCAGTAATGCTTGCAGCATAGTAGGTAGGGTTGCGCTAGGTTCTCGTACCGAAGGTATTAGTCATCTATTACCTATCGTACACATACATACTTTTATAACTATGTACATGTACAACCCAGCAAAATAGAAACCTTCTATTAGTAATTTGGTCTATTTTTGTTTTCCCGTATCATTCGCCTCTCTATTGATTGAATATCAACCCATTTTCACTCGCGTATATTCGTGACAAAATTGTCAGCAGTGAGCCTCTCGCCGAGCTTCAGTTCCAGCTGTCTGGTAGTCAACCCACCCAGCGCATTGAAGTAGGTGATCCTCTTCATTGCAATATACGCAATTCCCGTATCATGCCCTGTGAGGAACCGTGCGGTATAGTAACCTATCCGCACCGCTCCCGTATCAATCTAAGTTATATTACTTTTGACGTGCCAATGTACATATTTGTATCTATCTGGTTAAAATAACACACAAGCCTTCTGGTCCAGTCGCCATGGCCAGTTGCAGCCCATCTCTCCTGCCATCTGGCAAAAGGGGCCTCTCTTTCGTCGCTTGTAGCTTCGACGCACTTTTTATAGAGCGTACATCAGTCCGTAGCTACCAAACCAATTTTCGGGATACAAGCTACCACCAACAGTGCATCGGTCTACACCGTTCTGAAGGCGCATACCATGCGCACCACTACTTTTCGCTGGCTTCTCAATAATAGCTGTCTATATTTCTTTTTCCTCAAAGCCTTGCTATACTAGTATATAGGAGCTCCATATAGCATAATCGAGTTTGCCACCCCTGCCAAAATCCTGCACCTCTCACTGCTGAGGGATCCGTCAGATGGCATTAGCCATATCAGAGATGCAACCTTATTCACATTCTTAGTGGTGCGCCTTATATGTTCAATCATTTTCAGATCTTTGTCAAGCCACACACCCGGATACCTAATTGCATTTTGGCTCCGAATCTCTGAATTATCAACTCTTACACCTAATGAAATTAGCTTCTGTCTGCTGGAAAGTATAACTACTTCCGTCTTCTCAGGAGCCAACTTCAAGCCATTTTCTTCCATCCATATGGTAATTCTCGTGATTCCGTATGCCAAGAGTCGTTCAAGTGTATCTTTCTCCTTGCTAGTCACTATCATCTCAAGGTCAGCACACCCTATCAAGCGAATTCCCGGCAACATCTGTCACTGAAGAACCCCATCCTAAAACATGTTCCAAAGCAATGGTACTAAGACGGAGCCCTGCGGCACTATGGTTACCTTCATCATCTCATCTTTTGACCTACCATAAGTGTCCTTTCGTCAAAGTAGCTCCTTATCATGTTCAATAGTCAGCTGAGGTGTCTAGCTTCTCGAAAGATTCAACGATTTTCTGCCATTGTACCGTGTTAAAGGCATTCTCAACGTCAAAAGCAACTATAACGCAAAGCTTTATACTACTGTAGCTGCTGCTATCTGCTACTTTCGCCAAATGTGCCTCTGCACTAAGTGCATCTATTTCAGACTTACCCTTTCTGAAACCATATTGCGAGGCAGACAGACCGTTTTTTTCCTCGACATATTTTTTTTAGCCTACATTCTATCAGTTGTTCTAGTAGCTTTCCAAGTGAACTCAGCATACACACAGGTCTATATTTGACTTCTCTATTGGTGGGTTTCGGACTCGGTTTAGGGATGAGTACCAAACGAGCCTCCTTCCACCTCTTTGGAATGACTCCCATTCTCAAACATTCATTAATCATAGACAACACGATTTCGGGTACCTCTTTAATCAGCGTTTTCATGATCTGATTTGGTATTTCATCTAGTCCTGGTGCCTTACCTGTTTTCAAGTGCGTTGCAGCTTCTTCCAAATCACTCATGGTGAACTCTGGTATGTTCAGAGTTTCCTCAAATTTCTCGTATCCTTGACCCCAAACGTCGTTTTCTAAGTCATTCAATACGACTTTCAGAATCTTCTGTCTAGAGTTCACTATGAGCTTTTCTAGTTCTTTTTTGGCATGATGATGTTGTTTTTTGTACTCGAGCATCAGGACATTATTCCTTGTTCTATGGTACTTTCTATTTTATCTAGTTATTCTACATCTGATAGTTAGACAGTCCTTTCTGGTCTGTGCTATTTCATTATTCCACCAATACTTAGCTTCCCTCACTTTACCATTTTTGTGGATCATGCTGGAGTTGTTGTCATTTGATGTTATGACCACATCCTCCAGCAGTTGAACTTTGCTTTTGTAATCATCCAGTTTTGCATTATACGACTAACTGCAGATTTTTCGGGGATTGATTTTAATGTTAGGTTCCACCTTCGGATCTTATGTGTCTGTGGTCTTTCATGTTTGATAGTTGTTATTTCAAACAATATATTTATGGTCACTCAGGTTTTCATCATGAGGTACTTGCCAGTTTTTTATTTTACCAATTGGGTTTTCATTATGGAAAGTAAATGTTGATAGAGGATGTTTGGCTTCCTCTGACAAAGGTTGGCTTGCTACCATTGTTTGCTATGACAAGGCTCCTTATAGCGAGCATTTCTTCAAATAGCTTTCCTCTTTATCAGTAATCTGGGATCCCCAAGTTTGTCAACTTTCAATTAAAATCTCCCCCAATCAAGTACTGCTTTATACTGTGGCCCATAAGAGTTTCAATTCATTTAGTCTTTCTGAGTAAGCATCAATTGTTACGTTTGGAGAAATATATATAGAGCACAGCTCTACTTTTTCCAACTCTATCCATTTCATCCCATTTTTTGTATGCATTCCCTTAATAGATATTTCAGCTGTTTGGATGTACTATATATCCTAATAGCTGCATCTCCATTTGCATCTGATTTCCTGCACTTGTTTAAGCTTGCTTGTATTATCTTTATTTTAGTGTTGTAGAAGTGTTGCTTCTATCTGTTTGCCTGCATTTTCTGTTTCTGACAACCTGAAATCCCTCATCCTCAGTGTTATTAACCTGAGGTTGAGATAAAAGAGGATCGGCAGTTTTCCTCGAAATTGTCAGGCATCACCTGCTTTGTCACAGCTGTGTTAGATGCTTGTCATTCAGTAGGGAAACAAAGCTGTTTGTGTTTGTCTTAGTCTCCTAAGCATATTAGCATATGAGTTTTCACCCTGATCTAGGTGTCCTTGTTCGACCCTGTCTGGCTTTTCCACTTTAGTTTGTTAGGTTTTAATTATAAGTAGTTTATTACATGCATCTTTAGTTCTTGTTTAGTTTAGTGATTTATATAAAGACATTGTATTGTCTCACACAAACATAATGTTTTCTTTTATGTAATGGGAAACCATAAAATAAATAAATAAAATATAATCATATCTTTAAAATTATTGTGAACTCACATAATTGCCTTATGAGTTATGTACAAATCAGTCTGCCATTTTTTTATGGTTATGGTGTCTATGGAATTATAAACTGAAAATGGTACCAGCTATAAATATAATTTGGACATGTAGTGCATCATCATAAAGATATAGCTGCAGCATAAATTAATTTGAAGCATTTCACAACTTTTTGTATTTGGAACCATATGGCATATGCACATACATTTCCTGAGTATGAAATAATGAGGTGCTAGTAATTTCTAGTTGCAGTTCAGGATCAAGATGTGTTTACATGTGATCTTTGCAACAAAAATGTATATGCATTTGCAAATGAGGAGCAGACTTGCAAAATGCATTTTGTCCAAATTTTCCATATTTGAGATACAGGTGGCGCTGCATTCCTATGATGAAATACTATCTTTTTTTAAACATTTGAACAGTCAAAATGTATTTAGTCCCCGTGTTATTGAGGGGAAAATTATACCTAGACAAACAAACTGATTTAAGTCCACTCACATGGTACTTTCAAAGTGCATTTTGTCCATAAACGTTGACAAAATGCATTTTGATGGGGTTTTTGTTTATTTTATCAGAATCTGTTGTTATAGTTCGGTGTTACCTTGGAGACTTTTTCAAGTTTTAATTGTTAAAACATTGAAGTAGTGTTGCTTTTGGATCAAAATGGAACAGTTAGAAGGGGAGCATATTGTTGGTGATAGTGTGGATAGGGGTAGTAGGAAAAGAAAAAGGAATACAACAAGCCGTGAGAGAAAAAAACAAATAAGGTATTTGTTAGGTTATAAGCCTAAAATATTTTATTATTTTCCGTTTCACTTTTAAGGTATTCCAATTTGGACATCAATCTAGACAATTTCAACGTAGTTTGTAATCATAAAAATTCTAATCTTGATTGCGAAGAATTATCGAAAGGAGCTATGCTGAAAATCCGCCAAACCTTTTTCGAGAGTCCTAACAAAATTACGCAGGACAACTTGCTTGCAAGCTACATGGAGATTAAGGAGCCAAAACGAAAACGAAGTCGCAAAGAAAATGGAAAGTCCCATAATTTTTCCGTAAATTATTTCGTAAGTATAACCATCTGAAATGTATTTTAAACTGTGACTTACTCTCGTTTTTTTTCAGATATTTTTTGAAGGTGATAAAAAACAAATTTGCCAGAAACTATTTAGAGCTATGTTCAGCGTGTCTCAAAGGCGAATAAACACAATATGTCAGAAAATAAAAATGGGATCAAGTCTTACTGAAAAAAGAGGAGGCGATAGAAAATCTCACAAATTTATCAACAAATTAAATGAGGTGAAAAAGTTTATAAGCAACCTGAAAGGGAAAGAAAGTCACTACAGCCGTTCTAAATCAAGAAGAATCTACTTGTCTGCCGAATACACCATTGCTAAACTTTGCAACTTCTATAATGAAAAAGTGACTAATGAAAAAAAAGTAAATTATAAATACTTTAGCAGGGTCTTCAGTAATCACTTCAACATAGGCTTTGGTAGCCCGGCTACAGATGTATGTAATTTTTGTGTTAAAACAGCAACGCAAATCGGTAATGCGAGGAATATTATCGATAAAGGCCAACTTGAGACCCAGTTAAAAGTTCACAAGGTTAGAGCATCTCAGTTCCATAAAATGATGAAAGAAGCATCTCCTAACTCAGTGTCTTTTTGTTTTGACTTGCAACAAGTGCAGGTTCTCCCAAAAGTTCCCATACAAGATGCTTTTTATGCACAGCAGCTGTCATTTTACTTTTTTTGCGTTACAGCCACAAACTGTAAAAACCCTGTTTTTTATTCATGGATGGAACACCAAGCTGGCAGGGGAGCGACAGAAATATCTTCCGCCCTGCTTGATTTTTTGAAAAAGACCAATTTTTCCCCGAATATAGACACTCTTCGGCTCTTCTCCGATGGATGCGGGGGGCAAAATAAAAATAGCTTTACCATCCACATGCTAATGTTATGGTTACACCGCTTTGCTCCAGAAACAATTAAAAAAATAGAAGTTATCTTCCCAGTGCGAGGACACTCTTATCTTCCGGCAGATAGAATTTTTGGGAGGGTGGAAAAGATTTTAAGACGACACGCGGTCATAAAAACACCTGAAAAATATTGGGAACTCTACAAACAAGTAGGTGAAATCAGAAAACTTGGAACTGATTGGTCATTGGTGAATATAAAAGAAGCTTCCATCTGTTTGAAAAAAGTCCTAGGAATTAGTTCAAGTAAAAGAATAATCATCAAACGGGGAAAGCCCTCAGGCGTTGTGGTGAAATCTGAATTGCTGTATCGAACGGATGATCCAGCGAAAAAATTCCAAACTTTGTTGAAACCTAAAAAGCGGTTGGATCAAATTGAACTTCCTAAAGTACGACTTGGACATGAAGTAAAGCAGAAAAAGCTTGATAGTCTAAAAAACCTACTTGTTTCATTGTCTGGTGACAAATGGTATGAAACAGACCCGCAGCTGAAATGGATGGCTGAAATATTTGAGAAAACTGTGGCAAACTGTAATGATGACGATGAAGAGCACGAAAATGACGAAGAAGCTTGTGGATGCGCTGAGAATGATGATAATGAATTCCTTTAAAAATAAAATTGTTTACTCCTAATATTATTGTAATACTTACAAATTTTGTTTTGTTGTTTCAATATACACCTTTTTTTAAATAAAACCAAATTTTTTATTATTGTTAACTTGACAATGACATTTAAATTGCATTTTGTCCACTAGAGACAATCAAACTGCATTCTGTCCAACAATTTTTTCAATTTTTTCAACTTGTTTTTCGACTTTCTTGTACCAAAACTTGTGATTGAGGTCGATACACCTGATAGCATTATATTATCCAGAACAAAATTTTCTGTCATGGTTAGCTTTTCTGTACTGGTTTTTTGCTTCTCCTGAAAATTGGTAAAAATGGACAAAATGCAATTTGCAAGTCTGCTCCTCAAATGTGATTATTGTATTAGTTTAATTTCATGTAAAAACTACTCAATCAATTGAATTTATACACATTTCTCACACAGTTTTTTTGATTCCTTAGACTGAAATGCCCCCTTTTGGGTGAATGTTGAGAAATCACAAAAAGATCTCAAAAAGAACTGATTTTCAACCATACATATATGAGGTAATACGTGTCGTATTATAAGTCCCAAGCTTCTCTCTTGGAATTATATAAACCAAAATACTACTGAAGTCACCGCCAGTAGATGCACAGCGAAAGATAACAAATAATGTAGATTATGACCAGTGATATTGTGTCCGACTACGTGATTGAATGAATTTTCATAGCATCCCAATAAACTGGCCACTTCTATTAACCTGCCTTCATTTGAGAATAGATACCAAGAAAAAATAAATTCCATATATATAATGGCAGATCGAAGAAGACTGAAGAAATTGCTTGAAATATGTATGGTAGTTCAAAGTTGACACTGTAGAACTGGATTAAAGGAAAAAGTTAGCTTCTTGTTCACTTTCATATCGTTTGTATGTATTTTTGATAAAAATAACTGATTAAATTGATTCAGTATGTAATTTCTATTCTATTACAAATTTTTAGATACAGTTCTGCCTAAAACTTGCCAAACAAATGCAGTCTGACAACTGGAAACTAAATGGCTCACTAGTTGCACCTTCAGTCCATGTACTACCAAAATAGCACCTTTATCATTATTCTTTTTTTATAAAATTACAGCAATATCTATAAGCAATGTATTTGTTGCCAGCAAAAAGTTAACAACTCATATGATCACCTCCAAAAACATTAGTGTTGTTATCTTGAATACAAAATTCCTAATTACACTTTATATTCAATTGTTGTCTAAATGGTCTGACTACTGGCATATTCTACCTATGACATCTTACCACTCTGTATATACATACTTCATCATCAGCAAGCTCATTAATGTCAAAATAATCCTCTGCTGAAGGTGACTTATTATCCAAATCCTTGGATGATTCATTCTCCTCACTATTATCATCTTCCTTTCTATCGAAATCAGGATTTAGAACATCTCCACATTCTAGGTCTCTTCCATCATCACCACCTTTGACTTCTTCATCCCCTATCATTTCTTTAAGAAATGATCCAAATGCCAATCTGAAGTTAAATAAAACAAATTAAATATGGTACTAAGTAGCTTTATCATATATACCTTCCAAGAGAAGCAAGTTGTTTCTGTTCATTAGAGTCAAATACATCACTTTCCAGGTTTCCAGACTCATCAACATTTCCGAATAGAAAGCCTGTGAGATTAACACAGTCATCTCTATAATTTTCGTCTTCACTATCAGCCATGTTATATTTCTGTTCTGTTTAATACAAATTAACGAAAACAAAATCAGTAAAAACATGAATTTTCAGCTCCTTTACGAAGACGTCTTCACCATGTTCAAAATCACAACATAAATAAACTAATAAACCACAAAACAGAAAACATACATGGAAATAAGAAATAAACATAAACCACAGAACATATACAACACAGAACACCCCATTTACCTTGTGGTCGTCAAGTGGTCCGAATCATCACAAAACGTATATTCGCCATATTCGCCCCCACCACGTCCTGAAATTTGTCATTGATATTCTCACCCTTGGCGGCGTTGCCGCTTATTGCTTATGGAATAATCCAATGATAATTACAGACATTTTAGAAGCAACGATTTAGGCCCGTATCGTCAGTCGTCCCTACAATTGTACGGCGCCTTTATGGCCTCCTTGATTGTCATAGTTTTCTACTTCTCCGTGTCAGCGCTCTATTTTGAGGTTATGTCACAAACATCTATTTGCATCAAATTGTGCTTGTTTTTGAGTTATATCATGTTTTATCAGCCTGAAATTTCCTACAATTTGAAATGAAAACATATCTTCACAATAGGAGAGCGCTGACGCTGACACGGGACAAGTGTAATCTAGAAATTTTTGAAGGAGAGAAAGGAGTATGACAATCAAGGAGGCCATAAACGCGCCCTACAATTGTAGGGACGACTGACGATACGGGCCTTTGAATTGCTTTTTATTCAACATGGAATTGTATCTTTTTTTGTTTTACTACTGTTTGTTATTTTTTGTTTTTTATAATTACATGGAATTAGTTTGTGTTTTACTACTATTTTTATAATTAATCATTTTTTAGCTTACTACTGTTATTTTTTGATTTATACTTATTATAAATCGCCTTTTATTTTGCTATTGTAGTTTGTTTCAGTTCCTCGCCATTGTGATTAATTAATAATTAATACATGTATATAAATTTTCCATTGTTCATATTTTTTCCTAAATGCGGACACCAATCCGGCAGCACCGCAGGCAAGCGCCTCTCAAATATGACATATGTACAGACGTCTACGTCATATGGCAGATAGATGGCGGTGGAAATAATGATGGAAAGAACAGCTAAAAATACTGTGTTTTGGTGAAAACATTTCATGACAAGCGTACTTCATCCATACTTTTTTTGTTTCTAAATAATCTATCAGACTAACCTTTGAAAGTTTTAAGAGAAAAAACATTGAAATCGGAAGTTCTACAAGACGCAACAGCACCGATAAACAGTCATGAAATGATTAAAATCGATAGAAAATGAATAATTTCGATATTATTTATCGTGCAAAGCCAAAGATAGAGTTTCACATCCAACGATTCACATCTGTGAGGAACTTGTCTGTGATAAGCGTTTTGATCACAAAACATATACACGGAGAGAACGACAACTCAATTTGACTGGAAACACGCCGCAGCCATAATGCATTTGATATACGTCACATTAATTGTCATTGGTGTCACTGTCATATACGAATGTATCGTTTATCCTAAATCACAGCCTAAATAAAAAAACGTTTTGTGAATTGTGATTATAACCTATAATCTCCAACATCAACAAATGGGATTTCCGTGTTTCATTAGTTTTTATGTGATAAAAACATAACTATCTGCTTTATGCATATAAATTGTAACGATTAATTTAAAGGGATATATCAAAATGGGCAAAGTGGACAATGGGCCTAAAAGGGGCCGTGGAAGAGGTAGAGGTGGCCGAGGCCGGGGTCGCGGACGTGGGAGAGGCCGCGGTAGAGGCAAGAAGGCGATGAAGGCGATTGAAAGTGACGAAGAGATTGAGCAGCAGCAGCAAGCTCCACCAACAATAGAAGAACCTACAGCTCAAGATGTAGAGGATATACAAGAAAATGCTGGCCTGCCTCCAAGTAATAAATAATAATTTGTGAATTTTAAGCATGAGCGTAAACTGCTACTTTGCTGCTCGAGAAATATGTTTAATCCAACAATTCGAGAACAGCAGAAATATTTTGAGCTCGAATTGCATACATGATTTTTTCTTCAAGTTCAGGAATTGTGTTATAGTTATAATTTGTAAGATCTACACAATGATGCCAAAATGTCTCTTAGAGCAATATCTTTGTTGCAATATTTGGCTGTAACGTTGATATGCACATCTCACACACTTTTGAATGTTAAGGCTATGATCCCATGATGCCATTCACCCTTACCGTGAGGCACCAAAGTCATTATCGCATCTTGGTTTTTATCAGTATCTGGTAACAATATCAACTACTGGATCATAGTTTTAGTAGTGAAATATCTGTCACTACTACCCCACTTCTTGTGGTACCATCTTTTTCATAGAAGGTAGGCTACAATTTTGGCAAATCACTCCTGGTCTTGTTGAATACTTAAAAGTGACTCTAAACTTAAGCCAGTCTAGTCTCTTACATTATGAGACTGAAACTAGCAGCCAGTTGAGAATAACCAGATCCCATAATAGTCCAGGCAATATAGTAGTAGTATATTGGCTTGTCATCCAATAAAAATACTAAAGCATGTGTTTCCCTCATGATTACTCTTATCATCTTTTCTATATCTAGTCTAGGAAATTTCCAAAAATTCTAGAAGATTTGACTGTGGTATTAGAATGTTTTTCAATAAACAATAAACTCATTCCCTCGTAAATGGCACGTACCTCTTTCCCAGATAAATATTTTCTACTAAAAAGCTCGACTCTGAAAATTAAGAATAATTTTCATAGGATTTCGAAGAAATTCTAGGGGATTTGATTGTGTCAATAAGAGGCACATACCTCTTTTCTAGATATATTCTAGGAAATTTTCAAGAAATTCTAGACAATTTGATTGTGGCAATAATAATATATGTTTATTTTCAAAATAACAGTGCATCATTTCTGTGTATTACACAGTGTTAGGTGAAATATTCATCACAACGGGACAGAAAAAACAAACAAGTGAAAACAGAACAAAAAACACAAAGATTTAACATTTCAGTATATTCTTGAAGGACATATGGTTCTAAGTGCTTAACAATGGATGAATACTCTTTTTATATTCAACAATCTTTTAATTTCTTGTGGTAACTTATTGTATATTTTAGTGTAGCTGAAATCAACATTTTTTTGGTAACTGTGAGATGATGGATAGAGCAGATTTATATTTCTATGTCTTGTGTTATAAGCTCTTCATGGGTATATTACTTGAATTTTGAATCCATTGTACATTTTGGAATAATTTTTTTCGGACATAGTAGTCATACCAATAGGATCTTTCTAGTGCAGAAGCAAGTGCTGAGGTGCATCCTAAAAATTTCCTCTAGAGAGACTTGCAGAGGAAAATTTAAGAGTAATAAAATTTTAACTGTAGCCGCAATATATCTTCAAGAGATTCTAATTTTTACATTTAAAAATATTGACAATTTTATCGGTAACCTACGAACTGACTATAACACAAGAAATAGAAATATAAATCTTCTGTATCCAGTCCATCATCTCACGGTTACCGAAAAAAATGTCCATTACAGCTGCACTAAAATATATAATAAGTTACCACAAGAAATTAAAAGGTTGGCAGATATAAATGAATATAAAAAGAGTATTTATCTGCATATGCACTTAGAAGCATATGACATTTAAGAATATTTTGAAATGTAAAATCTTTATTATGTTATATGTTTTGCCTCTTTGCTTTTTCTGTCTCGATGACACTGTGAGATATATTTCACCTAACAGTGTGTAATACATTGTAATCATGCACTGTTATTTTGAAATAAAAATTTATTATTATTATGATTATTACTGATAAAGTTGCCCATTTTTAAATGTAAAAATTAGTATCTATCTCTTGAATATATGTATATTGCGGCCACAATTAAAATTTCATTACTCTTAAAATTTCCTCTGCAAGTCTTTCTAAAGGAAATTTTTAGGATGCTTCTGCACTAGAAAGATGCTATTGGTATGGATACTTTGTTCAGAGAAAATTATGCCAAAAAATGCAATGGACTCAGCGTCATATACCATTTTTAGTGTCTTACAATGTAGGTACTTACTTAGTACACCAATGCGTTAAGAATGATGACTTTAGGATAATTAATTATGCTGATGTGATACCAGCATACTCATTAGCTTGGATTGAGACATGGTCAGCAGGTGTATGAATCAGTGAGGAAATGGTTTACAATGGATAAACTTGTACCAAATAATGACGACAAAATTGATTTAATAATATTCGAAACAAAACAGTCACTGATTGATGTACCACAAAATATTACACTTCCTGATAGTAATATCCATGTAAGTCAACAAACTAAAGTGTTAGGAATACATTTAGAAGAATTTCTGGCTTGGCCTCCACACATAAATAAAACTGCTCTGAAACTGAGTAGCATCAGCTATGGAATAAGAGTGTTGGTTAGTTATATAAATTCAAAATGTTTAAAAACTGTATATTTAGCAAATTTTGAATCGTTTTTACATTATGGAATAATACTGTTTGGAGGCAGCCCAGAACTGCAAAAATATTTGTTATTCAAAAAAGGGTATGGGTTTAATGACAGTATATGAACTTTACATTTTTGATACTGTTATGTTCACAGTGAAAATAGAAAGAAATTTCTCATGTGAAATGATCACACATACAATACAAGAGCTCTGAGTGTTTTGCCATCTCAGCATAGGCTGACAGTAACTGAAAAAACTCTTTTACATAATCATTTGAAAGTGATGGAAGGTGCATGAACCTTAAAAAAAAATCTGACATGGGTTTTAGTTCAGCTGGAACCATACAGTATTTCTGAATTCATGAATGCTTCATTTTAGTTTTTGTATGGGTATGACGTTAGTTCCACATCATCTATGCCATTTGTGTACATATGGTATTATGTATTTGTGATTCTAGATTTAGAATCAATATTATTATTATTAATAGATGATCAATATAAACTCTTAAGTATTTCCCACAGTCTGTCAGCGGGACTTCTACTCTTTTGGCTAAAGCGATGTTTGCAGCTTCATTTTTTTCTTAGCTTGAAAACAATCGCATTTGTTTTTATTCAGGGATAATCCATTACGAGCAAACCACAAAAACGCTTTCTCGCAGAAGCTCAAACTACTTCCAGCTACATGGTTGAAGTTTTGGCCAGAGGCCAGTACTCTAGTGTCATCAGATCGTTCACAAAGGAGTATAACTCTTTCTACTGTTAATTGCGATGAAACAGCTGATATTCCATTCATTGTAAAGGAAACCATTTGCTTACGATCTGTTAGGTAAGACTTAAGCCAGTTGCAGGCATGCCTAGAGTTGTACAGTAAAAGAGAATGATCCACACAATCATAAGCTTTTAAGAGAACGAAAAACAGACCCAATGATATCATCTTATTAAAATTAGTTCTTTTTCTACATAATTTTCTAATGCCACCACTAAATCCTCTAGAATTTCTTGGAAATCTTAACTAAATTATGCCCAATTTTCAGAGATAGAGTGGAGCTTGTTGGTAAATGTTTCATCTGGAGAAATCCACTTCTAGCATTTGCAATCTGACAAAAGTTTCTGTTTCGTGATTCAGATCTCTATTATCGACTATCCCCGAAGCTTGTACTTTACTACCTATTGTATTTGTTTGTAGGGAGGTTTTTCATTTTCCTCCTACCCTCTGGTTTAGCACGTCCATGGACCATGCTGATGATTCTCAATTGGTATCCACTTTTGTCTTAAGCCTTACTGTCTCCTACAGTGGGGGCATCTTGTATTTATAGTAACCTTACTGTTCGGGCGAACTGAGATATATCATTCACACCTACAGCTTGTCACTCACCACTGTTTATCAGTGTCAGAACCTGCAGAATCTGGGAGTTGGTGGCTCTTGAGAGCTATCTACTTTTGGATAACTCTAATAGAGGCTAGTAGATCTGATTTCGTTCGTCGTCCCACCTGGACCGAACTGATGAGTCTCATAAGGATGAAAGGGCACTGTACAGGCTTGTTGGGATGGACGAAAGCAGAATTCAAAGAATATTTTGATAGTATCTGTATAAGGTAGAAATGTTACAAAATGTATATAATTAGTATACATTAAGATTGTGATAACTTTTTTAATTTACAGTTGATTTGGAAGCAGACATATCTCAGCTAGAGGCTCCCACATTTACAACAATTAACAGAGGTCCTCCAGAACCTATGCTCAGACTTGACTGGAGTCACAAGGTAAATATCTGGTCTGAATGGTGAAGTAGCGTCTTATAATGTTATTAAGTTTACAATATCAGCATTCTCTTAACTCTAATGTGCAACAGAAAGACCAAACATATTTTGATCTACTATGATGAAACCTTAACACTTCTCTGGAATGAAAACTTGTAGTCTGATCTTGATGAAACCTTAACACTTCTCTGGAATGAAAACTTGTAGTCTGATCTGTTTTAAGTTAACAGTAACCGCGGCTTACACCAACCAGGAGAATTCAAAACTAAATTAGTATGTAAAAGTTTTATATACGAAAAATGAGATGATATTTTTAATACTGGTACAACACGGTTCTACTACATTAGTATATGGAACCAATTTTGCCACGAAATCCATATATTTTCAGCAACAAACTAATACAGTTTTGAATACTCTTGTTTGGTGTTGGCCATACCAAGAATATGTAAAGTTTGTTTGTGGCTACTTCACCTCTATTTTCCTCTATATCATTCTGATCAAAACCACGTACTATAATTTCAACCATTTTTAGCGGAAATTATTTTCCATAATCGTGATGCGCACCATGTAACTCGAAAACTGTTGATACTCGAACCATTCTCTATTAGAGACTTGATAAAAAATTTACTGGGGACAGTGTCTTGAAGTGTTAGGTAGTAATAAACCTAAAAATTTAGCTGAAAACTGGATAACATCTAGTCGTTGGGCTAAAACGACATTAACACGTTAACGATCAGCCCTAAATTTTTGAAATTCGCTTCTGGATCAAGGTATTTTATTTCCCAAGAACCCAACCTACTATACGCCACATTTGAAGAAACTACCCCATTTCTAATAAGTGTCCAAAGAAACAAAATCATGTTGCATGGCAAACCATCGGTGGGTCGTGGGTGGCGATCGTCAGATTTGCACCTATTTGCTCTGTTATAGCAAAACTAATAGAAAAAATAGATCAAGTTAGATTAAGAGACTTCAACCAAATTATAAGTGGCAACCAGTTTGGCTTTCAAAAACAAAAAAATGCCATGGATGCTACTTTCACATTACTCCAAGAGTTATAATCACATTTAAGCGATATACAGATTTCAGTTCTTTTTTGTACTTTTCCAAAGTTTTGATTGTGTAAATCATGATAAATGTACTATCGAAAAAATTATATATGATTGTACTGGAACTCCACTCAATTGGTTTAAAACATTTAAATAATAGGTCCCAAAATTGTAAGAGTATCGAGATATTATACTTCAAATCAATTAGATATAAATGCAGCGGTACCTCATGGATCAAGTACTAGGTTCAATCCTATTTTTAGTTTATATTAACATTCGTAAATGGTAAATCCGTAGTGTTTGCTGACGATACCACAATACTGTGACTTATCATAGATATACGTGAAATTCGGTCAAAAATTGACAATGATATACAATCAATCAAAATGATGATGGTGTGATAACATTTACTTAACTTTTAATGTTAATAAGACCAAATTTATGATATTTAAATCTCCCATTGAATCTATAAAATTTAATAATGATTTGATACACAAAACAGTCACCAACAAATTTATAGGACTAATCATTGATCATAAATTAAATTTTATCATGTAGACCAATTGCTTGATCAACTAGCAAAGATTTATTCTATGAACAATTGGTTTCAAAGTAGGGAAAAGCACAGCCTTAACAATTTACTTTATTTAGAGAAGATTTAGATATAGCATTCCCGTTTTGTGTGCTCGTGCCTAAAATTGTTTAAAAACGTGATTATTCTACAAAAACGAACTAGCAGATGTGTAACTAAAAGCAATCCTACATACACATGCACGCCTTTATTTTTAAATCTTAAACAAATGACTGCTGTATCTTTGTTTATTTTCGAAACCGCAACTCTTTAAAAATAAATCTAAATGTGAGACATCAAATATAAGCTCCGGTATTAGACGAAAACAAGATGTTGAACTAGTAGTGCCTAAATCATCGCTTGTCAAAGACTCAATCATTTATAATGGCCTGAAAATTTCCTCCCTGATGATATCAAAATTTAAAGATATTTCGCCGTGGACTTCTTTATTTCTAAACCAACAATTTTATACTAAATTACATAGAAAATGCAACACCCACTAGGTGTGCTGTAATTTTGAGCATACTTTTATAAGTTTTAGGTCTACTGATAAATAGAAAGTGATTAAAATTTTAACACAAAATTTCGCAAAATAGCTGTGATATCCCACCTTAATGTTAATAATGTTGAAGCTCCCCTGGCGAACACATTCGTTAAGTCGTCGCGGCATTGATTGGATTAGGTGATTGATGTTTTCTTGGTGTATTGTATCCCAGGTCATCTGAATTTGTTTTCGTAGAGCTTCCAATGTTTCTAAAAAGTCTAAACTAACACCTGCGACATGAGGTCGTGCATTATCCTGCTGAAAAAGTGGATCTTGCAATGTTTCCAAAAAGGGAAGCAGATGTGGTTGTAATACTTCGTGGATATAGCGCTGGGTAGTCATACATCATGGAATATTGGACTTCCGACTTTCACCATGACTCCTCCTTACTCTTGCACGTCCATCATGTGTGCCCAAACAGAATCTGGACTCATTGCTGAACACGACTGAGTTCCATTCCATATTCCATTCAAGTCTCTCCCTACTCCATACCAATCGTTGCCGACGATGCGGTTTGGTCAGAGGTAGTACAAAATGGCAAGGGTATGAAAACAGTCCAAAAGACCTTTTTCGGCGATGAACTGTCCTCATTGTTGTGCCCTTCCGACAGCATCAAACCACTGGTTCACAACTGCCGCCCTTGTAGTGGAAAATCGAACTCCAAGTGCTAGTTGCCTCAAATATCGATCTTGTCACTCTGTAGTGTGTCTTTGACGTCCAGTAGATTCACCCGAGTAGCGATTTCTCTAAAAGAAAATCCGGCTTCACGTAACCCGATTATCCCACCCCTCTCAAACTCGGAAAGTTGAGTGAAATTAGCACGTCTGCGAACTGTAGGCATGATAATGCAATGAAACAACAATGAAACAAATGGAACCAACACATAAAAAATCACTGAATATTAAGTAAACATGTTCATATTGTTCGGATTCTGATATGACAAAAAAAGTCCTTACGAAAAAAGTACGGCTCAGAATGCCTTCAACATTTTGTCAGCGTATACTTCCATGATAGCAAATATGTTTACAAGTTTCACAAATTCAATAAATAATTCTGGGTGTTGCATTTTATAATATGCCACTTAGTATATTTTCCATAGGAATGGTGTGGTATCCTTTGTGCAAGTTTTGCTACTTCACTCTAATCATGCTCAATTACATTCAATACAATGGCCATATTTAAATCGTGATAAGGGCTTATTTAGCGCATAGCACATGGTGTAAACAGTCACACACAGAACAATACGAATTAATGGTACTCGGGCGTTGTAAAAGATTATGGGCCAGGCATGGTGTAACATCGCCATTCTAGATAATTAAGACAATAATAGGGTAAGTCTACATCCGACACAGTATTACATGTTGTTAATCAAATACACCAGAATCTTGATAACAAAATTTCTTGTTATTTTTTTATCTAAGGAAAACTTTGGACGCAGTAAACCATAAATTATTATTAGACACATTGGAGAGAGTTGGCTTTCAAGGAAAGATGCACTAATGATTATAAAATTACGGATCTAATAGACAAAATTTTCCAGTACGGAAATGTTTACCAGATATGGCGTCCCACGGTTTTAGGTCCACTGCTTTTGAATATACACTTAAATGATATATTTCAAGTTGATTGTACGGGCAAAATACGAGTATTATCCTTTATAAAGGCGATGATTGGGCTGATTTAAAAAACATAGTGGAAAATGATTCTGTCCAAATTATTCACTGACTTAATAACAGAAAATTGAGCATTAATTACTCTAAAACGCAGTTTTTACTATTTTGTTCCTATTATAAACATCTACCAAATTACAGAAATATCTTTTTTTCATAAATATAATCAGAAATTGGAAATTAATGGAGCATCAGATACAAAATACGTTGTAATATTCCTCTGGGCCCACACTTGCGTTGGAGATGTTCATATTCCATGTATTTTAAAAAAGATAGATTTGTCTCATGTAAAATTAAATATCTCAAAGATGTTCTAAAAGAGAAAGATCTCTATACCTTATGCAATACCTTGATTGAACCACATTTAACCTATGGTATGTTACCATATCTATGATTTAGAAGTCTTCCAAAGAATAATTCTAAAAACAATGGTTAAAAAACCAAAATTTTATCCCACTGATGTCTTATACAAAGATATAAGTGTAACATACATATATATATATGACACAAGACAACTTTATCTCTTACAAATTTATTAATAACTAGCAAAAAATCAATTGCAATCACCATTCAAGACAAACTACGAAGAACGGTTGTATCTAGACCTAACAAATCTATAACACAGCGATCATACCGTTATTTAAGATCAAAATTATTCGTAAATTTGCCAGACAATATAAAGAACCTACGTTTTTTAAAGAAAAAATAAAAGAATGGATATGCACAAATTAATAGTAAATGTAAACATGATTAGTTGTACCATTATTTGCGTTTAAGGGTCCATATATAGGCAATGCCTCCTATGGACCTATTTTCCATATTTATTTACTCATTTTTCATATTGTGTTTAAGGAGTAAATGAATATTATATTTTTTCATTGACTTTCCACTCATTGGTAGGTGAATCTGATAGGAGAAAAAGTATTGAATCCAATGATTCACTGCTGCGACACCTGTCTCAAACCCATTTTGATATATGGTCGGATGATTCCATGCAAGCATGTATTCTGCTTGGCTTGTGGGAAAAAGGAGCAAAAGCAGTGCCCTAGATGTCTAGAAAAAGTTACAAGAGTGGAACAGACTGGTTTAGGAACTGTGTTCATGTGCACACATGGAGGCACCAGGTGAGTTTTATCATTTCTCCAAATAGTGCAATCCTTTGATATGATTGTTTTGGAGCAGTCGATAAATTTCGTTATAAACTATCCAAATTTTCGCTTTGCTGCCTCTTTTAGGACGTGCAGCCATATTGAAAAAATGGCTTCCAAACACATTTTTTCAAATCTCTGTGCCAATTTGGAGTATGGTAAGAATATGATAAATAAAAATTCATACAATTTATGTATTAAGCGTTTTTCCTAGAATAATTTCGGCGTATGGTAGCGGTAATGTTTATTCTAATATGTGCACGAATAATCGTTCATTGGTACAATGATTTGGCCGTATCACCTGGGTTGTTTGCAAAAGTTTTAAAAACCATTATTTTCACAAATTGTCACGTGTTCTTTCTAAATTTTGACTTGGCTCCTCGTATCTTCGTCGCCCAGCACCGAGATATTGGAAAAAACGTTACCAAAAATAGCTTCGAAACCACGTTTTGACGATTAAGCTGAAGAAAATCTCCAACAACTTATCTACCAATCGTTCTGTGAATTGACCTGACCTGGCGCCCTGGCACCACGAAGTTTATTTTAACACTAGCATCTTCCAATGTGATTTTGTTTAAACCTGCCTTCCAAGTCATCTGACTGTGAAACCGTCCATGTATATTGCATTTTATACGAAAATGTTGCTTATTGAGCATAAGCATACTCAAACGCCAGCAGCATTTCTGAAACAGAGCATACATGCCACGCATTAGCACTTAGGAAAGAATAAAATGAAGGCTACGGGACAGTTTGCACTTCCGGTACTGCAGTATAACTTTGCCGTGGTTGAATGAAAACTGGAAGTGGTAAAAGCATTAGACAGGGTAATTAGAAAACGGCTTTCAACGTGCTGATATGGAGAGACTGTATGTAAGTAGAACGAAAGGTGGTAGAGGCCTTCTACAAGTGGAAACAGCTTTTAAAAGTACGATAATGAACATGGTTGGATACCTTTCCAGTCGTCAGGTCCGTAATGGCGAATTTTGCGGCGTGGGCGAGTTTCTGCTGTCACAGCCGGTTCTGGCCGAAACCTGACGTCCACTACCTGACGTCAGGCGACAGCGGTAGCCGCAGTAGTGACTCTTCGGTCTCCTGATCAGTCGCCGTGCGCTGTGCGGGTCCGAATCCCGTCCCAGGAGAATTTTTTCTCTTGGCTATGGATGTTGTGATTGTCCGTAGGTGGTAGACGGTCTCTGACCGTCGAACGCGGAGGTACCACCCGGCGGATCTGGTAGGCGGGGCCAGAATGTGAGCACGTTGCATGCACACGTGTTCCCTCACCAGAGTCCGTGTAGCTTTCCCCTGTACCCCGCTATAGCCCCGCGGTACTCCATGGGTGTTTAGGCCTTCGTGGTGGTTGGAGTATATAAAAAAAACACCGTAGTCTGAGCTACTCAGGGAAGACATGACAGCAGTGCTGTAAGGAACAGGATGCGTGTTCAGAAGAAGCTACAGGCGTGTGACGAAACGCGGAGGAGAAAAGGCTCGTCACCAGCTTGGTCAGTCCTTGGGTAATAGCGAACGCCTCAACTGCACGACCTGTTACATCGGTCTTGTTTGCGCCCAACCAAAGCTCAATATGGGCATTGAAATCACTGAGGAGAACTTACATACCTCTGAAGCAGGGTGATTGATGTTTGGGAACTCGATCTTGACAGCGAGGTATTCGATTAGGTCGCCCCAGTTATGGCCCTAAGGAGAGCGATAAAGGCATCGCATAAATTTGGGGGATGTTTTGGAGTTGAGGCGAAGCCACAGAACGTCCTTCCGGTATGATTCCAAAGAAATGTCTCTGGAGCACGGAGGACTGCTGCGAACAAAAGCCACAACTCCCTGTTCTTTCTCAGATTGGAGCGCACCTCGTAACTTGGAGAGCTAAGATGGTTAGTTGGTGCAGCATCCGCCAAGAAAAGCATGGCGGAACAATTAGACTGCAGGTAGTGGTGAACAGCATAAATGTTGCTGTTGAACCTTCTTGTAGAGTGCTTTCATCAGCAAAGCAATGGATTGGATTGATCGTACAGGAAAGCAGGTCATTCCTATGAAAGAGAAACAATTTCGTAGCCAAGACCGATCCGTGAGGAACACCCGCGTTGGCGTTGTGGGATGAAGAGGAGAACACGACGGATACTCGTATTTTGCCGCCAGAGGGAAAGTCAGCCACCCATCTGCAAAGTTTCTCTGGCAGGCGGTAGAATGGAAGTTTGCATAGGAGGGCAGCGTGTCACAGCTGATCGGACTCTTTCGTGATATCAAGACCAACGACATTAGCCTCACCATAGAGTTTAGCGCACAATTGCGTGATGTAAGCCTGTGGATCGCTGGTGCTGGAAACCATACTGCTTGTCGCTAATCAAGCCTGGACGTTCGAGGCAGAAGACCCCGATTTATGCACTTCTCAATAACCTTACTTATAACAAAAAGCAGAGCTATAGGCCTGTACTTGAAAGGGTCGGTCTTAGATCCCTTGATTGGAATGAGTTGGACATGAGCTAATTTTCAGTTTTCTGTATTTGCCCCACTGGTTCGTTGTGGTGTTGACAACGCGGCTAGCGTCTCCTTTACTACGCCAGTTTGCGTGACGCTTAAATCCCAGATCGACGTTAAGGCGAGGCAGCTTGGGAAATATAATGGCAAGGCACGGTAATGACGTTAGCATATTTAAACCAAAACTTATGTCAGCTTTATGGACTTAAGGAATTTAAGGACATCGGGATTCCTCATATGGTAAAGGTTTGGATAGGCAGGGGTATTACGTATCTTGAAAGGTGAAATTTTGTCATTTTTTTGACACAAGTATTTCTATAAAATGTTAACTTAGCACTAGCTGTTGTACGTGTTGCCTAAACGTCATGATGCTTCAGTTGGAAATGTTTGGCTCTGAATGTGATGTAAGATATGCTTCAGAGATAGCATTATTGGAAGTCTAAGCTGTTTATCTTATAGCTGGATCCAAATAGCAGGGCATAGGTGCATAGTGATGATTTGAGTGCAAATGATATGTGTGTTGATAATTCCGTTGGTTTCTTGTCTCAAATACTTGAGATTCAAAGCTAGAAATTTGTTGCGCATCCCCTTTTTCTTATTCATTCTGAATTTTGCTGAATTTCAAAAACGAGAGAGATAAAAAAAGAAAATTTCTGGTTGGTGAAGTATTATTTTTTATTTCCAATCATTTAAATTTTATAGAAATTTATTTTACGATTTCAATAGAAAATACAAATCAGCGCCTAGATGTGAGGCACTGCGAAAATGTTTGATGTGTGATGCGTCATTCCTAATTTTTCTGTGATGTGGTTGAATTGCATACAACGCGGGCTCTGTGGCAATTTCTCGTAATGCTCGACAAAGTTTTAGAAAACACAAAAAACGGAAAAACCGTAATTTATAACTTTGATCATGACCTGTATTCAGAAAGGAAAACATATAAATAACCCGTCGGGCGCAGCTAAAACATATATTTCATTGGCAGCAAGTTCAGTAATTATTTTCTCCCATAGCAAATATCACTGATTTTATACACATCCAGACCAATACACATAATTATCCAGATGAGATATTGCTACTCAACCAACTTACCTTCTTTCACATCTCAGAGATAAACACTACAGACTACTCGGCTTCATAAAATATACATATACTTGCTTTCTGCAACCAACAATGCGTGTCCTTGAGTAATTCCTGCATAGATGGACGCTCACAGCGATCATAGCGAGCAAACGTGTAATGAACTATTTGCACCCTAAAAACTACCTAGTCTGCAAGATGACATTTAGTCGATTTTTTTTACTTTTTTTGTTTTGTTTTGTTTTTTACATAGAACTCATGCCGTTAAATTAATTGACTTCTCATACAAATATTTATGCAAAGAATAAATTGATCATGTTTCGACATTTCGATTCACTTGAATAATGTAAGGAACAGTCATATTAACAAGATGAATCTGCCCATTCATCTTTGGCAGCAGAAAAAGAAAACAACGCCAAAAAATACGCTTTCTTTATAGATATGGCCAAACAGGCTGCCGCCGAACGTACCTTTCTCAGCGCGATTTGCAAGCGCACATTAACCATCGACACGTGCAGTCCGCCAATACAGTCGTAGGTGGTCAACAAGTGCACATGCCGGTGGACCATCATCAGGTGCCTATTAGTGGGCAGGAAGTTATGGAGCCGCAGATGCTAGCCCAACAGCCGATGCAACAGAGAATACCCCCAGTGCCATTGGCTGCGCCACTAAGAGCAAAAACCGCAGGGGATCCCCGGTCAGTGGGAGGGTCTACGATAACAGCGAACAGGGGAAGACAGCCACCCTCTTGTCAGTCTGGTGGTAAGTGATAACAGAGGAAATGTGATTGAGTTTACTGATAGTGACAAATCTTCGAGATTTTTGCATATTCGATATCATTTGTATCCTAGCAGACAGAAGAAAGATGTACCTACAACTCCATTTGACTGTAGTATCTTGATTATTTACGCATTACCAGGTAGAAGAGGTTTCGCACTTTTTATTGCTTTATACAGGGTAGTGCGTTTTCGCACGAACATAATAGGTCGTAAAAAAATTGTTTGTAATTGCATCGAGTAATTATGTTTATACAGGGTTTTGCATGTTATTATTATTTTCATGGCACAGAGAATAGATAATAAATATAAATTGCTCAAAAATTTTGCGACTTGAAAAATTGTATTTAGTCTCTACATCATTGATTTCCGATTCTCCACCTGTTCTGCCTTCTTTGCAATAGCGTAATTTCAGTAAACCACTGTGTCGATTTTGTCAAAACTACTACATACTGTATGGTAACAATTTTTAAAAATTGTGTAAAGTGAAGAGTGCTGAAGTAAAAACAAACCTTGTTTTTTAATGTTCATTTTCAATTCATTATAATTAGCACGCCGATTTTCCTTCAAAATCCGTTTTAAGGTTCTTAAGTTGGTATTGGAATAACACGGGCAGTTCTGGGTTTTTGAGCAATTTAAAAATATCTCGAACTGTATACCTCGATTTGTTAACACTGTCAGCGATTTGGGAATCATTTTGGCTGTCAGAAACAGCTTTATCACGATTAAACATGTAACTGTTAACAAGAACACCGATGCAAAGTTAATTTAAACGTCAAAAATCAGCTTCTTAGCAACGTACAATGCTATCATTTGTTTTACAAAGCCTACTTTTATTTTATCGAAGTGAATAAACAGACCATTCAATTTAAGTTGTCGCCATCATGAATTTTGATCTGTACAAATTATTTTGCGAAAAAGTAGCTCAAGAACGCCTGGATCTTCTGAACGTGTTCTTCTTGATTTATTTGGCATTTTAATGTATTACATAACTTCAACGACCTGTGTTGCGACTTATAATTGCTGCACACAAAACAAATACTGGATAATCTGTGGACTGTATCAAACACGCGGGCGTTACCGGGAAGTTTGATAGAGAGGGAAAAATTGATCCCTCAAAGTATAGTATGATAGTAGACACCTAAACAAGGGTACCACTACACTTGACTTATTTATGAGATGAGGTCTAATGTAATCACAATTTGTTTTCTAATATATATTATATTGTTTGATGAAGGTGTCAGGACCAACTTAATAACAGTCCCTCTACAAGACTCATCGTCGTCGACTCCGTCCACACCAGATACCTCGCTGGGAGGACCTTTGCCTGGTCAACAATCCTACTACACTGGAGGACATCAACAGTATCAACCGTCCATCGCCAGCACTCAGCCGAATGTAGTTTATGTGGCCGGTAATGGCGGAAATACACCAGTAACAGGTAAAGCGATAAGTCTTCTCAATTGATTTTGTAAAAAAATATGTCATGTAGATTGATTTACCCAATACTTTCCACGCATTCGTGTACGTCTATTCTTAAATTTTACATATAAACTAAAAATCATCAAGGAAGTTGTTGAATTCAGTATACAACTTCTTCCCGATCAAATGATTGTACGCGCGTTAAAGAGAGATCCATCATGATTCATTTCTTTGTTGGGGAAGATTGCTGACTGCGTAGCTTAGGCGTGGAAGCATCAGACATGCATAAGACACCCTGGAAAAAGCTAACAGGTGGTATCGCTTCGTTCGACTGGTTAATGATGTTAGATAGACCTAAAAGTGGCCCGTTGGCAGACTTGTACCGCCACCCTGCAATCGGTACTGTACAATCACTTGAACGGGAAGAAGTTGTATACTGAATACAACTTCCGGAACAAACATTTGCCACGGCCCCGCTCACTAAAAGAGACAAAAGAAGGAGTAAATAAAAGGAACTTTTAAATAAAATAAATTAGAGTTGTTGGGAGAGTTGCGAAAAAATTCTGCTATGTAGGTATTTTTTAAAGTCAGATATCAGGACGCCTGGCAAAACACGTGTTCCCAACTCGGACTATCGGTTCGGTAAATATCTTAAAAGATGTGTTTTAAAAATAAAACTTTGACGTCCTCGAAAGGCCGTCTGTCACGATACAAAATTTTGTGCTAAATTCGTGCAAAATATCAACTAAATATCATGCTAAAAGTGCGCAGATGACAACTGCGCATTTGGATGTCATAATCAAAAGAGCAGTGTGAGATATTACTAAATGAGTATGAGAAATATGATTGTTTATATGCTGTAACAAAGGAAGGCCAAAACAGAAAAGCCAAATAAGCTGCATTGGATAAAATCAGAATAACTTAAGAACCAATTAGGCTTATAAGCCAGATGATCCTGCACTAGAAGTTCTTTATGGAGCACACATGCGCTGGTCCCTCTCCCTTATCCATTTTCGGTACCAAATTTATTTTACGGTTCCGTTTACTTTGTTTTCTCATGAGGTGGGCAGCTACAACGCAGATTGCTGCTGCCGCAGTCGCGTTTATAATATATGCAAATTACGGAACAGATCTATTTTCTACAATTTTCTATTCATTTTGAAAATAAAGGAATAAAGTATACCCTATTTCACGAGTATCCATCATGGTGGAATGACAGCTGGTTATCTAGTAATGCCTCAGCTCAGATAACAATCAGCTATGAAATTCTCCTGTCAGTGTCAAAAACGACCGTCATTTTAGCGGAGAATGTCGAATGTAAATTCCCCCAGTACAACGATGAAAGAGGTTTTAGTGCCCAGCAGCAGCCGATGTCAGCGACCGCAGATATTCTTTGCAATCTTAAAATGATGATATTTCGGCATGATATAATGTACCTTGTACGAGGGATGTCTTTTAAGTTTTGCATATAGAAACATAGTAGGCCGCGCGGATCGAACGTCAGTACTGAATCTTATCCTCACTCTTGAGTAAACTTAAATTCAAAGTCTCACAACAATACGTGCAGTGTTCTCACTACAGTGAATTTTTAAGTGTCACCAAGTCATTAGAAAAATGGAACTCAACCGAGAACATTTTCGCGCCATAATTTATTACAACTTTCAGAGACTATTATCGCAACAAGAATGCTTTGCTGAGTTACTGTCTGTTTTCGACAACGAAGCGCCACATCAGTCGGCAATTTCCTGTTGGTATGGAGAATTCAAACGTGGACGGGTGAGTCTTAGCGACGATTCCAGGGTGGGTGCACCAAAAACGGCAGTCACCCAGGAAAACGTCGATGCTGTGCGCAAACTCATCATTGAAGATAGACATGTGACATATTGCGAGATTGAGGCGTCCTTGAAGATCTCAAAGACCTCAATTCAAAAAAATTTACATGAAGAATTAGGAGTAAGAAAATTAGTTTCTCGTTGGATACCCCACCTGTTGACTGAAGAGCAGAAAGCAGCCAGGGTTAATTGGTGTCAAAAAACGCTTGACCGTTTCAATTCCGGAAACTCAAAAATGTGTACAGCATTGTTAGTGGTGACGAATCGTGGATTTACTGTTATGAACCAGAAAATAAACGACAATCGGCTGTTTGGGTGTTCCAAGGTTAAGAGAAGCCAACAAAAGTCATCCGTTCTCGAAGTGTTTCGAAAAAGATGGTCGCGACATTTGTGTCAAAAGCGGGTCATATTGCAACAATCACTCTTAATGAGCAAAGAACTGTTACTGCGGATTGGTATACCACCATTTGTTTGCCAAAAGTCTTCACCGAGCTTCGAAAAATCAATCCCGAAAGAAGAATCATTCTCCACCAAGACAATGCAAGCTCGCACACAGCCCAAAAAGCAAGGCTCCATACCAACAGGAAATTGTCGACTGATGTAGCGCTTCGTTGCCGAAAACAGACAGTAACTCAGCAAAGCATTCTTGTTGCGTTAATTGTCTCTGAAAGTTGTAATAAATTATGGCGCGAAAATGTTCTCGATTGAGTTCCATTTTTCTAATGACTTGGTGACACTTAAAAATTCACTGTAGTGAGAACACTGCACGTATTGTTGTGAAACTTTGAATTTAAGTTTACTAAAGACTGAGGTTAAGATTCAGTACTGACGTTTGATCCGCGCGGCCTACTATGTTTCTATATGCAAAACTTAAAAGACACCCTCGTACAAGGTACATTATATCATGCCGAAATATCATTTTAAGATTGCAAAGAATATCTGCGGTCGCTGACATCGGCTGCTGCTGGGCACTAAAACCTCTTTCATCGTTGTACTGGAGGAATGTACATTCGACATTCTCCGCCGGAATGGCGGCCGTTTTTGATACTGACAGGAGAGTTTCATAGCTGATTGTTATTTAAGCTGTGATGATACTTCAAAATTCCCCATATCGGCACAGGACACATAATTCTGACGGATTTGTTAACGCCAGGTAGTCAGAGCCGTATTTTGTTTTGTTTTTTTGTAGGCTACAGATCCATTTTGTACTTGTTAACAGCTCTTTTATTTAGAAAAGTTCATTTTCATAAAAAAAAACAAAACGCTACAAACAAGTTTTACTAGATTTATACCCGATTCATTAATTGCCAACGTTTCAGATTAACACAACAATGTCACTTGCTGATCAGCTGTTCACCTCAGTAGACGTCAAAGCGTGATGGATACTAGTGAAATAGGGTATAGCAAAGGAAAGTGTGGTTAGAATGCCTTTGACGTGATAAATGGCAGTTAGAAGTTGACAGTTATAGTTTTTTTTTCTACCAACTGCCATGATTTTGTACGAAATTTAGTACAAAAATGTCTTTACGTGTCAGACAGGATTGTAATTTGTAAACAAATTGGGAACTAAATTCAGTAACGAATTTACTCTCAAAATTTGGTACTAAATTTTGCACAAAATTTCGAATCGTGACAGAGGGCCTTATCATGTTCAATCGACTTTTTTTAGTCTAAAAATACGTCGTACTTCTATGCCACGGAATATTGGGACTTCCTGTATAATGTGATATGGTATAGATTCTCATTTGGAATGAAATATATTGTTTGCACATCATATTAACAAAAATATCAACTATACATACTAATATTGATAACGCAACATTTTTCTGACACATAAATGTTCGGACACGATATTAAAAAGAAAATAATAGCAGGCCATGGAAACAAAAAAGGATTTACAATTTGACGTTTTAAGAATCAATTTGCTTTAAAATGTCGCGTGATAAAGCAACAAACGGTGCAATCAGAGTTTTAATCATAACATTGTTTCATCGGAATATTGACACAGTCGTTCTGTAGCAGGTACAGCTGGCATGCCTCCCCTTCATATGCCGCCCCCAGCGACTGGGGGTGCTCCTCCACCGCCAACCCAGCATCAGCAGCACTACTATCACCCTGGAGGAGCCGCTACGCATCCCCACCACGGCTACGGACCACCTGCTTATGCTGTTACGACGGCGTATGCCCCTTCGACGGCCCCCCCGCCGCAATACGCTACCCCTGGGACACAGCAGCCCCCCGGTGGGGGCAGGGCTGCCCAACAGTACGAATATGGAGCACCACCTCCACAACAGTGGGCTACCGCACCACCGCAACAATACTATAGGTGAAATTTTCCAGATAAATGTTATGTACTGATAATTAATAAATAATTTATATTGGATTTTGAAGTTAGGATTTCTAAAACTCTCATTTTTAACCCTCGACGCAGGCTTGATACGGGTGCAACCTGAAGATGGAGAGGGAACAACGGATTTTGCCCATTATTTTTCTATATTTTATACATGCTTCTTCGCATGATTATTTTCTCCTTGTATATATATATACAGGGTGCGCCATCTTTTATGTCGGTATTTAAACACGAAATAACTTTGAAAGCGAAAAACTGATTTCTATAGATTGGGTATTTTTATTAAATATGGTCCTTTACAATTTATTGGGACTAGTTTTTGAACAGAACATCTATCAAGTGGCCACCTTTATTGGCCAAAACAAAATGTGCCCGTTTTGCTGCGTTTTCCATTACTTTTTCGAGCAGTGGCCAGTCAATGTCATCTCTCTTTGACATCAGACGTCCAGGGAATTTTCGTTGCAGAATTGTTTCATTTGCACTGTGGCATGGCGCACCGTCTTGTTGGAACCAGTAACCATCAAGACCTTTTTCACGCATTTGTGGGCGGACATAATGAGCCAACAACCACCGATATCGATTTCCATCGACTTTCGTTTGCGCTGAAGAAAAATGGCCCAATGGTGGTTTTGGCGCAAACGCCGGCCCAGTCACTCTCTGGTCATGCAATAGCATTTCGTGGATCTCATGAGGATTTTCCATCTCCCAAATGCGTCAGTTTTGCTTATTAACACCGCCAGAGAGCGTGAAATCGGCCTCGTCGGTCATCACAATTTGCTTCCAAAAATCAGGTTCAGCATCAACCATGCGAGCGACTGTTTGGGCGTATTACAAGCGACGTGGACGGTCAGTTGGTAATATGTTTTGTGCTAACTGCACCTTATAAGGAAACAATTGCAAATTACCCTTCAAAATGTACCGCAACGTGGTTCCACTGATGCCAAAATGCTAAGCGCAGTAACGATACGACACTTTTGGGTTCTGAGCAACGCTGTCTCTGACCACTTCAACCAATTCATTAGAACGTCTTGGTCCTTGATTCACGGTATGTTGACGACCTCCCACTGTCCCGTACTCAAGAAAATTCGAAATCAAACGACGGATAGTGTTGTCAGACGGTGCGGTGGCTGTTTGCCACGATATTTTCGACAATACGCACGTTACGTTAACACAACTGAACGATTTTCAATGTACATTGAAACTATTCGGCGCGTTGTTTCGGTGTAAAGCGATTCACGACTAAAATTGTAGTAAATTGACGTTTCAGAAACACGTATAACCAAATCACCCGGTTGGTAAATATCAGTCATTCGATGTTTCAATACCGACATAAAAGATGGCGCACCCGATATATATATATAACTTGAGACGTGGTCATTGTCGTCTAGACCAGTTAGGTGAAAAATTAAAGCTTCCGCCTTTTGTTGGGTATTTCGACAAAATTTAAGCAAAGCGGACTCTTTATACTTTTTTAATTCTCTCTAGCTTTCAATGGACTTTGCCATCATCATCAGGAGAGTAGTATGTGAGGATGTTGCTAATTGTTGTTTACGTATAGGATGAGGGAAACGTCCAGTAACATGGTGAGAGCTGGATAGATGGTACAATGGTCAAAATTATATAAAATATGACAAGAACAAGTTAAAAACAGATTAAAAATTATTTAAAAAACATTAGAGCATTACATCGTGAAGCCACTTGATGATTGCACAAAATTATTCCATGACCACCATTTTGTGCAATCATCAAGTGGCTTCACGATGTAATGCTCTAATGTTTTTTAAATAATTTTTAATCTGTTTTTAACTTGTTCTTGTCATATTTTATATAATTTTGACCATTGTACCATCTATCCAGCTCTCACCATGTAACTGGACGTTTCCCTCATCCTATACGTAAACAACAATTAGCAACATCCTCACATACTACTCTCCTGATGATGATGGCAAAGTCCATTGAAAGCTAGAGAGAATTAAAAAAGTATAAAGAGTCCTCTTTGCTTAAATTTTGTCGAAGTACCCAACAAAAGGCGGAAGCTTTAATTTTTATATATATATATATAATATATATACAGGGTTATCCAAATTAAGTGTCCACCATTAGTAACTTTGTTATTAGTGAAAATACAAAGTTCTTTGAATTAGCAAACTAGTAGCATTTTTAACGCTGGTAAAAATGAGAAATAAAAAAAAACAATTGAGAGTCGTTATTTTGATTTTTTTCAGTAAAATAACATTTTTTTAAATGGAAACCCCTGTATATTATATTTTTTTCTGTTAAAGCATCAAATTTTAAACAAAAAAGTTCATAATGAGTTTTCCGCTAAAGACAAAATAACGATAAATATTTTTAATTATTTGCAGTATTATAATATTAAGACGGCTATGAAAACAACATGGCGTTCGCGATTTGACAGCATTAAGATAAGCGACAAATTGTTAAACTGGACATACTCGCAACTAGAAGGCTTTGGAAAACAATGATAAAATCAAATAATGTCAAACATTAGTGTAAATACTTGTTTATAAGCTTTATTGTGTCATTAATTTAAAGAAAAATGTTCTCCCATGAAGAAAAGTGTGATATGTTAGAATGCTATTTAGTGTGCAGAAAATCCTCCTTGAGAGCAAGAGAATACTACAGTGAATTATATCCCGCTCGCATTCAACCGTATGAACGATATTTTCTGAGACTTTATCGAAAATTTAGGGGCAACGAAAATGTTTTTGCTAAAACAAGGGCAAAAAAAGAATTCATAATAAGCGAGGCCACGGAAATTGCAGTTATTGGATATTTTGAAGCTTATCGTGAGAATTCAATAGCAGATATTCTCAAGGACTCTAATTTCAGTTATGGTACTGTTCAAAGGATTTTAAAAAAATACATATTTATTCCGTATAAGTACCGACCAGTTCAAACGCTTTTGGCAGGGGATCCAGAGAGAAGACTTGTTTTTTGCCATTGGTATCTTAGCTTCTGTCGCCAAAATGTAAATAACTTTCGTTACCTTTTATGGACAGATGAATAAAATTTTTCAAATTCTGGAATGTTTAATAGAAAAAACCACCATTATTGGTCAAGAGAAAATCTTTTGTTAGTACATCCAAGAGGCCCACAAGTCCGTTTCAGTTTCAACGTTTGGTGCGGTATAATTGGTTCAAAAATTGTTGGCCCGTTCTTTTATGAGGGAACCCTAACTGGTGAAAGATATGTGGAATTTATGTCAGAAATTCTGACTAATTTCTTAGACGAATTGGATCTTATAAGTAGACATCATCTGCATTTTCAGCAAGATGGCGCACCTGCCCACAACTCAAGAGGTACTTATCATTTTCTAAGTACTACTTTTAATGATCAGTGGATAGGAACAAATGGCCCAATACAGTGGCCTCCCAGATCACCAGATCTAAACCCACTTGATTACTTCTTGTGGGGTTACTTAAAGAACCAAATTTACAAGCGAAGGTACGATAACCTTGACGCGTTAAAGACTGCAGTTAGGGAAAAGATAACCCAGATAGATGGTAGGACCATACTTAAGACAGTTCGAGCAGTTGAAAAACGTGCCCAAAAATGTATTGAAGAACAAGGTGGTGTTTTCGAGCATCTTCTTTAAAAAAAATTGTTATTGTATTTTGTAAGATTATAAGTTGATGTTGAAAATAAAGTTTGTCGATACAATTTAATTGTTTCAGATTGGAGGCCATAACTTCAACAATTTGTAACCTAGGAGAAAAGTTATTGTAAGCTTTTTTGTTTAAAATTTGATGCTTTAACAGAAAAAAATATAATATACAGGGGTTTCCATTTAAAAAAATGTTATTTTACTGAAAAAAATCAAAATAACGACTCTCAATTGTTTTTTTTTATTTCTCATTTTTACCAGCGTTAAAAATGCTACTAGTTTGCTAATTCAAACAACTTTGTATTTTCACTAATAACAAAGTTACTAATGGTGGACACTTAATTTGGATAACCCTCTATATATATATATATATATGATTTATAGTTATTGTCGAAGTAATCAGTTAAATGGAAGACTTTTTTGGAATATCGACAAATTATGCTAAGTGTACCCTTTTGACTTTCAATACTCAAGCTTTCGACAGACTATACTGCCATCATCAGGATATATAATAATTCCACCCCTTCCAACATTTCAAACAATTCTCACAATAATAATAATGCCACTACACCATCAAATCCCAGAATTAGTTTTGTAACATTGCCATAGATTCAAAAATGGACTCCAAAACTGGCCAGACTTTGTAGCACTTTAAATTGTCGTATTGTCTGTAAATCTGTTCTAACAATCAATAATGTGTTTTCCAAAGTGAAAGATAGAGTTCCGATGCTTGGCTTAACCAATACTGTCTACCTCATCAATTGCAATGTTGCAATTTGATATGCATAGGTCAAACTTCTAGATCACTAAAGGGCAGAATAACATCCCCACAGGAGTGATTCCAGATTGCGTCCAGAAAGATGTGCTTTGGCGTCACATGTAAACACTACAGGTCACTTGATGTGCTATAAGACTATCAAGGTCTCTGATAAAGAACAACTCTCTAAACGTTTATTCTTACACATCTTCATGACTGACAGTTGTATGCAGAAAAAGGCCGATGTCAAGCAACTTAGTGTCAACTACTCATATTTGCTAAATTGCGAAAAATGGGAACGATTACACATTTCTCCCGAAACTGATTTGTCACAATAACAGATATAACAGTCGTGATGGGTAAAACCAACAGGTTTTCCAATAAAATAATATTTTTATCCCCCTTTTTCTCCAGGACAAGTCAACCAATTTTGCCAAGTGGTGACTCTTAATTTTACATCAACAATATAATTTAACAAAAATAATTTTTTCACAATAAATTCCGAAACTTTTCTATTACGTTTTGTACTAAATCTAACATTCACATTTTGTTATATGTATTTCTGATGAAGCTAACAAGCAGAAATACGTATTGTTCGGGTTACCTATCCTATTTTCTGCTCGAATCCACTTTCCTTCTTTTTGCGGATTTTGCCCATTATTTTTTTATTATATACCCTTCTCCGCATGATCCTTTATATATATATATATCAAAAAATAGGAATATTATATACCCTTCTCCGCATGATCCTTTATATATATATATAACAAAAAATAGGAAAATAATGGACAAAATTAGCAAAAAGAAGGAAAGTGGATTCAAGCAGAAAATGTTGTTCTCCCTCCATCTTCGTTTCCTCGGGTTGCACCCGTATCCGAATGTGTACATACTTTTATAGTTGCATATTTGCATTTATTTCGGGCCTGACGAAGCCAACAAGCAGAAATACGTATCACTCGGGTCATGTATCCTACTTTCTGTTCGAATCCACTTATTGCTGATTTTGCCCATTATTTTTCTATCTGTTACACATAAATACAGGGTGCATGAACCAACAAAATTTTTTGGCCGATTGAGGACGCGATTTGATGATTTTTGATGGAAACCACAATGCTCTAAGTCTAAGAGCTACGGTTACCGTTGTTAGTTTTCTTTTTGCTGAATTACCTACAATTGAGCATAAATATCGTTATAACTTTTGCCCATTATTTTTCTATTTGTTACACATATATACAGGGTGCATGAACCAACAAAATTTTTCGGCCGATTGAGAACGCGATTTGATGATTTTTGATGGAAACCACAATGCTCTTAGTCTAAGAGCTACGGTTACCGTTGTTAGTTTTCTTTTTGCTAAATTACCTACAATTGAGCATAAATATCGTTATAACTTTTTTGTTTCTATAGATAATGACACAAAATAAACGTGAGTCTGTTCTGTAATGTATACTCAATCAGATCAGATAAAAAGTACGTGCAAATCTGCTCAAACAAATGACTTATGACCTTCCAAAGTCGTACAATCACGTGGAGTGTATAAATAATTTCAAATTCGAAATTCGATTATAAAAAACTATACATTTTTTGAAACCTAGTTTTACTTACAAAACTTCTGTGATTTATTGCCCTTCCAACGATATGCTACACGTCATAGAAATAATATGTTGGACAAATTTTCAGAAACTACAAAGCTTTTTGTCCTTGGCATAGTACTTGTCCGAGCGGTATTTTCAAAGATATAGACATGCCCAGAATTAGAGATTAGTCAGACCGACCGACGGAAATGAGCGACGGTTTTTCGTGATCTAGATGACATATAACAACTAAAAATTAATATCTCATTTTAGAATTCATTGGCGATTTCTACACTTCTCCGCCAATGGCGTAGGAAGTTAAAACCTAATGAAACGTATAGCTATGCATGGTCACTCGGCATATAACAGGCCATTGGTCTTCTACAATGAACTACCGATTACGCGAGTTATTATTATGTTTTTGCAGAATAAGAGTAAAATACAAACAAAAAAAAACAGGTAAGAAATATAGCGAATTTATTTCAATTTAGTTACTGAATATGGCACTTTTACTATCTACAACTGTCATTTTCTTACTTTTCCCTTAGGTACACATATTCAATAATACACAACCACCGTTTTTTCACAAAATTCAAACTGTTCTATTCAATATACAATTATCTCTTCAGCGGCATATCCTCAATATACATAACAAATTATATATTTACACCATGAACAATGCAACAACAAAAAATCATATTTATCTCACAAATTTCAATAATATAAATTCGCATATAATAGAGTTAACAAATTATTAATCGGTAAGCCAGCTATAATTTCCGGTTTTCCATATAAAAAGATACTGCTTTTAATGTCTTGTCAAATACTATTCTTCCATGAAAGTTGTTCAATAACTATCTCAAACCAGCACAAAATAATGAAAGTTCTTTGTAGCACATTTCTCTCTTACAGGTTACCTAGTGGGTTTCTCTTCCAATATTCACCAACAATGCATAGTAATTGTTTATGCTTAAAAATGAAAACGAATTTCTACTTTCTCAAGGCCCGATTTTACACCGCAGGTTAACTGACTAACAGTAACCTGGAAGTAAAATAAGTTAATACAACTTTAACTCATAGTCTCTCGTCAAAACTATCGTTTAAGGACAAGAGACGAGAGAGAAGAACGCAATACTCATATTGGAAAAAGATGGAAGCACCACGTTGCCTAGCAACCCGGGGCACGAGCCACGGACGCAGCTGCGGCTTGAAGCGTAGCCATCGGGTCACTCTTTCTAACATACGCATTGCGTGCTTCTCTCTGGTACACGTTTCCTCGTCAGTGATATTTGAATGTCTTTGTATAGAAAGTCTTTCTGGGAGTGGAGGATCAATCAAGTGAAAAATCAGAGTAACCTGTTTGTAATAACCTGGAGGATGAATAAGAAAAGGTAAATCAGTTATTTTTCAGTCAAATTTGTGGTTTAATCAAATCAGATGATAAATATTCATGGAGAAAACCATAGGGCGGTATTTCCCATGTCACTCTTTTTACTAGTCAGGGTAGAACACTCCAAAAAAACCTCTCATTATTAAGCACTAGTATTACAAACACAAAATATTCTTAAGTCGCTTGAACAACATTTTTTCATATACAGATTTCTCAGTTGAAATCACACTCAAAACAATTTTAGATCGAAACCATTGGTCGTCTTGTTCAAAAAACCTAAAAATCAGCGATACAATTTTTATTTAGACAGAAAACATGTTAGAACAATGGTAAGTAACAATGAATAAAAACCAAAAAACAACTTCCACTTCGTAAAAAAAGGATTGCTTAATTTTCATGTGAGGGTTCAATTCCATGAGAGCGTCAAACATTGAGTGCCAATAAAGTGTCACGACATGACTGAATTTGACGCTTGAAGTCTACATTCCTAAGGCCCGATTTTTTACTATTGACCAGAGGGACTCAAAATTTGCGCATATGATGCAAATTGGACCATTGACAAGGCGTCTTATTAGTAATAACGAAGTAATGGATCTAATGAATTTGAATTTGATTTACACAAAAGTTGGCGAGAATTCCATCAAAAAAGATTTGTAGCCTACTTGATACATGGATCAAACCTGATACAATAGATTGACATGACTCCATTACTGAGCAGTGTCTCTGTCGCTGATCAAAATTCTGCTTAATTTCTTTGAAGACATAAATAAAATTACAGAATGTGTATTCTTTAACGAACATCAATAATCAATTTACTTACTGTTAACAGGAAGATGTCGCTCATTCTACTGGGCAGTAGAATGACTACACGACCACGCTGATATCCATGTGTGGATTATTTAATAAGAATAATAATAGCGCTTTATTTTACCTGGCGGGTATCAGCTATAAAGCTGCTCGCCATGTTTGTTCCATAATTTTGTAATTTTATTTGACCGCAAAGAATTTATCAAGCAGAATTATGTACGGCAAGGATGAGACGCGATTATTTTCAATAAAATACAAATTTAATTGCTGTCACATCAATCTAGATATTGTATCAGATTTATGTCCATGCTTATATAGTATGGCGCAAACGCTTATTTTTCATTGGTGCATTATACAGGGTATTCGAAAAATAGACGGAGATATTTTATATTCCTTGTTAAAAGATATGAAAAAAAGTTACTATAAATATCGGTCCGGAAATGCAGAATTTTCAAGATACAGGGTGATAAATTTAAAAAAAAATACTTTTTTATTAGTATCTTAAAACACATGTACTCGATTCTGTTGAAATTTGGCAATATTATTTGCTGTACTAAGAGCTAATTTAGCCCTAGATGGGTCAAAATTATTAGGTCCAGTGGCATCCCAAGGGGCACCTTAGCGAATATTACTGGCCAAAAAATGTACGCCACTGCATTTTTTTGTAACTTTAATATATGTTGTTTGATTAAGTATCTAAAAATACAACTTTGCGTCTTATATTTTTTCGTGCCTCACTTCGTTTGCAAGAATTAATATTTTCACAAAAAATCATTCCTGCATAGAGATTTGAGATTTGTGCGTCAGTTCTTCTAGAAAAGAATTATGCACGTAATTTTATATGCGAAATTTAGCTAAAAAGTTTGATTTTTTTTAATTCAAATTTATTTTTAAAACTCTGGTTTCCCGGCACATGTTTATAGAAACTTTTTTTTCACATCTTTTAACAAGGAATCACCCTCTAAAATATCTCCGTCTATTTTTCGAACACCCTGAATGATCAAAGCCGCTAATTTAGTGTTCGGAAGCAATTATTGTAGCTAAACCAAGTGATTTATGGCGTATTTCTTGATTTAATATGGGAACTAAAGGCCCGTCTTACACAAACCGTATAATTTTTCTCTAGTTTGAGAGACATCCACAGGAAATCGGCCGTATTCGTTAGATCCATTACTTCAAAGACGCCTTCTTGTTGGTTGATTTTGTGTTACACGCACTTTTTTACGTCCCGGCTTAGTAGAATAGGGCCTAAGTAGCCTTTGGCGATATGTAGTCGTGCAAAGTGCAATGCGACTAACGACTTAAAGAGATCAGCCAGCATTCGGAGGATCTCAACACAAAAGTGCTTTGCCGAGAAGACGTGCAACAAGTACAAGTTACATACGCAATCATTATTTCGTTACTAAGTTGTCAAAATTTATTAGAATTCTACAGCATCGTTCAAAAGTTATTTAATAAAAACCGATTTCAGTAACGTGTATTAGGGGGGAGCGTGTACCTCCAAATTTTATGAGCGATCTGGAAAAGACATAAATAGATAGATCTTCCGAAAACATGAAGTTTGATATCGAATATATATGGTTTTGATTGTCAATTGTTTAGATATTTTTGCAATGTACCTTTTCTCACAAATGTCAAATGGAACACCCTTTATATTTCTACACCATTAAATATCTTTCCTTTTTTTTTTGATATAAGGTTTATACAACTTTTTTCGCAGTTTTCGGGTTATTGCTACTAATTCCAAGAAACAAAAAATATATTCCACATTTGACTTTTAATCAGTTCTTCCATGAAAATAATGAATTTTCTTTCGCACACGTCTCACCTTAACCCTAGACAGTCATAAATTATGAAATTGTTATAAGTTCCAAGTAGTTCTGTTGATTCCCAGATGTTTGATCTCAGGTCCAGTATTTTTTCACAACCACATTGTTTCAGCAACTTGGGTAACCTCTTTTACTAGAGAAAGTAAATTTGAACAACTAGGAGAGATTTGTGGTACCAGCATGATGGTGTTCCACCACATTACAATCGAGCAGTACGGGAGTATTTAGACTGCTGGGGTACTGATAGTTGGCTAGGGAGAGGTGGACCAATCAGATTTACCAGGAGAAACCTAAAACACCAGAGGACATGAAACATCGAGTCGTATAAGGTGATACCTAGACAAACCCTTTTAGACGTGCAAGATAATTTCAACAGCCTTGTGTGGTTTGCACCAACGTAATATATTCGTTAGTTTATTAATTGATTGCCTTAGGCTGAGATTATTTTTGTTGTGTTAATAAGATGTATTTGGTTTTTCTTGAAATTAATAACAAAAAATGGAAAAAAGTTGTATAAGCCTCATATCAAAAAAAGTTCATCCCAAAATCATTTGACGATATACATCATAATACAATTTTTGTGAAAAAACATTTATCTAAATATCTCCAAAAATGGCGGAGCTGCAGACGTTTGGCCACATAGTATTGATAATCGAAACTATTTGTTAAATTAAATCAAACGTCTTGTTTTTGGAAGCCCTATTCAAATATGCAATAAAATATAGGGAGTTCTTTCAAAAAACATATGTTTCGCTATGGCACTGTATATATTAAAATAATTTTAAAATATGCACTACTAACATATCAAGGTTGCCACGAAAACAGATTTTTTTTCCTGGTTGCTTTTGAAACTACTTTCCATTTTCGTTAGGACACCCTGAACAAATCTGTTTCCAAGTATGTTGTGTTATTCCCATTATGCTACAAGGAGAGTTGACTGATCTTAGATGAGAAACGTGCACATAGACAACGTTGGTTTGTATTTTCGAAAGTCTAACCACATAACATTGGATGCTGGATGCCCTCATGAAAATACCACTTGAGTTCTGACTGTCTTGATTTCATAACAATTAACAAACGTAAGTTGTGTGTGGACCGTAGTCGTCACGACTGTTTGCATCCAGGAATTGTTTTAAAAGACATGCAACTGATAGTCTTCTTCCACCGGCTACTTTTCTTTGAGCTCGAACTAGACGACTGAGCGTTACCGTTTGAATTCTCCGCTACCACGAACGTCCGATCGCGTTGCTTACGCCTTTCATCCATCTCTATCAAAATAAAAAAACTTGTGTAATACTCACATGGACAAAACTAATACTATTCATCCCATTTACATTCTTTTAAAAAACTACAACAATTTTTCAGAACAACAAAACTTGCATCTCTAATCATTTCCACAGTTCATGAAATGTGCCTTTAATTTACTTTTAAACACCTTTAAATTACAAGTAAATTTATATCATTATATAGTAATCAAGTAATCCCTTCTGAAATAATGACTTACTAGTTATAGTACTATTGCACTTTTCAATTCTATGTAATGTTCTAAATGTTGTGGCAAAAGATTTTTTTATTTTAAATATGAAAATCAGAACCAAACATAATATAAAATTTTTTATATTCAACCACTGAAATTCTTGTAACATAGATTTTATTTTGGTGTACATATTTTTATTCAATAGGATCCTCATAGCTTTATCGTGTGGGACTTATAATTTTGATAATACAGCTTCATTGGCAGTGAGCAAGATAATTGAACAATATAGTAAATGCGGTAGAATAATTGTATTATACACTATTTTTTATAAGACTATGGGAAGCCATATAAAAGTTATTTTTTTCAATTTTTGAAATAATGTTTTCATAGTAATACTCAAACTTTAGTATTAAAATTATCGTTTTTACTATTAAATTCAAACTTAAAAATAGTGTAAAATTAAGTTGTTGCCGTTAGTTTAACTTTAATTGTAAATCACTCACAGTGATTTTTTCCCAGCCTATTAGTTTTACAAAGTTAACTCTAATAATCATCGTTACATCAGTTTTTTTTGAGTGCTTATATATATTTTGAATCTGAAAATTTATCATCAATAAAAATTAGTCTCCTCTAACTTGACTTTCATTAAATTGATTAACTGAAACTGAGTTCGGCTGATCCAAAAGTATTCACTCGTGCGTTTACCCTGTTCTCTTGGAATACTTTAACAAGAGAAGAATCAACATTCTGCACAAAGTGAGTGTTTCAACGAATCTGCGATTTTATTACTTTATATCAGGTTCTACGCGAGTCTACCTCCTATAGGAAGACATGTACAGGGAAAACAGAATTGGGAAATAGATTAGTCTCGGATACAATCTAGAAACTGAAGTATTGGACTGGGGATCCGGACTTATGAAGACAAGGCACGATGTTGAGAGGTCCGGGAATCTTCCTGTTCCACACAATTCATAAACAAATATAATTTTGCACATTACTGTGACGATCTTCTTTATCTTACATCGAAATCGCAATAATAGAATCAGAATTGGATCAGTTCATAAAATGGGAATTTTCAAGATTAAAGGTACCTGCAGCATTTTGTCTATCTTGCATGGAAATTATTTAGGATATTTGATTAATTTATTTTGGAAAGCCATAATGCCCAGAAGAATAGATAAAATTACGGTTCAGCTTATGACTACACCTACATTAATTGAACTAATTTTTCACTTTTAGCTTTGCATTAACAACATATCATTTGAGAATATATCTTGTAAAAGTGAATGAGAAATAACAAAAGATAGATTCATAAAAAATAGTAAAGTCTCAAAAGTTGCGATTTTTTACAAATTCTTAAATATGGTGATAAAAGCCGTGCGCTATCGGATAAGAATATACATTCTGATTCAAAATTACCCCCTATCAGCCGCTGCCGTTGGATAATCCATGACTTTTTCGACACGGTATACAGGGTGTTTTAGAAAGACGTGCCAATATTTCTAGGGTAGAAAGTACATTCAAAAACAATCCTATAAATAAGGGTTCAAAGATGCTCCAATACCGAGATACAAGGTGATGAAGTTTTATTTACGAAATTGAAAAAATATATGCCTACGGAGCGGGTAAAGATACTGAGTTAACGTTTCAGCTGTGCAGTGAACACATCATAAACAATAAATACATAGAATTTCCCTTCCCAAACTAAATGAGACGTAAAATCTGGGGTACCTGGACCCCTAGTAGGAAAGATTTTCTACGCCACTGGCCTTTTCGAAGAAAAGAAGTGCATTTTATAAAGTAACATTCAATTTTCCACATATTATGTCTCTTAAGAAATGTTTGTCAGATCCCTCGTTTTGAAGATATTTAGGTTTGAATATTCTGAAAAAACCATGAAGCGTGAAACACTATATATAATCTGAAGAAAGCTATGGCACCTCATTACAACATTAATTAAATAAGATGCGTGTATTCTCCTCAATCAGTAGCGTAAAAGCTTACCATCCAATTACCTTTCCTGTACACGCCACTGGTTTTGCAGGCATAATCATTTTTGTTTATAAATAAAGAAGCTTCAATCAGAGAGAACGTGTATTTGAAAAATAAATACATACAGATTACAAGAATTAAACACAACCAGAATAAACATTACATGTGATACAACTTGCGTAGTTATTTCTAAATTTATGATTACATACCATTGGGAACAAAAAATAATGTTTAATACATGCTTTATCACCCAACCTAAAGGAGAGGTTGAATTCAACACAAGCCCGTGCTCTACGCCACAAAAACTCTCTGACTCTTTGTAAAATACCAAGCGTACTATGATCAATGTTGAAAGCCTTCGTCCTGTCCCAGGTTACTAAGGTTTTGTGAGATCTTCTTTGATGAGCTCACTTAGTCCGAAATACTGAAGAATTTTGAGAAAAATGGCCGATAATTTCAGAAGTGAAATAATAAGAATTTTACTCAAATTGATTGGTTCCACAATTAATAGTTGTGGAAACCAGTGGCGTGCATAGACAAGGTTTAGTGAATGGTAAGCTTCCACGCATATTATTCAATTAATTTTGTAATGAGGTGCCATAGCTTTCTTCACATGACATATCAAGCCTCACGGTATTTTCAGAATAGGGGAATCTAAATCTTTCCATAAGAACATTTCAGGATTTTACCTCACATATTCAATCTCCAAAAGAGTGATCCGATAAACTTCCTTAAGAGACAAAAATTTATAGAAAATTGTAAGGCATTTTATAAAACGACCTACTTTTCTCCGATAAGGCGTAGAAAATATTTCCTACTTGAAGTCCAGATACCCCAGTTTCTACGTCCTTGGATTAGTTTGGGCCGGGAAACTTGGTGTGTTTATTGGTGGTGATGTGGTCACTGAACGTATGAAATCCTAACTCAGTATCTTTATCCGCTCCGTAGATATAACTTTTCAATTTCGTAAATGAAACTTCATCACCCTGTATCTCGGTAGGCGAGCATCTTTGGACCCATATTTATAAAAACTTTTTTGTTATTTTTGGATGTACTTTCTACCCTAGAAATATTGACACGTCTTTAAACCAAGGGCGTACCCAGGGGGTACCCCTTTTCACTAGATTGGCATAAATTAAATGGAGAGAACAAAGAGATTTTCGACACCTGACAAGACATTCATCGGCCGCATATTTCTATACAACTCAGAATGATGAAGTTTTGGCATAGAGATAATGGCGGAACACTTTCATTTTGATGGGAATTCACCATGTACTAAACAATGATTCACCAATAATAATAATTTCTCTTCAACTATATTGAAACAATCATTTAGGATCTTTTTTGAGAAATTCCCATTTAGATTTTTTTTTAGATATCAATTCTGAGGTAGCTTTTCTTAGATTGTTGATGTTTATTGTCCTAAATTGATTCATTGATGAGCTATGATATACTTGTAATGAACATAAGATTGGATCACCGTCTTCAGTCGTCTTCACTATTTTATTTATACTGTCTATAAAATAAGTGTTCATTCTTTCTGCTATAATTGTTTTTGCTGTCACTACCCTATCTTCGAAACGCATTTTAGATAATTCAGTTTTTCTATTTGGAGAAACAATATTCTTCAATGTTTCCCACATCATTTTAGAATTAGTTTTATTGCTATCGACCTTCTTATCATAGTATTTTTTTCTTTTCCCTCCTGAAAACTGTTACACACTCATTTCTTGATTTTGTATATTACTTCCAATGATTTTCACTTTGGGTTATTAAAAATATTCTGTAGTCATCATCGCGTTTTAATTTAGAATCCTTGAATATCTGTAAAAACCATGGTCTAGGGTTCACTCTTTCATATACAATTTTCTTGACCATTGCTTGACTACTACATTTATCCATATTATTCATAACTTGTTTGAAGTAGTTTCGGAATTATCGATTATGTCAGGTATATTGTGTTGTAAAAGTGTTTCTCGTAATTTTGTGAAATCAATTACTGTAATGTCTTTCATTTTATTTTCATTGAACATATTTTCCACTTCAAAATATATCCATGAGTAATCACTTATGTTTGGGGTATGCTTAACTTCAGCAATTAGATTACGTTCATTAGTTATGAGCAAATCTATTTTTCGAAAAGTTCGTAATTCTTGTATCGTCATTTATTTTCTGCCATAATCCATGGAAGTTTAGTACTTGTTTAAATTTTCTAACCTAAAAATCATTACTGTAAAAATTTATATTGAAGTCTCCTAAATGTACATTTGTGCAATTCCTGTAATACTGTTTTCTTTTATACTTTCAAAAAATTCATTAAGTCGATTGACGCTTCCAGTTGGAGATCGGTAGTCAACATACAGATTTAAAATTTTTTGTATCCTTATTTACAGATTGATGTTCCACCATTGATATTCAACAAGTTCAATGTTCTGTACCTTGACTTTAATGCTATATAGTGTATACATCAATATACCACCTGTATGCTACGAGACAGTGTTTACTCTTACAACATGATAGCCGTGAATATCGATCTCTCCCTCGTCAATATCTTCTGTAATATGTGTTTCTGTTGAACAGAGTATTAATGGTTTCTCTAACACCAAGAAATTTAAAACTTCATCTTTATGTGACAAAAGGCCTTGTTTTGTTTGTAATTGCTATCTGTCTCCATAGTAAGCTTTGTTTTCTGATTTTTCATCTTCCATTTGTATTATTCTACATATTTTGTTGAATGGTGAGTAGTTTGTTTCAAAATTTGTATTATTCCTTAGAATTGATTCGTTACAGTTTGGACAATTTACCTTATTTTTTGGTGTTTTACAGGTTTGACCCTGATTGCCACTCTCACAACATTTGATGCAAACACTCTTCTTTTTACAGTTTTTAGCTGAATGGTGGTTTACTGAGCAGTTAAATGCTCAAACACTTCACACATCCATTCATACAAACAGTAAACCTTACAGTAAACCTTCTTTCATAATTATTTTAAATGTTTGCTCACCTAATTCCAGAATTGCATGAAATCTGTATTTCATTTTTTTAATTGCCACTACCTTTTATCATTGAATCACTGCTTATAATCTTGTTTCTTTCTTTCAAGTCTCTAAACAGCTCTTCTTTTTTGAATTCCTCACTGAAGCCTACTACTCTGATCATTGGTAATTTCCTATGCCCAACACTCACTTTATAACTGTGTCCTATATGTTTTTCTACTTCTAACTTCCATTTTGTGGTGTCGTCAACATTATTACATTCGATTTACCGCCCCATCTTTCTGCTCGCTAATTTTTTTATGGAGACGTTCATTTTTGCAGAATTTATATAGTTGCTGAGTACCTTTTTTGTGTCTAAACAGTTTTGATTTTTATCATACTGTCTTTTCTGGTTGTACTGTAGAAGTAACCGAGTTTCTATTAATGTTTGTATCTTTGACTGTAACCCGGTATTCTGCAGGTGTTTCTGTTCTATTGTTGTTAGAGAGAGTGGGAAGTTCAGTAATGTCAGTTTCTTTATCTAGATTTACTAATTTTCCTTTCTTGTACTTCGCAGCATCTGCAAATGATTGTTTCATTTTTTTTTCTATTTGTAATTCGCTTCTGTTGCAGCTCTTTTATCACCAAATCTTGTATGTGAATTGTATAATCCTTCATTTTTATCATGAAATCCTTTTTCTTCTTTTTCGGCATTTCTTGTATTTCTATTTTCCTTTTTGCTTTCGTTCAGCATATTTTTTTTTATTGTAGAGAACTAGATCCCCAGTGACAAAATTTTTTCAGTTATGTCACTGATCTACGACGAACCGTTGATCTTCAAAAAAGGACCCTGGATTAGCAGCCTTTGGTTTAGAACATACCCCAATAATCTCCAACTCCTCCGAAAGATGGCAATATAAAAAATTCGGCCTCAAAACCACCTAACTCTGTTCTTATACCAGGAGTAATTTCAGTTCAATGAACTATACCGAGCGTTATATATTTTAAAAATTTTTGTACAACCCCCCCTTTCCGTTTTGAACTGGGTACGCCCTTGATTTAGACCTTGATACGTGTAAAGTAACCAAAGATCAGACGTGCAAAAGCTAATACGTAAATATACAAGGTGTGGAGAAAGTAATGCAAATTCGTTGACATTATATTGGGAAAAAATAGGCTCTTTGAAAACTGTAAAATGAGTACAAACTTCAAAGGTTTTTCCGCCAGTGACATTTCGTATTTTTAAACCAGTATTCTTTTTGTGATGCACATGTCATGCAACATCCAAAAAACAAATCAATTTCGAAATTTTTCGCAATTACACAACTTCCTCGCTAATTCGAGTGGGAAGTAAAACGGTGCATTCAGACGTTGAAAACGAATGTTGAAATTACCATTAAGCTGTCGTTCAGTAATATATTCATGCTGGCTCCCGTCGTCTTCACTGGCATCTTCAAGGGGCTCATCGTAGTAGTGTTCTATGAGGTAAGGCAGTACTGTTAGGCTATGCCACATGTCTCCACGTAGCGGAGGCACCGGCACTTTTGGTAATCCTTCCGGGGAAGGCTGACGTGTACACCACCTATCAACATATAACGCTTATATACTGACATTTCTTACTTGAATTTAAATGTCTGTTGTTATTTCTCCTCAACCCAGTTACGGCTTACGTTTCAAATTGACAAAAAAACGATATGACAACTTGCGACTCAGTTTCCAGGGATGAAGGGATAAGCCGTAAATTATGCAATTGCTGTAGTGATTTCTAATTCTTTGGGAAACTTCTACTGTGTTTTTTATGTTGATAATCTTCTGTGTTTGTCTGGCCAAATCATATAAAATCCAACACCCTGAATTTTGATAAAAACATATAAATTTGCTATCATGGAAGTATACGCTGATAAAGAAGGCATTCCGAGCCGTACTTTGTTTGTAAAGGTTTTTTTGTCATTCCATTTGTATCATTGTTGTTTCATTGCATTATCATGCCTAGAGTTCGCAACTTTGCGAGTTTGAGAGGGGTCGGATAAACTGGTTACGCGAAGCCGGATTTTCTTTTAGAGAAATCGGAAATCGGGTGAATCGTAGCGAAGTTACTGTAATGAGGTGTTAATCGAGCGTGGTTCCAAGAAGGCCAAAATCGACGAGTTAGAGGTACTGGACGTCAAACACAGACTACAGAGCGACATGATCGTTATTTGAGGCAATTAGCACTTCGAGATCGATTTTCCACAACAAGGGCAGTTGCGAACTAGTGGTTTGATGCTAACGGATGGGCAATAACAATGATGACAGTTTATCGCCGAATAAAGTCTTTTGGACTGTTTTAATACCGTCCCCATCTTGTACTATCACTGACCCAACAACATCGTCCGCAAGGATTGGTATGGAGTAGGGAGAAACTTGAATGGAATATGGAATGGAACTTTGGAAGTGGAGCGATGGGTCCAGCTTCTGTTTGGGCACAGATGATGGCCGTGCAAGAATAAGGAGGAGACGTGGTGAAATTCCATCGAACCGCATTTTCATGGCACTGTCGGTGTTATGGTATGGGATACCATTGCTTACGGCAGCAGATTACGATTAGTGTTACATCGAGGTAGCATGACTGCCCAGCGCTGTATCCACGAAGGTGTACAACCACATCTGCTTCCCTTTTTGAAAACATTGCAAGATCCACTCTTCAGCAGGACATCGCACGACCTCATGTCGCACGTGTTAGTTTAGACTTTTTTGAATCGTTTGGACTAAATCTTCTTCAGTGGCCTCCTCGATCTTCAGACCTTTCCCCCATCGAACATATATGGGACATGATGGGAAGAAGGTTGCAAAATTCACCGTACCCTCCACAAACACTGGAGGCTCTACGAAACCAAATTCAGGTGGCCTGGGATTGAAAATACCAAGAAGACATCAATCACCTAATCCAATCAATGCCGCGACGACATAACGAATGTGTAACGAACAGAGCCATTTATTTTAATACCTATATAAAAGTTGCATAATACGAGAGCTAGTTTACAGTATTAAAAATTTTAAGAAAATTATTATCAAGTTAAATGGATATCGGTTTTACAAAAACTGTTCAAAAGTGTCCCCATTGGTTCGACTAACGCAAAATCTTGCTCGGCGAATCCACGACTCTTTACAAGCTTCAAAAATACAATCCTGGTGTCCACGAATTAAATCACAAGCATTTTCAGTGCGATGTTGAAGTTCTTGCTGCGGATGCATTTTGTTAGCACTCTCCATATTATGTCCTCTAGTTCATTGTTTTCGTAAACGTTATTTTTTCGCACAAAATAATCAGACAAATGAAAGTATACGCACTATTAAAAGACTGTTACAACTGGTCGAACCAAAGACTTGTACTGAGAACCATTCAATAACACAAAAAGTTTGCCCAATTTAGATAAACGATGAGAGTAATAAACAAAAAACGCTAAGTTTTTACACGGCAGTGATAAAGAATATCAAAAAATCTGTGTAATGACATTCTCTATTTTTTAGAATGTTTAATCTTTTACTATTTCTTTTATTATGTAACTTTTATATAGGCTATTTTTGGTATATCAACTACAAGCAGGTAAAGTAAATGACTCAACTTTGAAAACACCCTGTATATTTTCATTAGTAGGTTTTATGTAGCAAATGCGGATATTAGTGTGTTAGAAGTTCTGATATTAAAGTTTTTGCACATACCTCTAAGTCTTTCAGATAAACCTCTTACGTAAGGTATAAAGAATGTACTAGTTGTGGTTGATAACTGTCTTGGTGGTATAGGCGGAAAATTAAGTCTTTAAATTTGAGATTTAACAAATCACTGTAAAGTATGTTTTCCAGGAAAAGTTTTTCTATATCGAAGATTGACCGATTTGATATTTGTTTGGCTCTGTCAAATAAACATTTTATTCTTCTTTGTTCACATTGCTTGATTTGAGTCAAAATGCAGATATCTATTGCATTGGTTTTTTATATAGTGATGTAAAAGAGGAACATTACGTCTTTCAACAGATATATCTAAAAAAGGAAGGAAACATTTTGTTCAATTTCAATTGTAATATGTATAAACTTTTTGACAAATTATGGTTTCTAAACGTCAGCAACAAAAACTCAGCTATAACATGTATCTGAGCTGTAACATGTAGCGGCCGTAACTAGGTTGAGGAGAATGAGGGCAAATTACAACAAATTTAAACTCAAGTAAGAAAAGGTAAGCATTTATAGTAGCAATAGTAGGAAATGTATTTTTCCTAAGCATAACCTAGCAACGATTTTCAAACGGTTCACAAGTATGAAATTCATTTGACCAAACTATTGGTATAAAAACGTTGCGGAACTGTGTGCAACAAACTATTAGAAATATACATTGGCCGCTTAGAGTACTAGAACCACGCTTCTATACAGACGAAAATCAAACTGATAACCTGGCAAAAGAAAGATAGGTTATGTAAAATGGTTTTGCCAAGTGTCATTATACAGGGTATTGAATAATTTATTGGAAATAGTAGGTTTTGTGGACCAAAACCTTTTTATATAAGAAAATAAAAAAGTTCTAAATTCAGTTTTTATGAATATTTATCTAAACAAGCCAAATTTTTGGAAGGAAATGCCTAATTTTAATCCTAGAATTGGAAAAAGAAAAAATGGTGTGTCCGAATGTGACAACAAAGTCAAGGTCATGTCAATCTTGAATGTTATTTGCAAGCCAGTCCCCTGACTTTTATGCTAACGTAAGGAAGTTTGTGTATTTAGGATCACTGATTAGTAATAAAATAAATGAGAAAAACGAAGTAAACTATAGAATCGGGCAATAAATGTGCGCTAATGCTGAGCAGGAATATTAAGTCAGGAATTGTATCTGCCTCTAAAATACGGCTATACAATACGATCATCAAGCCTTTTGTATTGAGTGGAAACCTGGGTAATTAATAAAAAAAACTTGAAAAAACCTTACGGATAGTGAAGCATTTATACCAAGCAAAAAAGAGGAAGATGGAGAAGGATGATGTTATGGAAGATTTGAGGAGCAGGACTGAGAGAGACTGTAAGAAACGGGCATTAGACAAGAAGTCGGTAGAATAAACTTATTAAGCTTAGGGCCTGAGGGATTGTTTTATAGCTGCATATATATATATATATAATTGTTTTTTATGCCTTAATTTGACCTTGAAGGTCATAGTGATGGTCATATTCGGACGTATTTCTTTTTCTCTTTCCGATTCCGATGTAAAAAAGGAAAACATTCGTTTGACCTTGAAGGTCGCAGTCAAGCTTTTGGCCAAACTAATGAAAATAATTATGATAAACCATATATATATATATATATATATATATATATATATATATATATAGGTGAAAAATTAAAGCTTCCGCCTTTTGTTGGGTACTTCGACAAAATTTAAGCAAAGAGGACTCTTTATACTTTTTTAATTCTCTCTAGCTTTCAATGGACTTTGCCATCATCATCAGGAGAGAAGTATGTGAGGATGTTGCTAATTGTTGTTTACGTATAGGATGAGGGAAACGTCCAGTAACATGGTGAGAGCTGGATAGATGGTACAATGGTCAAAATTATATAAAATATGACAAGAACAAGTTAAAAACAGATTAAAAATTATTATAACGTCCAGTAACATGGTGAGAGCTGGATAGATGGTACAATGGTCAAAATTATATAAAATATGACAAGAACAAGTTAAAAACAGATTAAAAATTATTTCTTTTTTTAAATAATTTTTAATCTGTTTTTAACTTGTTCTTGTCATATTTTATATAATTTTGACCATTGTACCATCTATCCAGCTCTCATCATGTTACTGGACGTTTCCCTCATCCTATACGTAAACAACAATTAGCAACATCCTCACATACTACTCTCCTGATGATGATGGCAAAGTCCATTGAAAGCTAGAGAGAATTAAAAAAGTATAAAGAGTCCTCTTTGCTTAAATTTTGTAGAAGTACCCAACAAAAGGCGGAAGCTTTAATTTTTCACCTAACTGGTCTAGACGACAATGACCACGTCTCAAGTTATACAGGGTTATCCAAATTAAGTGTCCACCATTAGTAACTTTGTTATTAGTGAAAATACAAAGTTGTTTGAATTAGCAAACTAGTAGCATTTTTAACGCTGGTAAAAATGAGAAATAAAAAAAAAACAATTGAGAGTCGTTATTTTGATTTTTTTCAGTAAAATAACATTTTTTTAAATGGAAACCCCTGTATATTATATTTTTTTCTGTTAAAGCATCAAATTTTAAACAAAAAAGTTCATAATGACTTTTCCGCTAAAGTCAAAAATAAAGTCAAAATAACGATAAATATTTTTAATTATTTGCAGTATTATACGTATAATATTAAGACGGCTATGAAAACAACATGGCGTTCGCGATTTGACAGCATTAAGATAAGCGACAAATTGTTAAACTGGACATACTCGCAACTAGAAGGCTTTGGAAAACAATGATAAAATCAAATAATGTCAAACATTAGTGTAAATACTTGTTTATAAGCTTTATTGTGTCATTAATTTAAAGAAAAATGTTCTCCCATGAAGAAAAGTGTGATATGTTAGAATGCTATTTAGTGTGCAGAAAATCCTCCTTGAGAGCAAGAGAATACTACAGTGAATTATATCCCGCTCGCATTCAACCGTATGAACGATATTTTCTGAGACTTTATCGAAAATTTAGGGGCAACGAAAATGTTTTTGCTAAAACAAGGGCAAAAAAAGAATTCATAATAAGCGAGGCCACGGAAATTGCAGTTATTGGATATTTTGAAGCTTATCGTGAGAATTCAATAGCAGATATTCTCAAGGACTCTAATTTCAGTTATGGTACTGTTCAAAGGATTTTAAAAAAATACAAATTTATTCCGTATAAGTACCGACCAGTTCAAACGCTTTTGGCAGGGGATCCAGAGAGAAGACTTGTTTTTTGCCATTGGTATCTTAGCTTCTGTCGCCAAAATGTAAATAACTTTCGTTACCTTTTATGGACAGATGAATCAAATTTTTCAAATTCTGGAATGTTTAATAGAAAAAACCACCATTATTGGTCAAGAGAAAATCTTTTGTTAGTACATCCAAGAGGCCCACAAGTCCGTTTCAGTTTCAACGTTTGGTGCGGTATAATTGGTTCAAAAATTGTTGGCCCGTTCTTTTATGAGGGAACCCTAACTGGTGAAAGATATGTGGAATTTATGTCAGAAATTCTGACTAATTTCTTAGACGAATTGGATCTTATAAGTAGACATCATCTGCATTTTCAGCAAGATGGCGCACCTGCCCACAACTCAAGAGGTACTTATCATTTTCTAAGTACTACTTTTAATGATCAGTGGATAGGAACAAATGGCCCAATACAGTGGCCTCCCAGATCACCAGATCTAAACCCACTTGATTACTTCTTGTGGGGTTACTTAAAGAACCAAATTTACAAGCGAAGGTACGATAACCTTGACGCGTTAAAGACTGCAGTTAGGGAAAAGATAACCCAGATAGATGGTAGGACCATACTTAAGACAGTTCGAGCAGTTGAAAAACGTGCCCAAAAATGTATTGAAGAACAAGGTGGTGTTTTCGAACATCTCCTTTAAAAAAAATTGTTATTGTATTTTGTAAGATTATAAGTTGATGTTGAAAATAAAGTTTGTCGATACAATTTAATTGTTTCAGATTGGAGGCCATAACTTCAACAATTTGTAACCTAGGAGAAAAGTTATTGTAAGCTTTTTTGTTTAAAATTTGATGCTGTAACAGAAAAAAATATAATATACAGGGGTTTCCATTTAAAAAAATGTTATTTTACTGAAAAAAATCAAAATAACGACTCTCAATTGTTTTTTTATTTCTCATTTTTACCAGCGTTAAAAATGCTACTAGTTTGCTAATTCAAACAACTTTGTATTTTCACTAATAACAAAGTTACTAATGGTGGACACTTAATTTGGATAACCCTGTATATATATACATATATATATATATTGAATCAGAAAAAAGGGGACTAATGTTCCGTTAAAAAAATACAACTTTATCCGATAGCATCTTTGAGACAGAAACGAATATTACATAAAAAACTTCATATTAGACCCTATAACTTTTATATACAACTTTTTCTTTTGGAAGGTCATATAAAAAAGAGGGGGGGTTAATTTGTAGCCGAACACCCTGTACTTCCCTCCGAACAGAAGTGCATTACTAGAAGAACAAACTCATTTACGGAGTGTCCCGCTATAAATTGATACGAAGGTTATATGGTCATACAAAACGGATAGGGGGGGTCAATTTATAGCGAGACACTCCATACAGGGTAAATTGCGTAACCACTTCCAAACAGTCAGAATTTGTCAGAGCACGAATATTATTGCTATATTTGACCCATATTGGAATTTTGAAATTCATAACTGTAACTTTCATAACAATTTTAAATCTACGCAGATGGTTGCGGGCTTACGTGTGTCGTTTGATTCGTTGTAAACTAAACCTAGCATACGGATCCTTTTCCAACATTCCCAGTAGCAGGTCCCTCAGTGGTTCTTGTATTTCAGGCGGTATTGTGAACACTCCTTTACCTATACTTTCAAATAGCCTATATATGTTGTCTCCTTCAAATGGATATCGTCCTGTTGTAATATTATACCTACAAATAACAAATCACTATCAATAACTATGAGCATAGAGTTTTCATCACTTCAGACTATTATTATTCCTGCTTATTAAATATGTGTAATAAAATAAAACATGGATTCTAAAACTCTAACACTATCACATAATGATGATATATACAAAGTGTTGTCATAGGTGGAACTTTGAACGGTATACCGGCTGTTTCAAATGCGACCCTCACCATTGGGATCTCGGAAACTGTAAGAGATACGAAATCGCTGAAATGGGGGCAAAGTTGCGTATTTGGGTAACTAACAAAATGACGCTTAGGAAGACAGAAAAAAAATCTTAAAACCGTTCAATCTTGCTGACTTTATTTGTAGTATTCCAAAATAAATTGCTCATTAACGTTGCCACTTTTTCTCCTCTACAACTTGGCATAATTTTTGTACATTTAAATGGAGTTTCTAGCATGCAGCATATGACAGATTTAAAGACCTTAAATTGAACATAGTAACACAGAAGAAGATGGAGAAGAAGAGAAATAAACCGAGCAGTGAACAATGTACAGAAAACAGCCGGCGTTTGCCTACAAAATAATTGCCAATGTTTTAAACATTGCTATAATTTATTATTATTCTTCTTATCAACAATAAAATTGTCATTTTGTGTTTAGGTTTCACCATACCATTTTATTTCCTTATAATTTTCGTTCCAACACATTTAAGGAAAATATCGTCGTTGTTTTCACGAAAACTCCTATGTGTTTAGAAGCAGTTTTTACATAATTACATAAAAACTCTTTCAAATTTAAAAAATTCGCTTCATTTCACACCGATTTTTAGTAAATTTCTACAGAATTATTAGAGTTTCTTATTATGAAACTCATGTACTTTTTTCACTGATCTCATATTTGACTATACAGATATTCAGAAAGCTCCGATTTTGAAAATTTGTTCTCATCTCAAATAATGTCAGGAGAAAATAAAAATGGTTTGGCGATCTGGTATTTGAAACAAATGACTATTTGATAGTTTCAAGATATACCTAGGGAATTATGTTTTCTTTAATAACCAAGGTCCGACTATGTCAATGTATGACATACATTTTGGGAATTAAAATTAAAAACTCTATCCACCTATGCAAAAATCCATTATGGCGTCCTGAATGAAATGAAGTTGATGCGGGACATATTGAAACTCTAATTATGCCATTTTGTAGAGAGAAAAAGTAGCAATGTTAATGTGCAATATATTTTGAAATCCTCTACAAGCAAAGTCAGGAAAAATGCTTTATTTTCCGCCTCCCCCTCAGATACTTTGAGTTTCGAAATTTTCTAAACGGCATTTTATTAGTTACCTAAATACGTAACTTTGCTAAGCCAGTTCGTATCTATCGCCGTTTCCAAGATCCTAATAAATAGGAATTTCGTCAAAAATTCGGTGTACTGCGAGTGTTTCAAAGCAATAATTAGTGGTCATGACTATAGGCGATAATTATCCCCTAAAATTTCAAAAATAGCAAATCTTGTAACACGTGTATGCGACTTTTATCATCGATTTCACAAAATGAGTGGTTTCTTGTGAATTTTTCATTTAGCCCCTTGCGTGTTGTGCAGGTAATGCGGGAAGTCGATGCATACTAAGAATACGAAGCAAAGTTCTTGTCAGAGTCAACTACGTTTGCAATAACAAAGCTAATTGCGGCAAAACAACACCGAAAACGTATAAACGAAATTGAAGACAGATGAATGGTGGGTATTCATTTGGTAGGGAAGTTGAAGTACTGACCTGTCACATTTTATTGTTTGTAAACATTGCCTTAAGTTGACGCTGTTCGATTCAAAAACACGTTTGTTTACCTCTTCCTAAATTGGCAACATTTGGGGCTGTCTGTGACTTCAACTGTGTTTAACCAGAGACTGCTTTTGCACGATATAAACAAACATATGCAGCTGTGTTGAAAAGAAACATCGAGGAGGATGTTCTGAGTACTCTCGCGGAGGATCAACAGAATCTTGAAGATGCTCATCTCAAATCGATGACTAAGTTATTGCTGTAGGAATGTGCCAATTTCGCTTTTTCAAATTCGATTTGTTTATAAACTACTGACCTGAATGGACCAAAAGATTTGCGAATGATGATTTTAGCTCACTGAGCGGGACGTCCTTCAAAATGGTCGTTGACGCCTTTTGGATGGCCTCTAGGTCTGCATACCGCTGTTCTTTCATGCCCAAATGTAGTTTACCGAACAGAAAATAGTCACACGGCGCCATATCAGGAGAATATGTGGAACGGTTGATGGTTAAAACGCGATTTTTTGTCAAAAAATCGGAACACAAGCGTCAACCGATGAGATGGTGAATTGTCGAACAAGCGCCAGCTTCCTTCTTCGTGATATTCTTGCCGAATACGACGGATACGCGACAGCAAACGCCTAATAAGACCAAGATAAAACACAGTATTAACCGTTTGGCCCGGTGGAACGAATTCTTTGCGAATAATTCCCTTCGAATCGTAGGAACAAATTTTGCTCGCTTTGGTGCCTCCATTCTGCACTTTGACGCTTGGTTTCGGGATCGTATTGAAAACACTACGTTTCGTCAGCAATCCCAATGTTGTACTTTTTTGGCCTGTTTAATTATGTCTCTCGAATGTTGGATTCGAAGCAATTTTTGGTCATTTGTGAGCGTGTGCGGAACAAACCGTGAACACACCTTTCTCATGAAGAAATTCTTGGTCAAAATGCGATGGATTCAATTGGATTAAATGTTTCACCAAGTTTAACACAGAACTTAATATTGGCTCTTTGTTCGATGCTCATTTTTCGACCGATGCTGAAGAGGTACTGTCACTTTGAGCGGATAATTCCGCGTGAAGTGGTTCGACTGTCACGAAATTTTGACAGGGCATCAATGAAAGATGTACCTATACAACGTTAGTTAGATGATATTAGATGGCGCTACGAGGTATCGGACATATTTCAAAAGTCCTGTTTATTTTGCGACATACCTTGAATGTTACGAAAAAATATGCTCATCATTGCCTGACCTATATCTGCTCTATACAGGAAAGTCCCAAATTTGAGGACACCCTGATATTCACTATATAAACTTACAAGGTGACTCCACTGCTCCATATATCCACTTTGAATCCAGGAAAAAACTCCAATCCATTTGCTATTTCGGGTGGTTGAAATGCTGGTGAGCCTTGACCTATGAAACAGGTATCATCTTTCGCAAACAGGTCTATAGTCTGCAAAGAAATTAATTGTCAATCACTAATAAATTACGTGAAGCAATAAATTTAGGTTAGGAAGTCAAGTGACTTACGCCATATCTGAGTCGAATTAAAGCGGAAACACATGTCGCGTGAACCCGAGAGCTATCACGCAGTCAGATATCAAAATATAAATTGATGGACTAAGTGCATCAGGTGACTATAGTATTTTTCTAAGCACATACCCTTCTTTGTGGAAGAGAGGTTGCACGTATTGTGGTTTTATCTGACAGCCCGTGAGTTTGTGCGACAGCTCGCGATCTCACGTGGCATGATATTTCATGAGTATCCATTACGTTTTGACGTCCACCGAGGTGAACAGCTGATCCGCCAGTAACTTATTTTTTTGTATTAGTCTATAAAGTTGGCAATAATTTGGTAAAACTTAGGACCGCATTCAGAGCTGTTGTTCACATATCTATATACTTTTAGTCCCAGGAAATGTCGACAATACGATAAGGATTTTTTTCGCGAGTCCACGGTGGAGCACAGTGTACTACCGGGAACCGATGCTCAAATTTTCGCGAAGAACGGGAATAGGGGAAGACGGATGTGACGTCGTCCGAATGTCAAAAAATTACGTGGTACGGGTACCCGCCTAACGTCTGTGAAGTACTAGCGGTTGAAAGGTCTTATGTCAATGTCATTTAAAAAACAGGCATCTCAATTGAAAATTTGTCTTCGCAGTGCTGAAAATTGAGTTAAATTATTAAATCATAAATGGAGGAACACGTCCACCTGATTTTAAATGACGAGGGGAAGGTCATCGAAGATATAAGAACCGCACTTGTCATATCAAATGGTTGGTATAAAATATACAGGGTGTCCGCAAAGTTGGGGTTTTCCTTTACCTGACGTGTAGATCTTGAAAACATAAGCAATTTTTCTTAGTACCATATACACCAATGTCTTAAGGGAACCGAGATAAAGGGCTCTGCAACATCAAAAATATCTGAATACCGTCCTGTAGCCGCGACCCGGGACATCTCCGAGTGGTACTAGGACACTAGCTCAACCCGACGACAGAACTGGGTCGGGGTCAGTGTGTCAGGTCAGTATGCAACCTTCAACCGACGGTTACGGTCACGCGTAGACGAGAATCTCTCAACAAGCACTAGAGACGTGGCTAGAGAAGTGCAAGTATCAAAAACTAAAGTGTGGCAAACGCTGCGTCCAACGTGTACAAGCCCTTCAACCTGACGATTTTCCAACAAGAGTGCGGTTTTGTGAGTGGTTGTTGCATCAACATGACAATAATCCGGACTTATTGAAGTGCATATTGGTGACAGACGAATCTACGTTCACGCGTAATGGGGTGAATAACTTTCGCAACACTCATGTTTGGTCAGTAGAAAATCCGCACGCTGTCCGTTGGGCACATTTTCAACAAACATTTTCGGTGAATGTTTGGGCTGGCATGGTGAAAGGTATGCTCATTGGACCATTTATTCTCCCAAATCGATTGGACGGGATGCAATACCTAGACCCTAGACTTTTTACGCAACATTTTGCCTTCCTTGTTTGCCTGCGTCTGCTCGGTAGCGCATCAGCTGATTTCATTTTCTGTTGGAGCGGTATGATTTCGGGCAGAGACGTACTTAGCCCTTCTCGTCAACTGGAGAGTGAGTACTTTTTCCTTTATTTTTTTTTTACTTGGTCGCCCTCGTTTCACTACACATTACCTTTGTTATTTCAAGGGTATTTGTTTCTGAAAAGGAAAACCCCAACTTTGCGGACACCCTGTATATATATATATATACAAGTAGGCAAATAATGGGCAAAATCCGCAAAAAGGAGGAAAGTGGATTCGAGCAGAAAATAGGATAGGTAACCCGCTCGAATCCACTTTCCTCCTTTTTGCGGATTTTGCCCATTATTTTCCTACTTGTTGTTATATACTTTTCTCCGCATGATCATATTCTCTTTATATATATATATATATATATATATATATATATATATATATATATATAAGTATATATATTTTATTTCAGATTCAAATAAGGCAGCTAAGTTTATCAAGGAGCTTAAAGCAGACATTTTGCGCAACATGCGCTATCTAACCACCGCCAGTGTAAATTCTATCTGTTCCCGCTCCGTTCACTACGGGATCTCGCGAAAAAACTCTTCCAGGCGACACTTCGTTTATTTTTTGCTTTTCATTTTCAGATTCCCATATAATGAGTTGCTGCGATAGTCAGAAAGATCCGTAACATGCCGAGGACAAACGGACGCATAGGCAAACGACGACCGAGTATGAGGTTATTTGAGCCCAGATCTCACGCCACTGGCTTGATTTTTTTCTCTGAGGATACATCGAGAGTCGCGTTTACGCCAATAAACCGACGATGATTGCCCAGCTCAAGCACAACATTTTAGGGTAGATGTACGCTATCCCATGAGCGATGTGCCAGCTAGTTTTCACGAATTTGAAGTCGAGATTCGAGGAGTGCGTACGTCTCGATGGCTCACACCTTAATGATGTTATTTGAAAAAAAATCTAATGTGTCTACTTTATTAAAAATACAAATTACCTTCTCTCGCTTTGTAGTTGTTTTATATGATTTTTTAAAATCCGCTTAACTTAATGTCTATCATCCAAAAAACGTATCTAATTTTCGATATTACAATACTTCCCCGCCAGTAGGCGTGGGAGGTAAAAACGTAACTTTTCAATCAGTTTCATCTAAACACTTACCTCTGCAACCCCCAAGTCAGAGATTTTCAGCTGATTCTCCAAGCTTAGCAGTAGGTTACCAGGCTTAATATCTTTGTGGATAATGCGCATGCTGTGAAGATATTCCAGTCCTTCAATCAGTTGCAAAAAGTAGTCATGCGCCTGCCACAGGGGGAATTTCTTGTCAGGAGTAGAATCTAGCATGGTCTGCAGTGATCCCACGCAGAATTCCATAATTAGATACATCTTCTGTTTTTCATAATTGTGCAACTCATCAAATAACTTTATCACATTCTTATGGTCCAGTTTACGAAGCAGTTTGATTTCCCTAAAAATATTTGGGTTGATTTGGATGGTCTAAACTAAAATAGCTATTTATGGGGTGAAGAGGGATTTTATGGGTCACAGAGGTGCGAAGCACTGTGGCAAGTGGTTGTTCTGGATGTTGTTGTATTTAGTATGCAACTTATTCCCATTCAAGTGATTGCACACGCGTTAAGGGTTACCTCAGTACCAATTGCTGGGTGGCGGTACAAAACCTCCAACCAGCCATTTTCGGTCTATTCAACATCAGTAGCAATCAAAAAGAAGATGTTAGACAAGGATCAGTCAACCCAGGTGGTACCACCTGCTAGTTTTTTCCAGGGTGTCTTAAGAATGTCTGGATGTTTCCACACCTAAGGTACACAGAGGGTTCTCTTCCCTTTCCTTTCACAACAAAGAAACTGATCATGACATATCCCTCGAGTACTAAGCAGTTCGAACATACACTCACTCCATTCTCAGAATGTCTGGGTGAAGGGTATAACATCAATGATTAAATTTGTTTCACAAACATCTACAGGATTAACAGCAACATTAATGCTGTTTACAACTATATGCAGTCTAATCATCCTGACATGCTTTTCTTGGAGGATTAATCATATTAGCTTCCCATATTAGCTTCAAGGGGTTATTTCTTGGGCGATTTAAAGAAAAAACTTTATATAAGCTTATCTCCCGAATCCATCTTCAACACAAAGTATTCTATTGTTTTTTTTATAAAAAACATACTTTCAAAAAAAGTTTGTCACCCTGCATTATGAATAAATTAAAGTTACCCAAGAAATCACCCACTCTTTTTACAACCTAATCTGCCATCTATTGTTTGCTTTAGCACATCATTCCACAGACATCTTTCCTTTCATTTATCTACAGTTTTTTTTGTAATTTATTGGTCCAGAACTAATGGGCTATGAGCCCAGATGCTTTCTGCCATAAAGACCTAGTGCCAATTTGCTCTTAGAGAGATTCTTATTTATAGTCTATGCAGCTGTCAATGTCATGAATGTATGGTTAAGCAGTTTGTACTAGATACATCTTTAGCTATATGGGTGCGAAACCTGGACAAAAAAATCTCATTGATGTGCTTCAAATCTTTATTAAGTGCCTATAAAGAATCCTTAGTATTTTCTGGCCAAATACCATAAGAAATGAAAATTGCTGCACTTGACCAAACAGAAGGTGACAGAGATAGAAATTAAGTCTAGAAAGTGAGGCTCAATTGGTCACATACTTTGGAAAAATAACACCTACATTGCAAAGGCTGTTATAATTTGGAATCTCCAGGAAAAAAGCAACAGCTGCCCAGTTCAAGCTGGGAGAAGATCAATTGATCACATATGAGCTAAAAAGTAAAGGCAAAACATGGAACCAAGTCCAGTCTCTGGCTCAAAACAGACTCGATGGTGCATTTTCACAAATGCTCTATCCTCCACTTACGAATTTAAAAACCTGACATACCATTATTACTGATATTGCATAGTTACCTCTGTACATTCTGTTCTCCATTTGGTATCCTCCTGAGTTTACGTTGCTTAAGTATTTTAACAGCTCGTCTGCAAAGTGTCTCTGAGTCTAACATCTCCTTTACCTTTCCATAGGAACCTTCACCCAGTAGATCACCCATTACATATTTTCCTACTAGCTTGAGACGCCGTTTTTTGCTCTGATAGATAATCTGATCACTATCCACACGGTGGAAAAAATTACTTATGTTAATGTTCTCCAGGTCATCATCAAAGTCGGCGTGCGAACTATTTCTGGTTATCCAAAGCTGGGGATTGGGCCTCGAATCAACGGGTTTCAATTCCTCCTCCTCCCCAAACTCGGCAGTCGCGATTTCATGCTCGTTTTCCTCCTCGTAGGAGGCATCAGCTTCGGCCGTCTCACTATCGAAACTTTTACTTGTCTGACACATATTGCTGTCCATTATTAAATATTCTATTTGATCATGAGATTGTTCATTAACAAAATTACGCGAAGCTCGCAATGCTTTCTAAATCTAGATGACATTTTCATATTTATATTGTCATCATAAGTGAACTAGTTCGTTATTTCCATTGTCAACACACTCAATAGTTACACTCAATACACCTCAACCTCAACCACAAACCTCAACATCCAGAAGTCAAAACAAACACACAGCAACACAGCTACACGCAGGGTTGTCAAGTTTTCAGTCACGTTGATCGAAGTGACAAAAATCGCCAGATATCGACAACTTTTAAAAGTAATCATAAGATGTCAGGGGGGGTAAAAGATGTGTGAGGCAGGGGTATTACGTAACTTGAAAAGTGACATTATGTCGGCTTTTTGACACTATGTAGTTTATTTATGATATTGATATAGTATGTAAGTTTTCCAACAAGACGTCAACTTGCAAAAATAGCTGTCGTTGTGTCGTTCACTTCATGCTCACTTGTAGAAAGCGCGGAATATACTATATACACACAAGCCTAGCTACCTAGTCAACAAGTTGACATTTTATCGTTTTTTTTTTTTTTTTGACATTATATAGGTCTTTTAAGTAATAACCCTGCGGAACGAAACGATGAGTGCATTCACAGGGGGGTCCATAAGGACATTTGGGGGAGGGGAATCCGGAGAGCGATTGCTCTTGTGACAACTAAAACGACAAGGGGGATACCAGCTATTTAAAATGCAGAGCGGGGGATCAGGTATAAGACCAAAAAATAGACAATTAATTGGGGGGGGGAGGGGGGACGGAACGAAACGACCAGTTTGTTTACAGGGGCGGATCCAGACGGCCATTGGGGAGGGGCTTCAGACAGCGAACGTCCTTGTGACAACTGAAAAACTGGGGTGGGAAATACGGCCGATCAGGGGGAGGGGCGATGACGAATTCAATACATCTGAGAACAAGTGCTCCTGTGACTGCACAAAAACAGTAATGCTCGTACGTCTAGCAACACTGTCTCAAAAGTGTAAGACTTTAATATGCTCGGAGCACGACAGCTTGAAACTTCCGCTTCTCCTCGCAGTCGTTTCATCAACCCATACACAGTGTCACAGTGTTGTCGCGCCGCTAATGGATGTTGAAGTATCAGCAAAAATTGACTATAAATTAAATGATGTCAGAAATGCTAAAATTCGCCAGATATCGCAAATTTTCTGAATACTATGCGCCACTGAAGAAGGCAATCGCCAAGCTATCTCTTTGGCGAAAAATCGCCACGCCTGGAACCCTGGCTACAGACACACTACGCTGTACGCTGATTCAGATGATCTAGTCATATTCGATCTTAGCAGCATGTGAATAAGAATAACTAGCCATCCCCATCTTTATATTTGATCAATTGACATTGACACAAAGGTGACACTCTGTTGTTCCCTGTCAAGAACATATGTTTTCGATTTTCGACGTAAGTTATTTAACGGCTTGTGATCACTGTTATCGTTTTGATTTGATTTTGAATGTCACCTTGAGAGAAACCCACTGTTTGAAATTAGGTATGTTTTTATCACTGTTTACTTTTTTTGAAAAAGTATTCTTGCATTTTTTCAATGTATGTGATGAGTGTACGCGAGAGTGTTATAGTTTTAACTTTATCAGTGCACATTGTTGCTATTTTAAGTGTTTTTATTTGTGTGTTTCAATTTTAATATGGGCCTACTTGTGTCTGTTTTCTATAGGTTTTACCAGGTTTGCATTAATACGATTACAATAAATTATCATTCGGCTACAATCGCTTAACTTATCTATGAAATATGAAACTGATAGCATGTTGATCTTGGAGAATATGTAATGCAGTACCTAGTACCACAGATGTTGTAGTATATTGATTGTATATGAGTTGAATATGTTAGCATTTTTAGGGATATCAAATTTTTGGATTCTTTCAGATTGTACTAAATACTACTACTACTACTTATAAATGTTTATCATCCTAAATTAAAATAATGAAAGTGTTATTTGATACACTGTGTAAACTGATACAAGAAACCCAGTTCTTAGGCATAATCACTTAGTATACACAGAAATATATACTGTATTCTGTATTTTAGTATATGTCTGCTATGTTGGAATACTTCTGCCATCTACTTCTTTTATATGTCTTTTGAATGCGTTCTAAAACTCTTTACAATTGTATTTAAAAATAGTCCTCAGATAAAATCTCCACAATTTTGTCACACGTGTTAATTCACGTGCGACGTTAATATGATGTCATTATGAAATCACATGAAAGGAAAATAATACACCAAAAAAAAAACAAATTTAATTTAGTAGTCTCACATTAGCTATATTGCTTCAAGCGCTATCAATCACCTAGCCATACATAAAAATGCTAGTGAAAAGCTGATATTGGAACATAATAGTAAGTTCGTCATCAACTTATTGCTTGGATATTATGTCATAAGAATTTGGTTGGGTACTGTAGAATGAAAATCAATATGTATTTCTCTGTTAACTTTCCAAAAAGATGCAATTAATTCCAGAATCTTAAATTGTTCAGATCAACCAAGCACACTAACCACTTTCATAATACTGTCAAGTTGAGCAAAAATGAGTACAAGCTATATAGCAATACACAATAATAATATTAATAATTAAAATGTAGTTCATTAAATAAATTGACCTAAACTTTTCTAAGGCCTCATTCCTCAGACTAAAGGACAGAAATGCATACATAATTGATGTGAAACTAACATCTGAAGCTTTTACAAAGCGATTCTTCATCAAGTTACAGAAGGATGTCCCTTATTCACCTTTTCACACCTGGTGCTCAGAACCACTAACATCTATTCAGTTTATATGAGAAAATGTAGTACAAGCTATTCAGTTTCTAAAGCAAGATCCAAGCCCTGGTTCTAACAATATTAGTATTTATAAAAAATGTGAATTCACTTTATACAATACATCCTGATATAGTACCTACATACAAAAAGGTGACAGATATCTGCCATAAAACTACAGGGCTATAAGCCTTACTTGTAATCTCATGGATGGAAAAAATACAATTGAGAAATTAGCCGCAAAAATAGCAGCATTTTCTAATAGGCATTATAAAGAGCATTTAATGAAAGTATATTATAAGGGGAAAATACTTTATCTATAACTACTAGTAATAGGTTACTTTGAGTTCATATTGCCGAAAAAGGGGTGAAAACAACCCCAAAGTGCCAAAATGGGGGTCGATAAAAAGCGGAAAATCTCGATCATGGATAATTCCTGAAGCAAAATTACTTACCAGCTATAGTGAAGAAACGACCCTATTGCAGTACCCTCACGCGATTTCGGTAGGGTTTGATAACCACCCTCAAGTGGGTAGCTCTCCTAAAAAATCGCGAACACGAATTATTCCTACCAGGAAATATTACAGCTAGGCAGAGTTCCACACTTGGGGGTGGTTACCAACCCCTACCGAAATCGCGTAAGGGAATGGGAATAGGGTCGTTTTTTGTCGATTACTAGTATACTTTCTGCGATATGAATTATTCATGATCGCGATTTTCCACATGTCGTCTGTTCCAATTTTGTCACTTTAGAGTTGTTTTCCACGCCTTCGAAAATGGGGTAAGGGGTCAAAGGTATCGTAGATTTTTAGATTTGCTCAGCTAGAATATTTCCTAGTAGGGATAATCCATAACCGAGATCTATTTAGAAGAGTTCCACACTTGGGGGTGGTTACCCACCCCTACCGAAATCGCGTAAGTGAATGACAATAGGGCTGTCTTTTGTGCGTTACTAGTAAGTACTTTTTGCGATATGAATTATTCATGATCGCGATTTCCCACATGTCGTCTATCCCGATTCTGGCACTTTGGGGTTCTTTTTCACTCATTCGAAAATAGCATAATGAGACACAAGTAGATGTTTAGCTATGCGTAGCTAGAATATGTCCTAGTAGGAATAATCCATGATCGCGAGTTTCTAGAGTTCCACACTTGGGTGTGGCTGCAGTAGCGGATTCAGGGGGGGGGGGGGGGGCGCCCCCCGCGTCTGACGTCTGACACTTGTTTTTGTAATCTAAGACCATTGTGTTACTTACTACACATGATGGTGAAAGAGGCATACTAACTTTTTTTCAGTTAATAGAGCAATTAAGTTTTTTATGTTTTAATCTTTAATATTATTACACTAGTTAATTATAAATGCCACGTACTTATTTTGTTCTCATATAATAAAATATTATGTATAAAAATTACCAGCCCCAAATATAGTTTGCGCCCCCTAGATGAAATCCTAAATCCGCCCTTGTGTGGTTGGCAACTGATTGAGACATTCAAGATAATCAGGGACTGCTCTTTATGTATCCTTCAAATATTCAATCATAATCTTCATCGCTGGGGAATACCAAAATATTAGAAAAAGCGAGAACGTCTAAGTTGATAAGAAATTTTATTTCAAATCGTATGGTATACTCTCATCAAAAAAAAGAGTCAGTGCAACAACTATCAATTCATGCAATACTACCTTTTTGGAAAATTGTTATGACATACTGATAAATAAATGCACATTTGCCAGGCAAGGCCGATACTGTGTAATTTTTAAAAATAACAATTCCAAGAAAAGAACTGCATTTTTAATTCAATTCATACTCGAATTTTGGGATGCCCATCATGAGTTGTTCCGAAAATAAAAACACATGATTGTGTTACTACGTAGTTATCAGCCACCCTCTAGAGCAGGGTTTCCCAACCTTTTTTTTTCTTGAGGCTCCACGGACTATAAATTATATTTTTATGTTACTCTTTACTTTTTCAATAAATACAAAAAAAACGCACATTATATAGGTACAAAATCGAAAAACTTGAATAAAACAAGAGTAGGTACTAATGAGACACTTGAGATTGCATGTTCTGTACCAGTTGATTGTGTTACTACTTAGTTATCAGCAACCCTCTAGATCTAGAGAGTCGCATATTTTCTAAGTACGAAGCGTATAGTGACCTACAATTTTTGTATATAACTTTTTTGGACTTCTTCCATAAATAATAAAGGAGAGGAACGAAGCTATCAAATATTTACTAAAAACTCTTCGTGTAATATCGTAAGCCTGAAGATTGAAACATTTCAGTTCAATGTTTCGTACAATAACAGCAATATGATTGTCTAGCCAATGAAATCACATATATTTGAAATTCGTCTTTAATGTGTATTTTGTTTATTTGTCTTTCAGGTTACACTTTGTTTTTTCTATTTTCAGATTCCTATATAGTATTTTACTAGAGTAGTCTGAAACGTCCGTAACATGCCGAGACTTCGCGAAGCTATGATCCGAAATTTTAAGGGGGTACCACGCAAAACCGGCATAGACCAAGACTCCCAAAAGCACGGCTAGTCCCTGAAATCAACAAGCGAGTATGATGTTATCTGTCGATTTTTTAATGTTCCAGATACGTCACTCTCGTCCATCACTCCGAAAACGCCAAAAGCCCTCCAGAAAATGCAGAAATTCTCCAGACCACGAACACCGGCTGCAACTGAATTGTTTACTGATCTGAAACTCGAGAAATATTATTTCGACATTTAAAGGGTACCATGTTTGTCATGTGATAAAACAATGTGAGACACACCAACACACCATTAGAACGAACATGGATAAAAAACTCATGATCTATTAGTGAGAAATTTCAAAATCTGCACTAAGCAAACATGTATGGGAAACACGACATAGGGTTAAATGGGAAGACGATACTACACAAAGAGGATAAAAATTACAAAAGGTAAAGGAATCAGCCTATATAAAATTAAACAACGTTTGTCTCTCTAATTCATCTTTGGACTATACCCCAATTTGGTTTAATATCCGCGAAGGAAAGATCTAATTGATATTCTCCTACCTGTCTAATGGACCTTGAGTTCTTTATCCAGGTTTTTTTCTCATGGTTGTTGGAACTCAAACGCGGAAACAACATGGTTCCCTTTAAATGTCAAAGTGCCATTTCTCGCGTTTCACACCCGTAAACAATGCAGTTGCAACATTTTAGTCAAAGATTGCATAATAATTAACCGGTATGTTACGCCAGTTCTGGGTGGATCTTTGCATTTTTTTTTTTTAGGGTTTTTTTGCGTCTTCGGAATGGTGGACGAGGCTGACATATCTGGTACATTAAAAAGTCGACAGCTAACCTTATACTCGCTTGTTGTTTTGGGGAGCTAGACGTCGTTTTGTAAGTGGTAATGCCTACCGCAGGCTGGCCTATGGTGGTTTTGCGCGGCGCCATCTGAAAATTTGGAACGATAGCTTCGCGAAGTCTCAGCATGTTACAGACCTTCCACACTACTGTAGTAGCATACTGTATAATCTGAAAATAAATAACAAACGGAGTGTCACTTAGAAGGCAGATAAATAAAATATTGTCAAATGTGTCATGTACTGAAGAAGCCCGCCGATGAGACTTCAGGTTTGTTCGTACAATGGTTGGTGACTTATCGGTGACTGTGTCTGGGACCGCCACGGGTACTACGTACCTTGAAAAGTACCATTAGGTCGGTTTTCTTTGACATAACGAAGGTTTTTTTGACATAACGTAGGTTTTTCTACAAGATGTTAACTTAGCACTAGTTGATGGACACGTTGTGAACTCGTTTTGTAGTTGTACATGTTGCTTAAACATGATGAGGCTTCAGTTATCGATGTTTGGCTCTGATGCGACGTAAAATCTACTTCAGAGATGACATTACTGGAAGTAACGGCAATGCACAGGTGCATAGTGAAGATTTGTGTGCTAATAATACAATAATTGAGATTCAAAAGTAGAAATTAGTTGCGCAACCACTTTTTCTTATCCATTCTGGAAATTACATATGCAAATTTGCTGAATTTAAAAAATGAGAGAGATAAGAAATAATTATATTCACTTTACACCGTCGAATTAGAAGTCATATACATGCTAACAGTAATTACACACAACGCGGACGCGGTGGTGATTTGCCGCAATTCTCCTCAACGTTTTTGAAAACACAAAAAACGTATAAGACCATAATTGATAACTTTGAACATAACCTGTCTTCTGAAAGGACAACACAACCAGTCGTGCACAGCTGATAGATATACTTCATTGGCAGCATATTCAGTAATGATTTTCTCACACAGCAAATATCACTGATTTTATACACACTTAGACCAATACACACAATCATCCAGATGAGATCTTGCTATTCAACCAAATAACCAACTTTCTTCTCGGAGACTCAGAGATGAAAACTATAGACCACTCGGCTTCACAAAACATATGCAACCATGCGTGTATACGTGTAGTTGATCCATTCCTCCATAGATGGACGCTCACAACGATCCTAGTGAGCAAACGGGATGACTGTGTGCACCTTAAAAACTACCTAGTCTGCAAGATGACATCTTCTAGATTTTTTTTGACATAGCGTATAGATAAGAAAAGAAAATCCCTGGTGGTGGTGAATTAACAGGTGAGAAAATATGCTACAGGCAGGAGTCTTAATGAAAGTGAAAAGGTTATTACATTATTTTTTTATTTCCAGTCGCTTAAATTTTATAGATATTTATTTTGCGCCGTGTTTCTATCCCGTAATACTCCTCAAAGTTTTTGAAAACACAAAAAAGCGGAAAAATCGTAGTTTATAACTTTGAACATTACCTGTCTTCAGTAAGGACAACAGATCAATAACCCGTGGGGCACAGCTAATAGATATACTTCATTGGCAGCATGTTCAGTAATAATTTTCTCTCATAGCAAATATTCTTTCTTTCACATTTTCTCAAAGATAAACACTACATACTACTCGGTTTCACAAAACATATACTCGCTTTCTGCAACCAACAATGTGTGTCCTTGAGTCATTCCTCCATAGATGGACGCGCACAGCGATCATAGCGAGCAAACGTGGAATGAACTATTTGCACCCCAAAAACTATCTAGTCTGCAAGATGACATTTTGTCGTTTTTTTTTTTAGTTTTCCAGGTTTTTCGCATAATACCCGTACGGAATTTGTGTGGCGGGATCTTGGACTCGATCACTGACAGTTTGGCGGCAGCTGTACGAACAGGGCTTTAAACGTATACTACATTAAAGAAGAATTTCAAATATATGTGGTTTTATTGGCTAGACAAACATGGGGAATTATCAATATGATTTTTAAGCAATATATAATAAAAACACCTTTTCTCCTATAGCTAATTGGCAGTAACGAAGAGGGCGATCGAACGCCTTCGCCAAGCTTGGAAGCGGATTTTAGCGCTTCTTCAGCCAAACCTAAACGAACAAAAAAGAAGGGAAAGAAACAGTCCAGATCAGATCGACAGTCCAGCGCAGAGCTCGTGTCACCTGCAGAGGACGTTTTAGAAGACCTTGTCAAAGAGGAAACTGTTAATATTCAGACAAAAAAGAAGAACAAGCCCAAAGGCGCCAAAAAGACACAGAAAAGCAAGTCAGAAGTAGACCAGGGTAGTCCCCTAGTTGATGACGTTGGTATGATGCATTATTGAAACGCTATTACTGTACTTATATAAACACTCTTGTTAAAAATCGAGATAAATCCCAAAGTAAGATGGCATACTTTAGTTTTGAATAAACTTGAACATAATAGTGGGATAGTAAAGTAGGCCCACTTCAAACAAATCTTAGTCGAATGAGGGCGAAACAAGTTGAAAACTATTTATTGCACAATTGATTAATATGTTTTCAGAAACTCAGATTATCATTGATATTGATTCCTAAGAATTTCTTACAATGTGAATGCTCGATAGATTTCCCATTTATTCGCAATAAATAGGATGCATTTGTAATGTTAGAAATAATTTATAAAAGTCAATTTTTGAGGATTCACACACAGCTTATTACTAGCAAACCAGGTAGTGAAATGTTGGATCATAACATTCATGTCTGCTATACACTGATCTGTTGTTGGCCTACAGCATATGTAAGTGTTATCATCTATGTATATAGTGATATTATTATCAAGGCGTTCAATAAGTGGCAGAACATTCGTATACAACAAATAAAAGCGGACCTAACATCGACCCCTGCGGCACCACTACATCAAGAAGTTGTAAATCAGAGTATATACCAGCGATATCTGCTAGTTCATTTCTACCATCCAAGTAACTCATTATCCACCCATTAACGTTTCGTCTTAGACCGTATTTAAAAAGTTTTTTTTCAGAATGCTATGATCGACTAAGTCAAAGGTCTCGTTTAAATCAAAAAATATACCCATTCATTTTTCCTCGTTATCCATTGAGTTATACAGGGTGTTAAAAAAATATGTGTCAAGATACACGGTGATAAATTAAAAAAATAATATCTTGAAAAATATTACTTGATTCTGTTAAAATTTCGCAATATTATTTGTTGTATTAAGAGGCTAATTTAGCTCTAAACAAATTGAAATTATTAGGTCCACTGGCATCCCGGGAGGCACCTTAGCGAATATTATTGGCAGAAAAATGTACGCCACTGCCTTTTTGTAACTTTAACTTCGATTAAGCATCTAAAAATTCAACTTCTTTGCCTCTTGTATTTTTTCGTAACCCATTTCGTTTACGAGAAAAAGAAATAAAAACCGTTTTATTGCATGTCACTGGACAAAAATGGCTTATTCATTTTTGCTTAAAAAAATCACAAGTGCCTTGCAAAACAAAAAATCATTTCGGCGTGGAGGTTTGACATTTGCGCGTCAGTTCTTCTAGAGAAGAATTTTTCACGTAATTTTCTTTGCGAAATTTCTCTAAAAAGTTTTTGTCTCGGTTTTTGTGATGTGAAATTACACTTTTGAGGAAATGGCAGATATGCAAGTAATGTATGCACGTGCTCATAGTTACTGTTATCCAGCGAGACGCCTGAATTCTAATCTATATTCTGTAATTTTATGTCCTCAAAGAATTTATCAAGCAGAATATTGTACAGCAACGGTGAGACACTGTTATTTTCAATAATTTGTGTCCATGTTTAAAGTCTGGCAAAATGCTTATTTTTCATTGGTGCGTTATATGGCCATGGCTAATTTAGTGCCCGGAAAAAAATATTTGTAGCTAAACCATGTGATTTATGTGCGTATTTCTTGATTTAATATGGAAAATAGGGGCCCATCTTAAACAAACCGTATAATTTTTCTCTAGTTTGAGAGACACTACAAGAAATCGACCATAATCATCAGATCGTTATGATTGGTTGAATTGGTGTTCCGCGCGTTGTTTTGCACCCCGGTTTAGAAGAATACGGCCTAAACGTTCTATACAAAGCAAAACTTCGTCTTTAGAAATAAGACTGACGGATAACGGCGAGACTTCCGAACTTTTTTCTTCCGAGAATGATTTGGGCTGTATTCTATCGGTGTTCAGGAATACAGTTCCCCGAAAGGTAAGAGAACCATGCCAACTTTCAGCCATTGCAAGAATTAACCTCCACCCGTTTATTTGACTTTAACATGATTGCAGAGCCAATACTTTAACTAAATAACTTCCGCAGGCTATTCGTTTTTCCCCTTACGAGAAAAGAGCAAGAAGTCCAAACAACAGACTGCTGCGTCTACAGTATCACCACCTCCAGAACCAGTATCGGCTGAAACTTTAAATTCAGTGGTAGAGCAGGTGTTGCGAAAACCTAAAGTAGATCCTACTAAGCCATCTATTATCGATCATTATCAGAAGCCCAGCCCTAGAAAGCAAGCAGTGCTACTTGTAGAGCCAGTGCCAGAAGTCAGAAGAAAATTTTCTGCGTCCTTAGAAAAAGTTCAACTTTTTGCAGCTGAGCATAAGGTACTTATAATCTTTTGTTACTTTTGAGGAAGCATATTTGAAAGTAGGCCTATAAGATAGACAAACGTAAAATTTTTAATTTACCACAAGTTTCTTCCCACGGCTACTGGCGAGGGACTACTATTATCGGCAAACATTTGGGAAATGATATACCTAGGTTTTATGGATGTTATATGACATGTACATCACGCCATTTTTGAATGTTAGTAGATACATACATACATACTTCACACATCATATTTTTTCCCGCACATTTGCCCTTAAAACTTATTATTAATATAAAATGTTTTTAGCCGACGGATCGTGTACCTATTGGTCACCAGAGATTTGTAAATGTAAAGGGGGCAAAGCTGCGTATTCAGGTAATTAACAAATAGCCGCTTAGAAAGTTAAATTCAAAGTCCTTCTGGAGAGAGACGGTAAAAAACGAATTTTTCCAAAATTGTTTTAATTTTTTCCTGTCTTTATTTGTACTGGTCATATTGAAATTCTAAATATGCCATCTTGTAGAGGAGAAAAGTAGCGATGTCAATGTGCTTTTTATTTTGAAATCCCACTACAAATACAGGAAAAAATTAAAACAATTTTGGGAAAGTTTACTTTTTCCGTCTCTCTCCGGAAGTACTTTGAATTTCGAAACTTTCTAAGCGGCATTTTGTTGATTAGCTAAATACGTAACTTTGCCCCCATTTAAGCGACTTCGCATATCAAACAGTTTCCGACATTCCAATGGTGAACGTCGAATTTGTAACACCTTGTGTTTCAAGTGTGAGGTTGCTTGATTTCCTGAGGTTATATAAACTAGTGGACAGTTGGTTTGCAACATGGAAAATTTTTCCCAAATTCAAATCTCGATATTTTCTGAACGGAAAGAGATATCGAGTTGCGGTATTCGGGAGGTTCTTAATCAGCTCTTTAAGAACACGTACAGGTTATGTCAGATTCTCAATTTTAAATTTTGGAAATTTTTCTATTTTAGGAAAAGTGATATCTCAATTTTTTCGAAAGTTGGCTATAATGCAAATTATCGAATTTTAAGAAAGTGTACATTTGTCTTTAAAAAGCAAAAGCAAATGTTTATTTTTCATTGGTGCATCATATGATCATGGCAAATGAAAAAATAAGTTTTTGTAGTTAAATCAGTGATTTATGACGAATTTCTTGATTTAATATGCGAATTATAGGCCCATCTTACACAAACATTATAATATTTTTCTCTAGTTTGAGAGATATTTTATAAGAAATTGACCATATTCGTTAGATACATACCTTCAAAAACGAATTCTCATTAGTGGAATTTGTGACCCAGGTGCTTTTTGGACCCAGGCTTAGTGAAATCGGGCCTAAATACGCTAGTTTAACATTTATATTCTTAAAAATCTAGAAAATTCTATATTCATTTCATGCACACTTCTTCACAATCAAACTGAATCCCCCATAGGTACTCGGTTAACAATTAATAATAATAATAATAATAATAATAATAATTTATTCACATCAATTACAAATTGTGAACAAAACGATATGCCACAAAAGTAAAATATAATAATAATACTAATACCGTATTTAGAAACAGACTAACAGATTGGCGAAGTTTAGCATTCGCTGCTCTTACACTTAACCAATCAGTTAGCGATTGGTAACATCATACAGAAATTTCTGTCATATCGTGAAGAAAATAAAGCAGACAAGAGCAAGATCAGATAATGCGTAAATCAAGAATTGCAATACATCATATAGGTGTATATATAGAAATTATAAAATTAAGTGAATAGTGAATTCATAAACAGTTTAATTATCTTGCGGAATGTAGACAAAGAATATGTCTTATACACTTCATGTATTGAATTATACCTGGTAGCTAAGTTAAACGAAAAACTTTGTTCATTTAATGTTGTTTTGTGTCTTAACAGTCTAGTGTGCACAACTGCAGACATTATTAAAAAATATTAAAAAAATCATTATTTTTTTGAATTGTCCCCATCTGTTCGATTAACGGAAAATCTTGCTAGGCGAATCCATAACTCTTTTCAAGCTTCGAAAATAAAATTCTGGTGTTCACGAATTAAATCACAAGCATTTTCAGTGCGCTGTTGAAGTTCTTCCAGAGTATTTACTATTCCACCATGATACACCAACTCTTTCAATAGCCCCACAGAAAAAATTGCAAGGCGTTGAATCGGGGGAACGAGCAGGCCAAGAAATGGGTCCATTACGCACTATCCATCTGTTTGGAACTCATTATTTAGATGTTCATGAATTTCTCGTCTAAAATGTGTGGAGCCCTATCATGTAGGAACCACATATTCTGCCTTACATTAATTTAGAGGAACATCTAATAATTGTGGCAGATTGATTCGAAGAAAATATAAATAAATTTCACCGGTCAGTCGAGGTGGATAACGAGTGCTAAGGATAATGCTGTTCTTTTCGTATTGTCTTCCTCACTTTACTATGCGAAAGTTCAACTTGAGCTGCAATGGTCTCATTGTCGGGTAAACAAATAACGCTAAGATTTTACACGGCAGCGGTCGAGAATATCAAAAAACTGTAATAACATTCTTATTTTTAAAATTTTGCAAACTCTTACTATTTCTTTTACTATGCAACTTTTATATATAGGTGATTTTTGGTATATCAACTCCTTTTGACGAACCCTACAAGCAGTTAAAATAAATGACTCAACTTTGAATACTATACTAAACTGCAGTCGTTACAATGGACACTGTAAACAGTATCGGTTAAACTAAGCAACAGAACTTTGTACTTCATCTCAGAGAAACCATTGCTATTTGTTATTACTAATTTACAAGCTACTTCATAGTACAACTGCATACAAATTTTTATGAATTTCGGAGATGGATCGATAATACGAATATATGGCAGTACTGCAAAACCTGTCCTTGTTTGAGACGTTCAACATGTTGATTAACATCTTGGGGGAGTGATGTGAAGTGCAGAAAGGTGCTTTCAAAAATGGATTGTAAACATTTTTAATTATGATATAATGTGTGCCTCGTATTTAATCTGGTATCAGGACATGAAGTTTAATCACTTGTTCAATTCTTTTAAAACATCGATGCACCTGAACTGAAATGACCCAACTTTGAATATACATATAACATAGTAGTTACAATAGATTGATTGAGCGAAAAAAATTCTCTGTAATATGCACATTAATTTTGTATCGTATTAGCAATGAAGAAAATATATTTATTTGTTAGTTTTTATAAATCACATCATTTATATCAGTATTTAATAGCTACTCGTATAATAATGATATTCGTTTTTTCTAATATATTTTTGTAAGTTATGATATCATTTTGGACCTAAGTATATAGAAGATTTCAACATTATATCATTTTTTGGTGTTGCAATAATTATTTGTTAATTTCTATTTTTAGTATCTTAATCATAATTGTTATAAATGGTCGAATGTATGTTTTTATGGAATTCTAATAAAACACACCAAAATAATTTTTTTAATATCTAAAAGTTTTGTTTCTATAAACAGCGATTTGGAGGCATATAGTAAAGCTTTGTTATGAATTGTTTTTATGAATAGTTTTTGTATTATTTGTAAATAATTTAGATTGTTATTGCTCGTGGATCCCCAGATAATAATTCCATAGGTTATGTGGAATTCAACTAATGTTTCATATAAAATTACCGTAAAATTTTCTGTTTTAGGTGCAAGAAGCAGTCGGATCGTCACAAAAGCAAAAGGAGAGCAAAAAAGTAACGCCTCATATCTCGTACGCTAACGTTGCTTCAAACACTATCCCTTGTACTACCAAAGCTGAAACAGGATCTGAGATCAACGTTCTTGAGAACACGATACAGAAAGAAATTGAAGATGATGTGTTTTTTGTCGTGGAAGATGTAAATTTACCTGAAGGTGATAATAATCATGGTGGTTTATACAGGGTGTCCTGAAAGTTGGGACTTTCCTTTTCAGAAACAACTACGCCTGAAATCACGAAGCTAACGTGTGGTGCAACAGTAGCGAAAAAGTAAAAAAAAAAAATGAATTAAAAAGGACCCACCGTTCATTTGCAGAGAAATTTCATTTACGGCTCTGTCTCTTATAAGTACTGTTCAAAGTTGTCGCCATTTGTGAAATGTTTCGTAGAAAGTTAGATATTGTAAACCATCCAGCCGATTTGACAAAATAAGAGGTCCAATGAGCAAACCATTTACCATGTCAGCCCAAATATTCAAAAAAATGCTTGTTAAAAATGTGACTGTCGTACTACGTGAGAATTAACCAGTGACCCCACATAAGTATTCTGAAAGTCCCGTTAAGAGTGAAGGTTGATGTGTCCGTGACCAATATGGACTACAACAGCCACTCACAAAAACGCACTCTTGCAGGAAAATCCTCAGCGTGTAGCTCTCATACAAAAGAATACAATCCATCAACACGCAGCGTTTACAACACTTTAGCCTTGGAGACTTGTTCTTATCTAGCCACTTAGTGCTCGTTGAAGGATTTTTTCCTCAGTTTGTACCATTTTGGAGTGTCTAGGTCTCCCACTGTGCCCATCTCAACATTCCTCTAAAACGACCTGTATAACTAGCTCTTTGCACAAGAAAAACAAATCCCTGAATGATAAAGTCCGAGGAAAGCGATCTGCACACACTCGCGAAGCCTCGGTAGCATTTTGAAGACGCTAATTATTAATTAAAATCGATTGGTAAATGTTTTGTTTACCTACGCTGCCGGCGCCTGGGTTGAGTACTAATGTACGCGCCTTCTTACTTTTGATCTGATCGAGATACAGAAGCGGATAAGGTTTGCTTTAGGTTCGATTGATTTTGCGGAGCCTTATAGCTCGGTTATCATAAGACGTTGGTGTATATGCTACTAGGAGAAACCTCTTATTTTTTCAAGTTCTATACGTCGTGTAAAGGAAAGTCCTAACTTTGCAGACACCCTGTAGAAATTCACATTAATCAATAATTTTCGGTGGGGAAGGCTTGAGATCTCCGCATGTCAACAGCCTCAAGGATATCATTAGGGAAAGTGGTAAATCATCTTGAACGTAACTTTTTAAAAAAATCTCTTTTCAACAAACGTATCAAAGATTTTCAAGAAGTTGCCATGTAGTGCCCAGTAATTGGGAAGAATATTGGATCCTATGATATGCTGAAATTTGGCATGTTGGCAATTAAAAGTAGTAGGAACAAAAATCAATCCTTACTTCACATGAAACAGTTCACGTTGTAAAAATATGCCCTTTAAATGCAAAAATATTCGCCCTATTCTTTGATTTTGAAATATATGTGAATTTTCACGAATCTATATCGATAGAATAAAAGATTTTGATTTACTATAGAGATAATATTATCTACGCTTGTTAGATTTTATTTGAACGTGTTCAAAATCAAAATGTTGAAGTGTAGTCTGATGGTCGTGCTATTTCGCCTCATGCCGCGTCACGTGCAAAACAAATATGCTCATATCTCAGTGAAAAATTAATATATCGAGATAAAAAAACGAGGTCCCATTTTCATCGTATTAACGATGTTTTGCTTTAATAGTCCAATCCCTGAAATTCGCTTTCAAGTCTAAGAAATTGCTTAGATCTGCAGGGGTACTACGTGTATCTCGAAAAGTGACATTATGTCGTTTTTTTTGTTGACATTATGTAGGTTTTCCTATAAAATCTCAATTTGGAACTAGCTGTTGTTTTCTTGATGTGTACTCATTGTGTACCTGTACGTGTTGCCTAAACATCATGGCGCTTGAGCTATCTGCTTCAAGGATGACATTATTGCAGGTCTAAGCTGTAAGTTGTATACTATAGCTGGAAGGAAACACGCGAAACGGCAGTGCATATGTGCTTTTTGAGGATTTGTGTGCTAATAATCTATATTGATGATATTTCCTTTGGTTTCTTGTCTCAAATACACTTACTAGAGATGTATGCTTCATACTGAAAATTACAAAAATGAGGGAGTCAAAAAATCCCTGGCTGGTGGGGTATATTACAACTAACACGTGAGAAAACAGGCTACAGGCAGGAATATTTTAAGAAAATTAAAAATGTTATTATATTTCACATTATTTTTTATTAATTTATTAATTTTATAGAAATTTATTTTGCGATGTCAAGTGGAAAATACAGCACCTAGATGTAAGGCGCTGCAAAAATGTTTTGTATGTGACGCGACATTCCTAATTTTTCAATTTGTCTGTGGTCCAATTACACACAACGTGATGATTTCCCGTAATGCTCTCTTTTTTGAAAACGCAAATAAACTGGAGAAAATCGTAATTTATAACTTTGAACATAACCTGCCTTCAGAAAAGACAACATAAATAACCTGTCTGCTATACCTAATATATATACTTCATGGGCAGCATATTCAGTAATAATTTTCTTGCATAGTGAACATCACTGATTTTATATACATACAGACCAATACACACAATCACTGCAGAATCATCCAGATGTGATCTTGCTTTTTTGCTACACAACCAATTGTGTTTCTGTTACATCTTCTCAGAGATTTGCTCTATAGACTATCTCGGCGTTCTGCAACCAACAAAGCATGCTGGCGAACTGACTCACAGCATGTTCGTTGAGCTCACAGCGCTCTTAGTGAGCAAGAACGGAATGAAGTATTTGCAAATTAGGAGCTATCTAGTCAGCAAGTTTGTCGTTTTTTGGCATTATCCTCATATAGGTATTTTACTCGTACGTAACAATCCTGCTGTAGTGAGTATAATATATAAGGGATGAAAAAAAATCTTAATGTAGCTATCTTCCCAAGAACATACGGAGTAATTGTAACCAACAATAAATTGTTTGTGAAAAACAGACTTTCTTTAGTTGACGTGATAGGATTTCGAAAAACTACAAGTTTTAAAAAATATTTTTTAGGCTCTAACCAGGTCCATTTAGAGTTTAAATTGGAATCTCGTGTTTCATGAAAATCTCAGCAGTACGTTGAGAGTAAGTTATTTTTGGACTTCCTATTTTTTGATATTGATATGACGCGAAAAATGCAAAGTATCATACTACGCTCAAACATCTTCCGTTTAGCGCTGGTCCAAAGAAATTGAAATGAATATTTTAAAATACTGTCTCTATAGAAAGTTTCACGTTTAATTCTAGCGATACATATTTTTACAATTTCGTATATTTTAACTTCCCACGCCCACTGGCAAGGAAGTATCTTAATCACGAAAAATTTCAAAAATTATATATTATGGTCTTTAGATCTTATTTGACGTGCATGAAAAGCAATGTAATTAATTTCCGTCAGTCTGCCTGTCTGGGTCTGAACGATAATCCTTGACCATCTATAACTTAGAAAGTACTGCTCGGAGTTTGATGAAATTTTTACACAATATGCAAGGACGAAAACGCCTTCTAGTTTTTGATAATAGGTACAGTAGCGTCGGAGATAAAGGCCAAAAACGAAACAAACATCATTTTTAGAGGTAAAAAATTTGGTTTTTCATTAAAGTCTATACGCCCCCAATCTCGGTAATTCTACGCACCTATTATGCATATTTCACATATCATAGATTTCCCCGTCTGCATATACTTCCGGCGGCGAGCCAAGTCTGATAAGTATTCTGGTATTATTGCCGCGTCATAGGATAGCGTTTCCTATGCTGTGGCTGCGGTTATGTATCTGGGAGAGGCGACATTGGCAGATGGACTATGAACTGATAACGGCGTTTCGAGGGAAGTGCAGAGTCAACCTACGTGACGCAATTTTTTACGTAATAACCCTGTGGGTCTATATGCCATTCAATATATGTATGATCACATAAACAAAAGCTGAGGTAGCAAACATTATTATCTTCATATTGCTTGCCCAATTATCATAATCATAATTTGCATCTTGGAAGCAAATTTTAAAATGATAACATTGAATACAACTCGCACTCGTGATAATAAACACTGTTGGCTAAAGTTCAAATTGGCACTTGCATGTAACTGCAATACTTCACTAAATGTGAAAAATTTAATTACATTTATGCTCGTTAAACAGTATTTTATGATTAATAACAACAGATACAAATCCGATAAAGTTTTATGTGATTTTGATTTACATTTTGGTTTTTGCCCTCAGATATCCAACATCCAAATTCGACTGACACTGAAATCGCAAATAAGCTCGAAGTGGTTGAGAATAACTCACAAGTTACTGCTCCTGTGGTTGAAGAATCTACTGAAGCCAGCTGCGTCCAAGACTCAAACGTCGGAACTGAGACTACACCTTCAAACAAGGTCTCTAATGAAACGACCAATAATTATTTCTTAGAAACCGTTGATGATTCAAGTATTGAGAATACTTTCATTTCTGCGGGGGTAGAAGGCGTTGTGAAAAGGCGTAGTGAAGAAAATGTTGAGGAGGCAATCGAATACGATGTAAGTAGCAACAGGCTTTTTAGTGAGTGTCTCAGCATATTATGTTAAAGTACTTATGTTCCAATGACTTACAGCATGAATCTATGTGTTCTTTTTCCTTTTACTTTATATTAGGTAAAACGTATTCCATATTCGTGCACTGAAAGAGGATAAATTTACTCTCTTTATATTCTCTGCCGAAGCAAGCGGCTTATTGACTTTTATTTCAGATACCGTCAGAACGCGAGTAGTTATTCCATTGATTAACGTATTCTACCTGTACATCTATGAGAATTTGTCACAGCTGTTATTCTATTTACTATATCCTCAAATTTGGGACTTTCCTCTACAGAGGGTGTAGCTCAGGCAATCATATTTTTTTAGTAACATATGTATATACCAAAGCTTATAGAGAGTATTAGGTTCCAAAAAGAGCAATAAATAAATCAGTAAGACCCTGCTATCCTCCCGTCCCTCAATTCCGTCTTACGTATTATGTTGTACTAAGACTTTGTGAGTCAGTATCAAAATCAGGCGTCGCGTGGTGTCAGGGTTAATCTAGTTTATTTTGTTTGTTCGTTTAAGATTTATTTAGCATGATTGCTACAATTACATTCTTCTAAAAAACTAAACAATTACATAACATACAGACATTCAGAAGAAGAAAAAAAACAAAATTTGCATCTCTAAGAATTTTCATTGTCCATGAAATATTCCTTTAATTTTCTTTTAAATATCTTTAAATCACAAGTAGACTTTATACCATCATTTAGTTTATTAAATTCAAGTAATCCTTTCTGAAATTTTGATTTGCTAGTTATATTACTATTGCAATTTTATAAATGAAAATCTATATTTCCTTTTGTATGATAATTGTGGTAATGATTATTCAATTCTATGTAGTGTTATAAATATTGTGGAAAAAGATGATTTTTTATTTTTTTTTGTATTATAAGAACCAAATATGATATGAAATTTTTTATATTCAACCACTGCAATTCTTGTAACGTAGTTGTTATTTTGGTATACTTATTTTTATTCAATATTATTCTCATAGCTTTATTTTGCAAGACTTGTAATTTTGAGAATACAGCTTCATTGGCAGTGAACAAGATAGTTGAACAATATAGTAAATGCGGTAGAATAATTGTATTATAAACTATTTTCTTGGAATAGGTACCAAGACTATGAGAAGCCCTATAAAAGTAATTTGTTTTTTTTGGCAGTTTTTGAAATAATCTATTCATAGTGATCCTCAAACTTTAGTTTACTATCAATATATATACCTAAATATTTAATTGATTCAACTTTTTCAATTATTTCTCCATTTATCCTAACAGTGATAGTATTTTCATTTAGGTATTTCTCTATTAGCATATATTTTGTTTTAGAAGTATTCAATTTTAGTTTATTTACATTTAACCAATTTACGATTTTTGCCAAGTTTTTGACTTCTGTCAATTAAATAGTTTTGTCGAATTTTGAATACAGTTCCTTTAAATCCGTAGTGATGCAATTTTGTAAGTAATTTATCGCTGTCAATAGTCTCAAACGCCCTTTTGAAGTCCAAAAACACTGCCACTGTATGTTGAAATTCGATGATCTGTTCGTAAATAATTTCTTCAAAAACTTTTTCAACATCTGGCAGAACATTTATTGGCCGCATATTGTTGTACAACTCAGAATTCTTAACTTTAGAAACAGGAGTTATGGTAGAATACTTCAGTTTTGTTGGAAATTCGTCATATTTTAAACAGTAATTTATCAGGATTAATATTCTTGCTCCAATAATACGAGATCAAAACATTCATTAAGCACACTTTTAGACAAAATCTCACTATTATTTTGACTTGATTTAATTTTTGATATAATCTTCTTAAGACGATTAATGTTTATTGTTCTAAACTCACTGAATGATGCATTATAATCTGAGCTAATGGGACATTGGTTGGGATCCCGTCAATAATTGATTTTACAATGTCGTTGCCACTTTCTATGAAATAGGTATTCATTCGATCTGCTATTATTTATTCATTTGTTATTACCCATCGTCGAATTTCATTTTAGATAATGTACTTTTTCTAATAGGAGAAACAATGTTTTTCAACGTTTTCCACATATGTTTGCTATTATTTTTGCTCTTATCAATTTTGGCATTGTAATATTTTTTCTTTTCATCTCGTAGAACTGCTACAGATTGGTTTCTTGATCTTGTGTATTCTAGCCAATCATTTTCACTTCCAGTAATCATAAACTTTTTATAATTGTAGTCTCTTTTTAATTTAGAATCCTTTAACGTCTGCGCGAACCAAGGTGTTGGATTTTTCCTTTTATAAATTGTTGTCTTGACTGTAGCTTCTTTTATGCAGACTTCAACATTATATAGCTTATATAGTAGCTATCAACATCAACAAACGCTTCAGTCATATCTTGCAGTAAAAGAGCTTCTCGTAATTTTAATAGTTAATATTAGTAATTTCTTCCACGTTGTTAGCATCAAATTTACTTTCAACTTCATGGATATGTTATCCATGAATGTTCACTGATCTCAGGAGTATGCATAACTTTTGCAATTAAATTTTGTTCGTTCCTTATTATCAAATTTATAATTGTTCTTGATTGATGTGTAATTCTGGTGTGATCTTAGACTTTTTGCCATAGTCCATAAAAACTGAGTATCTGTTTAAATTTCTTTGAGTAGAAGTCTTGATTATCAAAATTTATATTAAAATCGCCCAAATGTATCGTGATGCAGTTTCGATAAAAATGTTTTTCACAGATATTTTCGAATAAATCTATAAATCTGTTTATATTTCCAGTTGGAGATCTGTAATAAATGTGTAAATTATAATTGTGCTTAAGATTCAATTCATCATTGATATACCACCATTGGTACTCAAGAGCTACAATTTCATGTACTCTAGTTTCTATTTCACCTAAAATATATGACAATATACCACCTGTATGTATGCAAATTGTGTTTGCTCTTACAATTTGATGGCCTTCAAAACCAATTTCTTCATCGTCAATATTCTCTGTGAGATGTGTTTCAGTTAAACACAGTATTACCGGCTTCAGTAATGTAAAACCACATCTTTTTAGATAGAAATCCTTGAATATTTATATGGTAAATATAGTTTGCATATTCTTTGGCTTGTTTTTTATCTTCCATTTGGACTGTGCAGCAAATTTTATTAAAGGGAGAATGGTGTATGTCGAAATTTGTTTTATATTTTGAATAAGGTTCTTTACAAGTTCTTTCATTTTCTGGTATTTCACAGTTCTGTGGTTGATGTCCACTTCCACCACATTTCAAACAAATACGATTCTTGTTGCAATTCTTTGCAGTATGGTGGCAACCAGCACAATTGAAACATCTTAGAAGGTGATAATGTTCAAAAATAGTACATACATACATAGATATAACACGGTTCTGACAAGGAAAGTCCTAACTTTCATGACACCCTGTATATGCTTTGAAAAGGTCAATGTCTCATATATTGCATCGTAAACACGTATATGCTTGTATATGCTCATATAGACTACGCCATCTATGGGCACTAACCTGTTCAAAGTATATGAGTCACGGCTGGGACAAATCTTTATAGATGACTCTGCTCAATCTCATTTTATCCCGGATATTTTTTGGGCGCCGGAATATATCATTATCTTAATCAATGGTTATGCCAAGAGAATATAGTTAGAGAAAGATAGATGCGAATAAAATTAGAGAAAGATTTTCCAAATCAATTTAGAGGGACAAAGTAACATCCAACCACGTATGCGTAGATAAATTTACTTTTGTTCCATTTACAGTTTTCCAATTATATTTTTCATTCAGTTTGTATGTTGCGTTGGACAATACAGGGTGACCTCAAAGTTTGGACTTTGCAGAGCGTATTGGTCAGACAATAATAAGCATGTTTTTTAGTAACAGTAATTTCCAGAATGAATAAGAAAAAGTGGATGCGCAACTAATTTCTAGCTTTGAATCTCAAGTGTATTTGAGAAACTAATGGAATTATCATCAATACATATTACCAGCACACAAATCCTCACTATACACCTATCCACTGCCATTTCCTTCCAGCTATAATATACAACTTACAGCTTAGACCTCCAATAATGACATCTCTGAAGCAGATGTTATATCACATCAGACTAACTTTGATAACTGAACCATTGTGATGTTTAGTCAAAACGTACAACTACAAAACGAGTTCACAACAAGTGTCCATCAGCTAGTGCTAAGTTAACATCTTGTAGAAAAACCTACCTTATGTCAAACAAAACCTACGTTAATGTCAAAGAAAACCAACCCAATGTCACTTTTCAAGATACGTCATACCCGTGCGGAAATCGATCTTGGTATACTCGTAAAGGATTTTGAAACACATCGTAAACTAACATGACATTTCAAATTCATTAACGCTATAGGAGTTTGCATTTTATTTATTATTTTCTGAATCCGCTTTGTAAACAAGCATCATGACACTTGGGTAGAATACTGACGCGAGTTTTGTCTTCTCACCTGATGATCTGCTGAGCTCTGAAGGCAGGTCCAACTTTATACAGCCATTTTTTTTTAGAACCTAATATGTCGGTTATATTACGGCTTTGGTGTATGTGTTATAAGGAAAATGTTTTTATTTTTATAATATATATTTTATATATATATATATATTTTATATATATATATATATATATATATGCTGTGCGAATAATAGTTCCAACTTTAAGCACACCCTGTATTTAATTTACCTGTTCCAAACGTGACCTAAAATACGTATTTCTTAGAATGCAATACATATATTTTCAGGACCCTTTAATCAAACAACGAAACTTTTCAAATGTCGAACGTAGTACAAATGATCACTTGGAGCAGCAATCTTATGATTTTAATATACAGAAAATAAACTTAGAAACATCGGTCTACAAAGTGAATGTTATAGCAGAACTTAATCAATCAAACCCAAACTTAAGCCAAAGATCTGAATCAAAAGAAGACAACTTCATCAAAGAGGAAAGCTCTCTACCTTCAAAGACATTCACCGTGAATGTTACAGCAGATGTTGATCATTCAAACACAAGTCATAGATCTGAGTTAAGAGAAGAAAGGTTAATTCAAGAAGAAATTTCTCCCCCTACAAAGACCGGCTTGAATAGTAGCCATTCTGTCAACGAGTTTCAGACACGTAAGTCAAACGATTCCTTCAGTATTTGATTTTTCTGACGCTACTGAACCTTCAACAACCGATTCCGAGTGGCATCTTTCAGAAGCCTAAATCTTTAGCGGGAAGCACCGCAGGGCATTTTTCATAGTTATTTGTCACATCGTTTTGATTTCTATATCATGCCAGAGCTGCTCAATTATTCTGGAACGTCTAGTGAATACTATGTTTGCTTGATTTTGTTATTTGTGATCAACGCTATCCGGCAACTTGAATACTGTCCTAAAAGTGTTGTTTCTCTCTCACCAAAGACTCATATGCCAGTGTGTGAAGGTTTTATTAAGGGCTTTTTAGTCGGATTAATTGATTTTGAACACTCCGTGGGTGGATATCCATTCGCGTGTTACCACTTTCAGTACTGATGTCACGCTTGCATGACATCTGAATTCCTGCATGTAAGAAGGTTCTGTGTGCTTTGAGCAGTGTAGCACGATTTGTTGGACCAGTCGGACACTGCTTTAGCCACTTTCACTGTATGAGGGATGTATTCCTCCATCCCAACGTGGATAATTTCTGTTATCAATGAACAGATCGCCGACGCATCCGCGTGAGTGAAACAAACATCTCTCCAAGGAAAGGTGGAGAAGAAGTCTCTGAGGCCATCCCAGTCGGCATGTCCGTGAAGCCAAATTTTGCGGCATATGCGAGTTTCTGCTGCCACAACAGGTTCTGACCTCCACAACACCGTAGTCTGAGTTGCGATATGTTTTGGAGTTGAGGCGAAGCCACAGAATGTCCTTTCGGTCTGATTACAAAGAACCGTCTCTGGAGCAGGAAAGACTGCTGCGGAAAAAAGCCACAACTCCCCCGTTCTTTCTCAGATTGGAGTGCACTTCATAATTTGGGAAGCTAAGATGATTAATTGGTGCAGACTCTGAGATTTTTGTCCCCGCCAAGAAAAGTATGGCGGGACGGGATTGCAGGTAGTGATGAATAGCATCAATGTTGCTGTTAATCCCGCGGATGTTCCTGAAACAAATTTTATCTTCGATGTTGTTTCCTCGACTCCACTCTCCTTCCGGACATTCCGACTGCGTGGCTTAGGTGTGGAAAAAGCTAGCGAGTTACGCTGTCTCGGTCGACTGGTCCTTATCTACCACCTTCTTTTTGCATGTTAATGATGTTGAATAGACCTAAAGTGGCGCGTTGGCGGACTTGTACCGCCACCCGGCAATCAGTATTCCTTGATGCGTGTACAATCACTTGAACGGAAAGCAGTTGTATAGTGTATACAGCAACTTCCAGAACAAGAATTTGCAATGGCCCCTCCCAGTAGGGGTACGTATTATACCGACTTGGACAGCCTACACTTTGGGAGCTGTTGAGTTTTAGGACCTTGTTGCCTCTGACACAAAAAAATAACCGAAACCACTCTTCTACCTAAAGCAGATATTTGAATAGGACACTGCGGCTGCTATAAGGATCCCAAAGAAAATGTAATGTAATTATGTTATAGTTTAGTTTTAAGTTAGCTTTGTCATTAAGAATGGATTCTTCAGACATTAAAGCATATCTATCTATCTAAAACACTAATCAACCTAGCATCACCATCTTCCTGTAACGCTCTACATATCTGTTCTCATAGACTGTTGGCCTATAGAACTATCGGCTATTGCCGAATGGGCTCTGCTTCGCTGATGACAGCACTCTACATGCAGGAATTCAGAGCGACAAGCCGATCTCTGCCGCTGAGCTGGAAAAAAGAACTGGCCGATACGACCGCTCCTTTGTCCCGAGGGTGTCTAGATTGTGGAACAATCTACGGGAGGAAGCCTTTCCCAGTTCTACTAACCTTAGGCAGTTCAAAAATCGTATTAACAAAATTTCTTTGGGATCATCATAGCAGCCGCGGTGTTCCGGCATTTAGGCTTCTGCCTGCGCGGCTGTTTCGATATAAAAAAAAAAATTTGGAGGGTACAGGGGAAGTAAGATTGATGTCACAAATTTGATGTTTTGTAGTTAGAACTGCCAACATGTAGTCTTAACTAAGTAAAATCCCATGAGGTATTGGAAACATGCAAAAACAATAACATTGCTTAGTTATACTTTATTGAAAACTTGACGTGCGGGGAAAAAAGATTGTCACAGCCGTTGTATGAAAAAAATATGAACGTCCACTGATCGTCACCGAAGCTAGTAGCTACTGCAACAATTTACCATACACCAATCTGCTACAAAAGAAATGAACGTTAAGTAATCATTTTTAAGTAGTTACCATTAATTTTGTTTTGTTCTATATTCTATGAATAAAGTTTTTTTTGGTTAATTGTTTTTTCATTGTCTCATAGAAATAATTCTGTTTGAGCTATTGAGGGTAGAAAATTACCTTTTTCTCATGTTCTAGGCCCTGTGTTATAAATTTCCTTTTAAGGTTGTTCTCATCTTAGAACAGATCGTAAAACCTAAGATAGGCATTTTGCTGGTTAATCAACCCTAAGAACTTACAGAGCGCCTCATACGACGAAACGCTCATTTCTAACCTCAATATCGCCAAAAAGTTGAATTCAAGCATGAACGTTAACACAAAAATGTTTAAAATAATAAGGATAATCTTAAAATACAAACATAAAAAGGATTTTCCATTAAAAAATATTTGGTCTGCTTTCACTTTGCGGCTACTCTGTACATCAAAAAAAAATTATTTATAATTTAACTTTTTTTTCAATTTCTCATAATAAGAAACCTATGCTACTCTGTCAGATCTTTTAGCCACCCTGTACAACGAGTCAGGACTCTTCAGGCTTGAATCCACTTTTCTCCAAACTTACTTTTTGTGACATTCATCTTTTCGCCCCTGTACCTTTCATTTAAAATAGTTTACTAATTAATTACTTCCAAAAAACGAAAACTTCATACATTATAAACTGAATGTAATAAATTTGTATTATATTGACTTTCCTAATTTTCTGACAGCAGAATCGACGACATCTAAACTTGATACTAAACCAAGTTCCTCTAGAAGTAACACATCACCCTCATTCAGCGAGATGCACCAAACACGAGTGTTAACCTTGAATGACAAGGAGCATCTTGAGTGCACCTTGTATCGTCTAGAGAAAGGATGGAACATAGAGTTTAGGGTGGGACCCTCCCTATTCGGACGTAAAGTATATCTTTTCTGCAACTACCCCCTGCCAGGGGCGGAGTTTGACAGGAACGTATATCGTCAGTTGCCGTGGCAGTGGGACGAGGGATGCAAGGATGCGGATGACAGCGCCGCATTTGCGGATCTGGAGCTGAAGATCGCAGGCAGTTTTCATTATTATTACACATACGACAAAAGGTGAGTGTTACAATATGAACCATCGTACTCGACATTCAGACAAGTTTAAAAAGAGAATGTTTTTCACTGAATAAAGGCAAAACGGTTATTAGGAACCTATTCAAAAACAACTACCCAACGACTTTGCTGTACCTCCTGGTACCAAGGCTTCGTACAAAGCAAAGCTTGTGTGTACTTATTTCGACTCAAAACTAGCATTTTCTGACCATATTGAAACTCTGTGCGAAAAACTTTTTAAGGCGTTCCACGCCTTATTACAACTAAAAGACACCCTAGACGAGAAAGGACTAATGACGATATATTATGCATTAGCTTACTCAGCTATAATTTAATCATGTGGCAACAATATTGACAAGAACAGAGTAGGTATGTATTTGTAGGACAAAAAAGATTAATACGACTAATTCGCAATATGCAGCCCGAAAATACATGTAGAACCACATTTAAATCTAAGAATTTACCTGTACCTTGTGTTTCCATGTTTGGAAAAACATGAACCAGTTTGAGAACTTAGCATAGTACCACACAGATAATACCAGAAACAGTGTAGGCATTAACTATCTTCAAACACAACACCAATCGCTTCAAGCACTCGTCTCATTACGACTGTGTAATATTTTATAATAAGCTATCTCAGCATTTTTAGAAAGAAACTTACAAAACTTTTAAATATAAAGTCAAATCGTTTTTATCAGATGGAGGGTTTTGTACAATTTATTGATGAATTTTGAGAACACAATGACAAATAATATAATTAAATATAATGTTTTTGTTTATGATCTTTCATTTATTTGTTTATTTATTTTTCTCTTTGTATTGACCTGCCATATACAGGGTTTTCAAATTTGAGTCATTTATTTTAACAGCTTGTAGAACTCGTGAAAAAAAGTTGATATACTCGCCTATATTTAAAGTTGCATAATAAGATACTTAGTTTACATTATTAAAAATTATTTTAAAAAAGCATTATCGAGCTAAGTGAATACCATTTTTACAAAAAATGTTCAAAATTGTCCCTACTTGTTCGATTTTCAGTGCGCTGTTGAAGTTTTTCCAAAGTATTTACTGCTCCATCATGATACACCAATTCTTTCAAATAGCCCCACAGAAAAAAATCACAAGGCGTTACATCCGGGGAGCGAGCAGGCCAAGAAATGGGTCCATCTATTCGGAAATTCATTATTTAGATGTTCATGAACTTCTCGTCTAAAATGTGGTGGAGCGCTATGTAGGAACCTCATATTCTGTCTCACATTTAGAGGAACATCTTTTGATAATTGTGGCAGATTGTGTTGAAGAAAATCTAAATAAATTTCACCGGTCAGTCGAGGTGGAAAAAGTAGGGTCCAATAACCATGCCATTTACCACGCCAGTCCAAACATTTTATGAAAACCTATATATATCTTTTTACAGTATGCGTATATTCTACTGTCCAAACATGATTGCCGTGGAAATTGTGTACTCCATTTCGTGTAAATATGGCCTCGTCTGTACACAGAATTAATTTCGTAAAATCTTCATTTCTGTCGAAGTTTTCTAAAAGACACTGGCAAAATGTAGCTATTCTAAGATGATCTTCTAGTTATAATGCTTGTACTCGTGGATAATGATAACGATATACTTTTCTTATCGTATTGTCTTCCACACTTTACTATGAGAAACCTCCACTTGAGCTGCTATGGTTCTAGTACTCATTGTAAGGTCGTCTTTTAACATTTGTAAAATGTCTTTTTCAATTTGTAACATTTCAGGTTAAGCAGGTCTTCCAGCGTGACCTCCTCATTATTTTTTTAAATATCCTGTGTCATGAAGTCTAATAAGTAAATTTACAATCACTCGTGGGGCCGGAAATTGCCATAAACGATAATAATAGTAAACAAAAAAAAAGATTTTACACGACAGTGGTCGAGAATATCAAAGTTTCTGTGTAATAACATTCTTATTTTTAAAATTTTTGATCTTTTATTATGCAACTTTTATATAGGCGAGCTTTGGTATATCAACTCCTTTTGACGAGTCCTGCAAGCAGTTGAAATAAATAACTCGAGTTTGAAAACACCCTGTATGACAGGCTAGTCGAGATAATTGAAAAATTGCCTAATAATATATCACTAACACCTAGTTATACTTAGACTACCCCACTGAAATGAAGCAATCGGTCTTGCCTCAGAGGGTGGTCACCTTACCAGTGCGGTAAAGTGTAGGGAGATATAGACCAATCAGAATTATGGTCTGCGCGAATCCTGACAGGGTTGTCATTTTGTCACTATAGTCGGCAATTCCGTGTTAATACTCCTACCAAACTGATGTTTTACGAGTTTCTTACTTATCGCCAGACAGTGTGGATTTTTTCATTTGTGCCATACTCATAGTTCCACTACTTCCATCTGAGAATAAGTTTTTTTAGTTCTTACCAGTTTTAGATTATACATTTTTTAAAATAGGTAGGCAACCAGGACTAGGACGCGAAAAATCCATGAAGTAGTTCTCAAAAGCATTGCAGTAATTACACAAGTGAATCAAAATTACCGATAATTTTTCATGGAAGCGTGTTGTCTAAAAACTGCATGAGTTTATTATCATATTTCGTTTTTGGTCTTTTTGGCCGCAGTCACTGGACCGATTTTTTAAAACTTTCAAAGCTTTTTCGTCCTTGGCTTAGTTATATGAGAACCTTATGAGAACCTTTGACCAAAATTCGAGCACTACTTCTCAAGTTATAGGCAGACCGACAGACAGACAAACCGACAGAAATAAACGACATGGTTTTTCATGATGTCATATAACATCCAAAAAACATCTCTTTTTTGAAATTTTTCGCAATTACAATACTTCCTTGCCAAGTGGCAAAGGATGTAAAACACTTGTCCATATAATATATATAATAGTAAATGACTCATTAAAATTATGCAAATCCACACAATTTGAACCTGGGGCTACTTCAATTAGATTAAAAAGGTTAGTTGAAGACTTCAGTACAAAAACCATACCCATTAGATTATTTTTTCTAGGAGGTGTGGAAACCTGTAAATTCTAAAAGTGAGATTCAAATATAACATACTTTAAGGGTAGTCCAAGGACTTATTTTTCTCATTTTTACCCATTATTGTTTGGCCACTCATTATTAGATATTATTGGTATATATTGTTTCTCCTATATGAGCTTTGTTTCGTCCACTTTTTAATACGTGATTCCAAACCACGCAGAAACAGTTGGAAAACTGTTTTCCTACTGAAAACTACTCTTTCAATTCTCTTGCTAAATGAACTGCTGTTTGACAGTTGGTACAACTAGGGAGTTTTTAATTTTTTGAAGCAACTACTGAATATATGAAAATAATCGTTAAAAATAAGCAAAAACAGACAGATGATAAGATGTGTTTTTGTGCGATTTTTTACGCATCCTATTAAAATTATGTTTTGCAACCTATGAAGCAGGCTTGATTCATAGTCCAGTCAAATGGTAAAGAAGTGGTATTTTAAATTGACATTTCAGCCTACTGTTTTATTTGTTATTCGTGGAACTTGACTAAGATATGATTCTGTTTTGGAAACATTAGACGTTTAATAGTTTCCACCAAAAGAAATTATACACATCACTAGTGTTTTATGAAGTTAAAATTGAGCTTGTTCTATTTGATGTTATTGATGTAATACATTTAAACATTTCAAGTGACCCCAATGATGAGAACTCATACGCTAGGGAAAGTTTTGCAGAACAGCAGTGCTGGATATAGTGAGAACCATATTACTTTCTGTAAAGCAGTGGCCCAGTGTGCGATGATTATGAGAGCTGAGGGGATTTAAAAAAAACTATTTGTTTTTTTTCTAACTCATATTAAGTGCTTTTTGTCATATGTCATATGAGACTGAGATAGTGAAATATGTATAATCATGTTGTGATAATTCTTTGACTATTGAACTTTGAAGTTGGTTTTGATTCATGTACAAATGCTTTGTACATCATTCTGATGTCAGTAGTCATTTATTATCAACATAAAGTATGTGTAATTGCTTATTTTCTTATTATATCACATAACTTTGACATGTGTATAGAATAGAGGAAGAACGTAACTGTTTTGCAGTTCTCTTCAACTGTTTCTATTTTTCAAAACATTATGATGACAAATAAATTTCTGATTCCTTGTTCCGTTTTCGCAAGCTCTTTCAAGGATGAAACAGCTTTATAGGTTGTAAAATATTAAAATTTAGTACAGAGGGGGTGAGGTGATTAGTAAAAAACAACTGTCAGTATGACCCATTTTTGGGGAATCTTAAATATAAATCAGGCTTTTGAAGATGTGTTAATTTCTAATCATCTAAGTACATAGCCAGAATGTCTATGCATAATTCAAAGATTAAAATGTACCACAACTTACTTCGGGAGTGAATTTTAGTGACCCAGTGCTTATCTTGACTTTGAAATCACATAATATATTATGTACCTCTTATCCCTCGTCCCTATTTTATATAATTTTTGTGTTAGCTGATTTTCCCTAACTAATGTAACTGTAGTATTTAATCATCTACTGTAATAGCACACAAAACATAGAAAAAAGACAATCACAACCCAACTATACTATATACTGTTGAGTTTGGCTAGGTTATTGAACCACATATACAGGGGATTCTAGATTTTCTACAAAATCGTAGACTTGATAAGTTCCCATGCATTAATATTTTTTTCAAGTATTTTTGTTGCACCAAAATGACTGATGAAATTGTGAAATGAAAAATTAGACTTGACTTGAGATTTCTGCTCTACTGAGCTGAGGAACATTAAGACTTGATATGATACACATAAAAAGAAAGAATAAGTAATACACTTACATAATCTTCATTTTCAGAAGTCATTTAAAACTAGGCTCATGCACCTTTGAATAATTTTATCTAATATAGTATTTCTTCCTACACAAGGGAATCGTGTAGTGACGATGCCGTAGGTTAGTAGTAGTAGTAGTAGAAAGATTTATTTAGCACATTTGGCTACATAAACAGAA